TCCCGAGGACACTTGACCACTAAACTGCATCACTCCCGAAATGCAGGAGTGAAAAGTTCAAGAAATGCCTTCTAAATTAAATTTACAAGATGAATATCACCATTGGAGCGCTTGTGTTAACAGATTTTAAGTCAAATCAGCTGATGACAAAATTTTGCGAGAAAAGTACTAGCCTTATATTTATTTAGCTACTTTTGTCTTTCTTGGTATCATACGAGTGTGATGCCACTTTATTCTTCCTTCCTTTTGGATTGCCTTTAGAGGTACCATCTGCTGCTTAAAATGTTGACAAATTTCTCTGCAAGATGCTCCAACTGAAAATTTGTACGTATTTAATGCATAAATTGGATTAATTCGCCAGCCGCCCAAACATGTTTGATATGCACCCAAGAGCAAACAATTCACACGGGATGAAGGAGACAATTTGAAGCACCCAACTTATTTTTACCGCCATTTTTGCCCTGTTACACCCTGGGTTAACCGTTTTCTTGGTTCATGGCGGCGCTCAATAATGATAAATCTAGGCATTTCGAGTGTCTAACTCACCAGGCTACCCGGCAAGGCTATTGTGTGCAATCATATATAGCCTTGGGACAGACCTGACGCAGCTAATAGAGAAGTGTTTGATGAAATTCTGCCCTCTGGAGATGTTTATCATGCACACCTCTTACTTGTTCGCATTTTTAATCTCGTAGGTTGTTGGGCATGATTTATATCTATATTTAGGGGGTAGTTGGATGACTCTGTCTGCCAGCAGACCATGCAAAAGGTACTGACCTTTTGTTGTGAGGAAGCAGGAAGAAGCCAGTAAGTCTCCTGTGGGCCAAGTAATTGCATTACCTGGTGTCAACACATGATTGGTAACCAGAGTTACCCATTTTCTGTTTTAATCGGTCGAGTTTTGTCATAAGACAAATTATGACGCCACAAGGCATGCAATGCGCTTATCTTGTTCCATATTCTTGGTTATTTGCCCCAAATTTCTGAAAGTGGTCCCTCATGGCTGCTTTAACCAAGATGTTTTCTATAGTTGTCATGGTTCTCTGGCCAGCAAATGACTGTAGTGTATCTGTGCACTATGTTTTTAACACAGTGATACTCTAAGCTGCATAACAATTATAATATGAGTTAAATATTAGTATGTAACAAATAGTCAGACTACCCCATTTAAAATGTGAAGCCAACATCTCAAACTTTGTCGTTAAATATGAATAAACAAGCCTAAATGGATGCCTTTGCTGCAGCTGAAAAGGCAAGCAGCAATACTGGCATGGTCATCTAAAAGTTATGCTACTTTTGGAGAATAGAGATTGTTTTGTGGAACATACCCATCATTGCCCTTGGCGTAGGTCAACCATGACAATCAAAATATGTTGTTCAAAGTGATGTAAAGTGTTTTGATTTGTGTGCTGTCATTTTTGTCTGATGCCAACAAGCATACACAAATGAACTGAATAAAAATGCAAGTTGAGACCATGCAAAATTAGCTTTATCATGTTTTTATCACGAGTGCTGCTGTCAACAGATAGGTGAGTTTAGATGATGTTCAACATATGGGCTACTCTAAGTTAGGTTTAGTTGGTTAAGCGCACGGCAAGTGGCAATAGGAATTGTGCAAGAATCAGTAACTCACAACAGCTGATGTGATACAAACATGTTAAACAGGATGAGATGAAGTAAGGTCTCTTTAGGTTAGTCATAGGCTACTTTTATGGAAACAAGCATTGGTATTTTGTAAGAAAAAGTGACAAAAGATTCGTTTTCCCTGACCACATCTTAACAGAAGTCAGAGGTATGTCTATTGCGCTTGACTTGGTGATGAGCTGATGTGTAGGAGTCCAAGGTTATTTTGCTCAAGTGTTTTATGCTTGTTGAATTTTCCGTTGTTATTTTGTTATTGAATTCCTTTGCTTTGTTTTGTTTCAAAGGCGCCGTGGAAGGGAGTGAAAAGTGCAGCATCAAGTTATTGGTGTTAATAATTGTGTATGCTCGTAATACTGCCATGAAATCGCTATGCTTTAACACGCGCCTGGTTGGCTGGCTAGATACCCTTCGCTCGGGTGGGGGTGGGGTGGGGGAGGGGGGGGGGCGGGGGCAGAGCGGGGTCAATTTGACCCCCCCTCTGAGATCTCGGGAACTAAGAAAGCTAGAGACACCAACTCCACAGGGTGTCTTGAACTATACGTGAACTCACTTGGGTTAAGGTTTCAGCTTCCTAGGTCATGGCCTTCAGATCAAATAAGGTCAAACAAGGTCAAATTCCAGGTTGGTCTCCAAAGCGCCCCCGGAACCTAGGCAATTGTCTCTAAGGAAAAGTTCACAAGCCCATTTCAGGTCATTGACCTTGTTTGACCCTTTGAAGGTCATGGTGACCAAGATAATGTAAGAACGATCTGCGTTTTGCATTTGAATAAGCGACAAAGATTACACTAGGCAGTATGTTCCTAAAACAAAAAGTTCGACCCGGGTCATCTTAGGTCAATGAACTGTTTTGACCTCTAAGAAGTCAGCTGAAGATGCATCATGCGGCTCCTGCCGTCATTAAATTCGAAATGAGCACCGGAAACTATCGCTTAAAAGATGTTAAAAAACAAAATAGTTTTGCCAGGTTGCTGGTATTACGTCCATGCCAACTTGAAATCGATGACTTTGTTTGCTGAAGCATCAGTCACGACCTCGTAAGTTCCATCTTTTGTGAATTGATTTTTTCACTCCCACACGGTCTTTTTGCCATAAAATTGTTCACTCCCACCCCAGTTCAAAAGCGATTCTAGCTCCCTGGCCGTTCATCTATCAATAAATAAACAACTGCTGCCAATAATTCCGATACTCCTGCTGACCTGAGCACATATGCGTCCGATATGGGATGCATTCAGCTGCATTCAATCCCTTTTAAAAGGCCCAAAGTATCTTATTTCGTATTTGTTGTTGATGAGGATCCTTAACTTGATGTTAATCAATAAAAATATTAGGGCTGAACCATGATAGTTTTGAAAAGTGTTGTGTGGATGTTTTACTTTTGCTGAATGAGGGACAGTTGGCTTAAAGCCAACCAGACATTAAGTTAGTTGTAAATGGAGAAAAATTACAGTCCTAGCGGGTCTCTGCAGAAAAAAAAGAAAAGCTGCGGCAACTTGACAAGTGGATCATCATTGAGCTTATCTTAAGCAAGTCGTTTGTACACATGAGGAACTGAATGCGATTTAAAATTGGCATTGATCCTTGTGGAACACCAATGCTAATGTTTCGGTCAGTGTGAACAGTCCAGACTTTTAACGCCCTGTTTTCCTCCAGACAAATAAAAAGACAAGTTGATGTTACTTGTAACGCAACCCAAATCTATATAAATTTTGGAGAAGAATGTCGAGGTGGAGAAGATGATACAGGTGATTAAGACGTGAAAGGCCGTCTTGAAATAGACAAGACAGTAGTATTAGCCTTATTCCTCGGAAAAACCAGAGGAATAAAAATATAATTAGATAGTTAGGTTGATATTTCGGCAACATGACTCTCGGAATAGCGGCAGAAGTGAATTCATTGAATTAGCAGAGTTCACTTCTGCAATTGTTTCGAGGAAGGCATGGTGCCGAAATATCAACTCAACTGTATTTCCATTCTCCTGGTTTTTCCGGGGAATAAGGCTAATATTACTGCCTTACCTATGTGACTAATGTTCCTCGCTAATGCACTGAACAACTCACGTAACTTTGAAATAGAAAATATGCCATTGAAAATTCCCCATTTTCTAATGCTTGAGTCACTTCTTTTTGTAGTATTAGGAGTGGCATTGACACGTCACTGCGACGCTTACCTCCTTCAAAACTGAAAATGACAACGTCTTGTAGAAGGTCCTAAGGATCTCGGTGCTCCCTCAAGTTTTCGTTTCTCGCTAACCGCAGCACCGTCGGCGGGCTTTGTTTTTCACCTGCCCAGGCCATGGTGGGAAAATAACCAGAGCAACAGCGGCGCACATGACAATGCAGGTCAATATAAACTTTATCTGTGAAAACTTCAAGCCTTTGCAAGAAGCACGCCTTTAAGCGGCCCCTACCCGCAGCCTATTCACATTTCGATTCGTAAGCATTCGACTCAAGAGCATGCATTTTATTGACATCCGGTTGGACTTACTAGCATTTCGTCTCCTTGACACGTTGACAAAGGCATGCCGGCGGATTGCCGTTCGACTTGAAGCGTCTCGCCATCTCGACAAGGCGGCAAAAAGACACGTGGACAAACCAACAGTCGTGTAAATGCATTCGGCAAAAAGACATTTGGCTAAGTGCACTGTGGCTATTTGTCCGCACACCCAGGCGAAGCAGCAGCCCTTCTTTGTTGTCGTTGGGTAAATGGTCGCGAGGAACAGGCCGACAGTCGTGGACAGGGACTGTAGGCATACAACGCTAAACAATCTAGGTTAGATGTTAAGCTTTTGTCGTGCTGGAAATGTATCCAGTCCGGAGCCAACTACGCAGATCAGGAGGTCTCCCGAGTCAGGGAGGGACCAGTGTGGTGTGATGTACCTCTCTAATGGCCTTCGGGTCGACCAGTAAACCCCGTCCGCTGTCCACAATCCGGAGGCACACGCGCTGGGACTTGATGGTCCTCGAACCCTTGACCGGAAATGCTAATATTCAGCCTAGTGTTGTACTCATGGGGCCACCTGCCATTAAAGAACTAGTGGTCTCATTATTGTCGAACAACGTGAGTCGAAATAAGGTCAAAAATACCAAAAAGGCATCTCGTGTTTGCCTGTGAACATCTATTATTTCGCAGAAGCGACTAGTAAAACAGATTTCAGGTTTTTTAGGGCCAGCCACAGTTTTTTACAGGACACCAGCATGCAGCGAATTGAACATAGAGCGATTGCTAGCCCATCTAGCTATACAGATGCTATACAGTGCCCATCTAGGAATTAGAATGCGCGAACATACGCGTACATGCAAACGAATTCAAGCAAATAGGCATGACGCATCACGCTTCATTCAGCCATGCAAGCGAGTTAAAGTAAAAAGGCATCACACATCGCGAATCAGTTATACATGCAAACGATTTCAATTCAACAGGCATCGCACCCTTCGCGTCACGTATCACTTACACATGCGAACGATTTTAGAGCAGCACACACCACACATAGAGGCACATATCACGTTCGCATAATCGGCCATGATGAGCCATGTATCAAATCGGCCTGATGAGCCTTGTAATCAAACAAACCCTTGCACAACTCTTGAGTTGTCAGGCCGTGGCTGGTGGCTACTACATGTGATTTCGCTGTGTCTTTGAAGCGTCTTCATTGGGAAACGATGGCCCTTAAGTGCTTTCATTAAGGCTCGGCATTAGTAATATATTTTGAGTTTTTTTAGGAAGAAAGCTGACCATTACTATCTTGAAAACATTGTATTCGATAATGAAAAGAATTCTCGGTCGGACTGCCTCACACGCAACGGTGACCTGCCGCACACAACGCCGACAGGGAGAGACCCACCCCACGCGCCCGAGCAGCACCTGTTATACTGCTCCCAAGGCTCATGCCCGCAACACGATCTGCGTGCGACTGGCCGGCGCCACCGTGACGCACCGCCCCGAGCCGTGATTGTTCTCCTCACTCAGACATGAGTCATCACCCCACTCGCCTTACATGCTGACACACTGTCCCGGGGCATGGTCCACCGCTACAAACATCGCGCTCTCAAGATACAAAGAAGAGGATATTGAGAATACAAAAATTCCGATCGTTACAGGAACACGTGTAAAATGCACCCATAATGAAGACACTTCGAAGACACAGCAACAATCACATGTACAGTAGTCACCAGCCACCATGTAATAACTCAAGAGTTGTGTCAAGATTTGTTTGATTGCTTAGGGCCGAAGAGATTTTGTCGATAAATGGGCTTGTCCACACTTGAACGCGTCTTCTGTCATTGCACGCCTGCGTAGTGTCATTGTTGTCCGGCAGTTGGAATCGTGTTAATGTCCTGTAATGTTCGAGTCGCGTGTGCTTCCGGGGTGCCCCGCCGCGCAAGCGCATTGTCAGACGTTGTGAGAGTGCCGTGGTTACGCAAACGTGGTTTATGGAATTAAGTTTGCAGCTTCGAAATTACATCCGAACCTCGAAGGCTGTATTGAGGCGTATGTATATATTCCTCGGGAAAATTACACAGTAATGTAAAGTACAGAAGGTGCCCACAGCCTCGCACGCATTTCAAACAACGACTACAATTTCACTGAAATAGCGTAATAATGTAAGTTTACGGAATCTGCATGGAAAGCCCGTAATATGTGACGCGTCAATTTTTGCCCAAAATAATCCAAAGCACCTTAGACATACACCGGTACGAAAGTTATTTAAGAGAAGTGGGGAACTTCGTCCGACATACAAGCAAATGAAGTTCGCTCCCTTGAATGAGTGGCAAGTGAATGCGTGGTGGACAAAGTCATGCCCACGGCAGGTAGTTTTCCGAAAGTTTATTTTCTGCTGCGGTGTGGAGTAAGGGAAGGTAATTCGGAAATAGGTGTTGCAGTAAATGTCCCATGTGAACACGCTAGCAAAGCGGTCATGTTTATGGATCAACATCACTACTACGCAGGTAGTGATGCTGATTCATAAGCATTCAGCAAAGCAGTCATTCGATCAGCTCGCAGTCAGCCATAAAGGGGACAGACAGTCCAGGCCAGTGACCGCCGACGGCGGACGGGAGACGGGCTCATGCTAGGAATAGCCGAAAGAGGGGCTTTTATTCTGTGTCTTGGGCTTTACAGGTGAAACCCGGTGTTATGGCTTTTGTTACATCGTTTTGACACGCAATTAATGAAGCTTCCGAACCTGTTTTGTGCCTAAATGCCATCTCTCGAAACGCAGTCGGCGGTCGCCGTGTGAAAACTGTGACGCACTATGGGCCATTAATACGAATTCAATATTCTGACCACCCCGTACCCAGACCGTATTTGTACATCTAAACTGTGCGGGGTGCATGTCTCCCCAGTCGCCAAAATGCCAACCCGGTCGTGGAATTTCGCCTCCCTAGGCGGAAAAATGTTGAAATGGACAAATCATTTTAGTGGGAACAGGCCAGAACAGTCCCCCGACCTGTCAAACAAGCACTGGCTGCTTTGCCTGCTGCCTTGCTCTTTTTTTCTTTTGTGTGTGTGTGTGTATGTTTTGTGTTCCTACATCTGTATGCGCGAAGATATGCAGCAGCTGGTGGTTCGAAATAAACTGCATCATTTTCATTTTTTATAAATACGGCTTGGGGAATAGTACAAAATATAGGAAAATACTGGAAAGTGAGAGGATAGGTGGAAATAGATGAAGATTGGATAGTACAAAATATGGCAATTTTGTAACAAAGTAGTTTAGAAATAGCTAGGAAATAAATTATTTCATCGTAAACAGTAGTGGGCAGGTCTTGGCGCAGATGATATGAAACGAGAAATTGTTTCGGAGTTCGTGGTTAACGACTCAGGCAATAATGCGTTTCTGAGGTTATGGGACGTCTTGCTGATATCTCATGTAGCAAGTTCGTAAGGTCGTAGGAAGATTGCTGCACGTTCGCGCGTCTTGACGGAATACATAGCGGGCGAATGACCGGGGAGGCAACGGCTTAGGTTTTAGGTTGGGTATGTGGAAGTAGATTAGCACCGCATACAATGGCATTATTTAACATGATGCATTATTCTGAATGATCTGCATGTTGATGAAGTTTTAGCCCGAGGCAAGGTGGTCAGGGTATACATTGCTACCTCATGCTTACGGGCATTGTACATCAATCATCATTTTTAAGGTAAAATATACCGAAATTAATCGTAAAACAGGTCATCTAAGCTCTTGCCTTGGAACTTAAATAACTACGATAGCGAACATCCGACCGCAAACACGCAGCAACCGCGACCCCGCCATCATTGCTACGCATGATCACAACATTTATGCTTGATCACATTACCACGCATCAAGAACTATAAAAATGCGCTGGGGAGTCGCGGCGGCGGGGTGCGTGCGGCGCTAGGGAGCTCGCTATTGGAGCTACAAAAATTTGAAGGTAGGAGCATGCATCTACCTGTTTTACGGTTATTTGCGATATGTTCAGCCTTAAACACGACGAATGGCGTGCAGTGATTTTTTTCTAACATTAGGGACCAATGTATACCGACACCAGCAAGGTAGTGTCATTATCTGAAATGTAATTGATGAGCTTATACTTGCTTGTATTGTAGGTTATACTTGTCTCCAAAAAGAGCATGGTAAAGCTCAGGTCATCCAGAGGCTAGCAGTTTTTTGGTCCTTGGTCATCATCTCCCTATCTTTAATTTTTACATTAATTCAGAAAAAGCTGGAGAAGGCCCTCAAACTTAGTGATTTGGCCAGTTATGGAAAATTGCCTGGGTGTTCTTTGAGTAGTTCACCTAAACCTGCATGGCAAAACCTTTGAAACGATATTATTGCATGGGGGGTACCAAAATGTGGACCCCCAAGTCAGTATACAATAAAGTATGTATTTCAGGCAATAATTTAAAACACTGACTCCTTTTGGAAATGCTCACTGGTATGAAGCATAGGTTTGACAAGCATTGGTCCTAGCGTGAGGCACACAGTCTTCAGTAGGCTATGATCGGACCCCGTTATTTTGTTAGCAACTTTGTGGCATAGTGACTCAGTATGCATGACCTAAGTACAGGAAAATCACCACCAGTTTTCAGATGGTTGGCTTTGAAAATGAGATATTAAATTATTTGATTTAGTATTTGATTGCCTGTTATTTTAATCACCTTTTCCAGCTTTAGGGCAGCATGCCCTCAGAACCATCATTCTATACAGTATTCAACTTAAACTGTTCAGCCATAAGTAAAGATGAGTGATTGTTCTTATGTCATGTTGGTGACTCATTTGATTCTCATGTCATGTTGGTGACTCATTTTATTCTCATGTCATGTTGGTGCCTCATATCAGACTGTGAAATGAGATATCTGGGCATGGTTATAGCAGCATATATATCTACTGGGTGTGATTGCTGCCAGCAGTGATAGGACATGTGGCATAACTATTGTAAGCACAAATAACTAGCTTGGTAAGCAGTAAGAGATCCAAGCATGTCAGCTTGCTTGCTAGGGAGAGCACCTAGGCAAGATAGTTTTCTTAATCTTTTTGCTGGAAGAATGCTATCTTCACAAATGTGAGCTGTGTTGGGATAACCACTTTGATGTGTTCTCTACATGCATGTTTCTCAGGCACATGCATCAATCACCATCTTTTTAGATTGGTAACATAGCTGTTGTTTTAAGCCAGTCATGGAAAATTATTTCAGCAAAGTTCAGCTTGGGACCCTGCAACAAACTGTCAAGGTGGCTGATGCTGCTGGGTTCTGGATAAGGGTTGGAAAGGTCTCAGTTTATGTCTCAACAGTTTTCACCAGCACGTAGTGATGCCAGCTACAAACCTAAGGGAGTGCTAGATGGTAGGAGATTATGTTACATGCATTGAGAAGTTGTCAGATTGTTGTGTATGGTTGTACTTGACTTGCCCTAGTCATGTTTCAACCCATGTGTCTAGGCCACTGCCGAGGCTGCTGCCATTGAGGCAGCATGGAGGAACTGGAGGCAGAGCAGGTCTACCTGCTCATGCGAAAGGAGTACCGCATATCCCGCAATGTACGAGCCCAGTGGTACTTCTCCCACCTGGGCCAGCTCATCCAGGTTCCCAAGCGGCACATGGTGGTGAGTGGTCACCAACAAACACCTGACCAGCCAGGGTTATGCCAGTGCATTACACAAGGGTGTCTGATCACACATGCCATACTTCCCATTGTTGACATGACCTCCCGAGCTATGTGAAACAGGTCTGAGAAGCAATCTTGATTGTGACACCCATGTTCCACACTACTTATGCTGACTTATTGGTGTTGGTGTTGTGTGTATTTATGCATGTGTGTCTGTGTGTGTGTGTGTGTGTGGATATTTGTTGGCCTGTGTGAACGAGGTGGCACAGGGTGTTTGAAAGACCCACACCAGTCTGTATTGAGTCCGTGCTGTCGGGCCGCGGTGCAGGACGAGTACAAGGACGAACTGGAGGTGGTGTCGGTGATCCCGGCCAGCCCGCCGCCTGACTGGGACTCGGACACAAGCCACCTGTACCGCTACCGGGTGACTGCACGCACGGGTGTCACCTTCCTGGCGCGCGTCTACCGGCTGGTGTTCTGCCTCGACCTCAGTCCCTCCGTCGCCACCGTGGTGAGGCGCCGGCGCGAGCTGTTCCGGTCTTGTGCATGAGAGAGAGGTGGGCTGAAGGCCTGCAAGCCATTTGAAAGCAGGTGGTGTTGCAGACTACAGTTATGTGTAATAGGACTTCTGCGAGTTCTTCTTTGACTGTGCACTTGGATGGCAAACTTATTTGGAAGCCAACCTGAGATAAAATTAGCACTTTGATCTCCTGTGCTGAAACATGGACATATTGCTTGGAGCATACTGTGTTTGATGTGACCAGGGGCCACACCCACAAGACGTGATGCCTATTCAGCCCCGCCCCCCCCCCCCCCCCTATCTCCGGGCCGCACCTACGAGCCGTGATACCTACTCAGCCCCCCCCCCCCCGAGCCGCACCCACGAGCTGTGACATCTACTCATCTCCCGCCATTGTGCTTCAGCCTATACAACAGTTGCACTATGTTTGGTGGCCGGTGTGAGGCGTGGTCGCCAGTGGATCGGAGTGGGTCACGTTGAAGCGGGCCGCGTCGCTCCGCCTGAGCCCGCCCGGCGGTCAGCCGTGTGAGGGGGCGCCGTGTCACCGGGGTCTTACCCTCCGCGCCGACAGGACACCAGCAGCGGCGTGGTGCTGCTGGACGCCGTGTTCCCCACCCTGGGGCGCTGTCTGGAGGGCATCACGAGGCCGGTACGTGCCGGCGTGCGCCGCCGACGTCACCTGTTACAGACGGCGCGCCGTCAGCTGACTTTGCTCCGACGACGAGCTGTGGCTGCCTGTGGAGTCGAGGGTCGGTTGTGCGAGCGTCAGATCCGCACGTCAGGTTGTGTGCTGGCGTTGGCCTGCGTTCGGCGGCGGGACGCCGGAGGTCGCGCGTGGCGCTGCTGGTCATTCGCTCTGATGCCGCCGCTCTGTCGACCGTTGCAGTTCTACGTGCCGGGTAGCGAGCTGCTGTACAAGCCGCAGCTGTACGTCACTGTGATCGCGCACACGCCCTTCTTCACCACACAGACACACCAGGTGAGGGAGCGCGGGCTGTACGGCGTCTCGCTGCACGCGAGCCGGACGGCATCTCGCTGCACGCGGGCCGCGGTCGTCAGTTCCGGCCGGCTGTCCGCGGGCCGGCCGGTGACCTCCACGGCCGGTCCGCCGCCCACGCCCGCGTCCGGAGGCGCTGACGAGATCCCTGCGGCGCCCGGCGGCAGTCGTGGCGCCACACGGTGTGCTGACCCGGAGTCAGGCGTGTTCTGCGCTGTCGTGGACGGCCCGGTCGGTTCGGTGCGCGCCACCCGCGACACCGTGTCGGTCGCGTGATCCTCAGCTGGGTCGCCTCTGCCCCGCCAGGTGCTCGTGCAAGGCTGGCTTTTGACGGAGGACAACCTGCAGTCCTTCCTCGGCACGGTGGGCGGCAAGCTCAACGACATCGAGGACATGTTCGCCGACGTCACCGCCATGGCCAACGACCAGCTGGAGGCGCAGCGGGTGAGCCAGGCAGTCAGCGCCTCGCAGCCGTCCACCAGCGTCAGCGCACGGTTGCGGAAGTCGAGTCCCGGCGAGGGGCGGTCAGCCACACTGTGGGGATTGGCAGGCGACGGGCGGGTATTGGACTTCAGCACGTGGAGGCCGCGTTCGCGACCCAGACATTGCCCGAGGAGACCCTGTGTGTCTTAGTCTGTCCGTGTCTGAGTGTGTGTCGTCGCCTGCAGCTGTAGTCCGTCGCCTATGTCCGTCTGTGCAGTGACTCAGACACCGGCCGTGCTTGCCGGCCTCCTGCTGTGGCTGGCTGGCCCTACCATCCGCCTGAGCCGCGCCCAGACGTCCGCCTGGGACCCAGACGTTCGCCCAGATGTCCGCCCAGACGTCCGCCTGAGCCTGACCCCTTACGTCCGTTTGAGTCGCGTCTGGTCCGCAGATGGAGTCTGAGCGCCTAGTGGGCCAGCTGTTCGAGGACGAGCCGGGCGACAGCTCGGCCGCCTCGGCCGCCGTGCCCATGGTCTCGCCCGACATCGGCTTCGTCAACATGCTGCGCTACGGCATCCTGGCGCTGCAGCTGCTGCCGGAGAACAGCAGCGCCGGTCAGTGCGGCCGGACCGGACCGGACCGGACCGGTCCGGTCCGGTCCGGTCCGGTCCGGTCCGGTCCGGTCCGGTCCGGTCCGGTCCGGTCCGGTCCGGGGCTGGGGGTCGGGGCGGACGCCGCCGACCGGACCAGCCCTGGCTGGGGTTGAGTCTCGGCCCGCCCGGCTCCCTTGGCCATTTCTGGCGGATCCCTGGGAGCCAGTGGGCGTAATGCTTGGACAGGATCTGATTTAGGCAGACTTGTTCCAAACGTTCCGGAAACTAAACTTTGCTCTTAGATTACTCGCTACATTACTGTCACGTACCCTGAACCATGATCCAGACTGTGCTGTCTCAGTCCGCGGTAAAGTCCGGCCGCTGGCCTGCCTGCGAGACAGGCCTGGTGAGCGATATTTGTCTCGCCATATGAAGCAGGGGACCACCGCCCGGCGATCACTCAGTCACCATTCGCCAGCAGTGCCAGCTGACCTTTTCATGTCGGTTGGACCAGACATCGTACATGACCTGGACCGTTGGCCATTTCTGGCGGATTGTGGTTCCTTTTCAGTCACTGTGTGCCACAGATGCGGCAAAATAACGCACGCATCCGTGGGTGTTCAATATTTGTTCATTAAACTCGCGTGCATATCAGTACACTCTTTAAGACGCTGAGCGCTGCGTGTTGCCGTGACGCCGGATTCCACACAAAACCGCTCTGAACTGGTCCAGCCTGCCTGGCCACGGCCCGTCCTGTGGATCGTGGCGAGGGCGTCCCGTTCCCCCTCCCTGACCTGACCTGACCTGACCTGACGCGACCCGATCCGACCTGACCTGGCCCAACCTGACTGCCCCCTGGTCCGTCCATCAATCTGACCTGACCCGATCTGACCGCCACGTGGTCCGTCCATCGACCTGCCCCGACCCGATCTGACCTGCCCCGACGCGACCCGACCTGACCTGACCTGACCTGACCTGACCTGACCTGACCTGACCTGACCTGACCCGACCCGACCTGACCTGACCGCCCCTTGGCCCGTCCAGCAGGGCTCATCGTGGTGACGGACGGCGCCATCGGCCTGCCGGACGCCACCATGTTCGACTCGCTGCTGGTGCAGCTGCGCAACAACACAGTGGCGTGCTCGTTCCTGCTGCTGGACTCTGGCTGCCAGCCGAGCGCCGGCCTCGGCTCGCTGCCCTACACCGACCTCATGCACTTCCTGGCCACGGCCACGTGCGGCGCGCTGCTGGCCCGCCTGCCGGCCGTGCTGCACGACTTCGACTACGTCATGAATGTGTACCACCGCGCCTTCCTCTGCTGGGGCTTCCAGAAGAGCCTGGGCGGCTCCGGGCCCATGCAGCACGCGGCCGGGCAGCCCGACGAGCCGTGGTGCAGCACGCCTAGGTACACTGCATTACAGGACAGTATGTCGGTGCGAGGGGCGCGGGCGGTTGCGGGCGCCGCGGGCAAGCCTGCGCTCTGTGGGAGGGGCGTCCCCCGGGACGGACTACTGGGTCAGGGACGGTACATCAGAGCGGGCTTGTGGGACGGGTCAGTACGGCCAGGAGCTGAGCTGAAGGTCAGGGATGGTTTTCGGTGTTCACCCGCGAGGACCGATGAGTCTGAACGGTGGGTATGGGTCGGCACCAAGAGCTCGAGAGTTAGCGAAGGAGATTTAGCATTGCTCTGGGAGTCTTGTATCCTCCCAAATCATCTGAGATTCTGAAAACTCGTTATTTCTCAATAGTGCGGCGACATTCCAACATCTTAGAGAAACTGTTTGATGTGCCATGTGTGCATAGGAAGTGTGCGCGGCAAGAACCAACCAACAGCAATTTCATTATGTCCGAGAACGATCCCCTCCCGACCCCACACGCAGTCCGATGGACAATTTGAAGGAGTTTGGTCGGCCAGTTGGAGCTGCTAGCGGTTTACTAATGATGTCTCACCCGCGGCAGATGCTTTTTTGAAGTTGGCTGACCGGCCGGCCGTGTCCCCGACCGGTCCAGCTGGTCCGGTCCCCGACGGTCCAGCTGGTCCGGTCCCCAACGGTTTGACTGGTCCGGTCTCCAGCGGTCCAGTGGTCCAGTCCTCTGCGGTCCATCAGAGCCGGTCCCGGGTGGTCCAGCTGCTCCGGTCCCTGGCAGTCCAGCCGGTCCGATCTCCGGCGGTCCAGCTGGTCCGGTTCCCAGCGGCCCCACGCCACGGCCTGTCAGCTGACGGCCATCCCCTCCCTCGGCCGGAGCTGGCCGGCTGTCACACCTGAGCCGGGGCGGGCGTCTCCGGGCGGCAGAGTGGCGCCCGCGCGCCTCTGACCGCCCGCCCCGACCGGCAGACTGGAGGGCTGCGTGCCGGACACGCCGCTGGACCTCATCACCAAGCACCAATCGGACGGCGTGCTCAACTCCAGCCTGGAGAGCGTGCTGTCGTGCCGGCTGCGCGAGGGATACAACATCCGCGCCGTCCAGATGGAAGACGGCGCCATCCAGGTGAGGCGTGGTGCCGCGCCATCGCCGGTCTCAGGTTTGGACCGTGCAGTGCCGGCCGGGTGGTGAGTCTGCCGACGCGCCATGGTGCAAATCGACACGTCACATTGTGCCAGAACCCTGGCTCTCCAGTGACCTCTACACAGTCGATGGCGCTAATACGTTACCCTTTGACCCTGATCAGATAGGTGACTGGCCCCGGCGCTTGGATGTGGAGTTGATTGCCGCCCGGTTCGATGCTGATTGACCGATTTTGAGGAAGGGTAGGGCCAACAGGCAGTGAACCCCAAGCCGGGATGCAATAGCATGGACAAATATTGACACCCCCGCCATGCAAATGGCCGAATCCTGAAACACTGCAGCACCGAGCGTACTCCTTCTCTCGGGCGTACCGTGTGTGGGAGGCAGGAGCCAGTTCTGTCGTGACATGATGTCATGCTGTCCTGACTCGCATGCGTCTCCGCGTTTTCTTCAGATCACGCTGGTGCTGCCGTGGAAGTACTCCATCTTCATAGAGTACATGCTGAAGTCGGCCTGGCCGCCGACCGGTGGGGACGTGCAATTTGAGCTGAATATCACGGGTAAGCAGCGGTACACGGCTGGCGGGCGAATAAGGGCTCCGTTTAACATCGGGTGCAAGTCAGGGTAACGTTCCTACATTTGAAGGTGTCGAGGCAAGTATCATATGATGGAATGACCTCACTTGTAGCTATTGGTATGCTTTCAAGCGCAAAATACTGCTCTTGAGAGTACAATTTCCTATTTAGTAACAATGCTCCTCATACATCATCGTTTGAATGCGTTATGGAACGTGTGTATGACGTCAGAGGGCTGCCAAACTAGCCGAGCGACATTGCCGCCCTAGCAGACGTGCTGACTCATTTGTCGTACTTCGACTTCTCGAGAAGTGTCATGGTAATTAGTGCGGCGTTTTAGGACCCAAATATGGTCGTAGGTGTATTTTGGTCCCTTGTCGTGGTGCTCTTGCATATTAAGCCGTTATCTTATATTGTTCACTTGCATATCGATGCTCGGTTATCGTGCTGAACTTAGGCTATTGGATTACAAATCTTATTTGCGAAATAGCTAGCACCAATGTGCAACTTCCTGTTTTATGTGGCACAAAGCGTGATTCGTGTTTGAAACTGTCAGCACCCATTGGTTGGGAGTCAAGTAAAGACCGTGGCATCAGAAGTCGGTCTCATTCACGCCAGACTTGAAAAATCGCCTGTCATCTATCTCCTGGTTATGAACGCCGCTTGGCTTGTGAGGTGTTGGTGTTTGAGTGACGTTGCCATGTCGGCGTATATGCTTCGGTTACCTTGCGTCATCCTGTCTTTGCGAAATTGTTTGCGCAACTTCGCGGGCGTCTAGCTCAGAAATCAGAGGCTTGTAAGTCATGAGAGGGGCAGAGCTGCGGATTGCGCCCAACGACCTCCAAAATGGTTATCTCATTTCAACGATGCATACAAATGTGCAAAACTTCCTTCAAGCTGTTCTGCTAGCCCATGCGGCTGTTATGTCGTATTTTTCCAGTCCTGGTAATGTGTCCCGCGATGGGTTATGCTTGTGGGTGATTAAGTGCAGCAGTGATCCTGGTTGTTTGGCGCTGGTGCGGGTTTCTCCCGTCTGTGCCGGTGCAGTGGACATCGGACCTGGCAAAGGTGGGGGGAGGGGGGAAATGTTGTCGGAGAGACCCGCTGGCTCTACCTCGGGCCATATTAACGTGCATCGCATGCTGACGCCCTCCTTCCGCCGGCAGCCAGCTACGACTTCCTGCACGACGTGACGTGTGCGCGCACGCGCACCAAGTCGCCGTACCGACAGGCGATGTTCAGCAAGTTCTGGAGCAGTCTGAAGTCGATGCGGCACAGCGACCAGCTGCTGGAGCACCTGCACTCGTTCAATAGCAGCGCTACGCTGTACACGGTCCCGGACGTTGTGCGTAGCGGCGGGCCGCTCTTCTTCCTCTCGGAGAACACCGGCGCGCCCGAGCCATTCTCCGGGTCAGTAGCTCCGAGCCAGCTCCGGGTCCGCCCGGTCGGCGGCGGAGGCCGCGACTGGCCGGGATCGCGCTGGCAGCGGGATCCTGGTGTGTTGGCCCGACGGGGCCTTGTGTCGGCCCGACGGGGCCTTGTGTCGGCCCGATGGGGCCGGGTGTCGGCCCGACGGGGCCGGGTGTCGGCCCGACAGGGCCGGGTGTCGGCCCGACAGGGCCGGGTGTCGGCCCGACGGGACCGTGTTTCGTTCCGACGGGGCCGGGTGTCGGCCCGACGGGACCGTGTTTCAGCCCGACGGGACCGTGTTTCGGCCCGACGGGGCCGTGGGTCGGCCCAACGGGGCCGGGTGTCGACCCGACGGGACCGTGTGTCGACCCGACGGGGCCGTGTGGCGTATCGACGGGGCGGTGTTTCCCGCCGTTGTGCCGACTGTCAGCGACCGACGGCGGCTCTCTCTGAGCTGAGCTGATCGCCGCAGCGAGACACTGCTGGCTGTGCTAAAGGCTATGCTGACGGGACAATGCTGGCCAAATACAATGCTGACTGTAGTTGAGTAGTGTTGGCTGTCGCTAAAGTCAATGATGTCTTTAGCCACCAAACTTGCGAATAACTATTCATTCGAATGATATCAAGTAAGCCTTTTACATACGGTAAATGCTTCCATGGGGTTGAATCATCGGGTTCTTCTTGTGCCCATATTTGGAATTAAAGACATTCTCCTTTGGCATATATCTGTGACGCCACTTCAACGAGTTGAGCTTGGTACGTAGGTCGATTAGGAACCGGGACCTCTTGTCGGCCATGGTGCCGGCATCGTACGTGCACTCGTGGTGCGCATAAATTAAAGTGTCTGGTTGTGGCTTAGGCTACACTTCGTGTAATAGGAACGTGGTTTCGTTTGTAACCATTACGTGCACATAACCTTTCCTGCTGGTCGAGTGACTTCAGCAAGAGGATGACTTGAACAGATACACGGTCGAAATGAAGCATTCACATAATATGAGGTGTAAAGAAAAACATCCCAATTTTGATGTTCCGTCTTTTATCTTCGGTTATCTTCACTCGAGAACAACATGCCATGAAAAGCTCCTTTTCATTAACGGAACGCAAAATGTACTTGTTATGTGGTAGCATTTCGCTGCGCTCATCGCATGCATCTTTCTTCCAGTGAGCCCGCCTACCAGACGTTCTGCAACTTCTGGAAGCCCGTGTGCATGCTGGACATCAACATCTGGCAAAAGTGGATGCACGCCCACAGGATCGGGCTGCTTCTCGAGCACGATCACCCCCTGCCCAAGCACCTGTGCCTGCCAAACAACAGCGGACGGTAAGCCAGCCTTGTCACGTGTACAGCGCGCCGGCGCTGGAGCGGTGCGGGCCTCTTCCGTAAGTGACATCAATCGGCTTCGGTGCCTTACAACTTAGCGCGTATGCTGCTTTTCCTTCCCCATCGTCGCGAGGAGTGTTGAAACTTTCCGTATGATTTGCTGTCAGCATGCACGTGTATGGGTCGTGAGAAAGATGAGACGAATCCGCGCAGTCCCAGATTCATGGGTAATGTTGGAAAAAGTCGCCACGGTGCCGCCCGGTTCGCCCTGATCCCGGCTGTCGCGGTCCCAGATTCATGGGTAATGTTTAGAAGAAGTCGCCACGGCGCCGCTCAGTCCGCCCTGACCCCGGTTGTCGCGATCCCAGATTCATGGGTAATGTTTAGAAGAAGTCGCCACGGCGCCGCCCAGTCCACCCTGATCCCGGCTGTCGCGGTCCCAGATTCATGGGTAATGTTTAGGAGAAGTCGCCACGGCGCCGCCCAGTCCGCCCAGACCCCGGCTGTCGCAGCTACAGGGTCGTGCGTAATGTTGGAAAAAGTCACCACGGTGCCGCCCAGTCCGCCCTGACCCCGGTTGTCGCGGTCCCAGATTCATGGGTAATGTTTAGAAGAAGTCGCCACGGCGCTGCCCAGTCGCCCTGACCCTGGCTGTTGCGGCTTCAGATTCAACCCGGTCCAGTGTCGACAGGCCACCAAGGCTGTGACGTCCATGTTGGCCGAGGTTACCGACTTCGCCCTGCTGGACGGCCACTCCTACATCAAGTTCCTGTACAGGTGGGGCGCTTTACACGGCTTCTTCTCTGTTACTGTTCATTCAGTGCAATCGTATTGTAAGTACCTACCGACGACTACAGTGCAGGCCGTGATGCGACGTTTGCCAGCAGTGAATGTTGAAATGAGTGTTTGTTACAGCTTAGATACACTTATGTACTTTAAAAGGTTCAGGTGCCCTCGTCCCTTTTCACCGCCGTGTTTTAAACTGATGTGTTGATGTGCTATGCCTTGGAGAGGCTGGCCCAGAAAGGTTCGCCCTGCCGTTTAGCATTACGGAAATGAGGGGCCTTGTAGTGACGCCTCTGCAGCTCCATTGCTTGCGCCGGCTGTTGAGTACCCAGCCGGACGTGGCTGCTGGTTGACTGGGGGGCGTCGGGCCCGACCGCGCCCCGGCGGCGGTCACGGCTGACCGGCGACCGGCGCACGCTCTGACCGGCAGCGCCGAGAAGGAGGGCGCGCCGCCCACCTCGTTCTACATGCTGCGCGTCAACCTGGCTGTGCGGCCGCCCTGCATGGTGGTGCGGCTGGCCTTCCTCGGCGGCACACCGGGCGACCTGAGGAACCAGGTGAGGCGCGCCGGCCTCGGCCGCCACCGGGACAGACGGCGGCGGCACGCGGATCACGTGGTGACACGCTGGGGCATTCGGGGATTCACGCGATCAGACGGTAGCTGACTTAATGCGGTTACGTGGCTTTCCCGCTGTCATCCAGAAGTCAGAGTTGTGGTAACGAGTTCAATAGTCCGTGCTTCCGTTAGTTGATTGTAACGAGTCCTACAATATTCCGCGTGCCGAGTCAACGGGTCCGGGAATTTTTGGCGGGATTCTAGGGCCCCTTCTGAGGTGTTCAGAGTACTGCGAGAAGGAAGCGCTCTAAGAGGCTGCTGCGCTTCGAATGCTGGCCGGTGACTGAGAGATGATTGGACCTGGTCGGTGACGTGACGCCATGACGTCAGATCGTGAAGGAGCTGCGGGAGCGGATCCTGGCGCTGACATTCACTGAGGGCCAGACGGCCCTGTCGGCCGACCCGCCCATCCGCAAGAACGCCCGGCCCATCGAGAAGTCTGCCGTGCCCAAGACGGGTGAGTGCCGCCGCCCGGCTCCGACCTCGGCCCTGGCGCCGGCCCCGATCCCGGTCCCGGCTCCGGCTCCGGCTCCGGCTCCGGCTCTGGCTCCGGCTCCGGCTCTGGCTCCGGCTCCGGCTCCGGCTCCGGCTCCGGCTCCGGCTCCGGCTCCGGCCGCCATCAGGAGACCCGGGAAGTGTGAAGCTGTGCGCCGCGGCAACACCAGCTCGCAGGCCGTGACGCGTGGCTGGGCATTGCTGGCTGGAGTGTGGCGTTCATCGCCGCTGGGACAGCTACAGATAGCTAGGAATTGGACGCCCCGGCTGATGAATGTGCTGAACTCGTGCGGTAAATTAGCTTACAAATTGGTCCAGCGCAACACCCATTGTTGAAGATTACGCTGGTGTGTGTACTCATCTGAAACAAGCTGGCTGTGGGCATGCAGCGCAAGTTTTGAATATGTTCGATAGCTAAGTGCATCTAAAGTGGAAGCAAGCACGGCCTCTGTGACTCAAAACGATCGGTTGTTGTGTGCCGGTTGTGTGTCACTGGGGCTACAGGCCGGTGCCTGAGCCGGCCGTGCCATGCCAGTCTGGTGGCTGGGGTGCCTGCGGGCTGACGGCGAGCCGTACGGCGCCATGCTGGCCGCTCCTCGGCCGGCCTCTTGAGCCACCCCACCCCGCCCTGCTCCGCCGCCAGTGGCCATTGACGACGGCACGCCGGAGCGGGGTCTGCTGCCGGCCGACCACTACAGCGCCAGCCGGTCGGCCACGCACGAGGTCAGCTGCTGTGTCCTGCTCAAGAAGCCCGTCGAGAAGTTCCTGATCCGGTGAGAGACGACTACGCTCGCCCGGGCTCTCTGTGTGCCGCCTGCTGGAGTGATATGTGCGGGTTGCTGAGCCGGCTGGCCGGCTTGTGATGCGAAACATGTGCACTCTCTTGCTTCTTCGCGTTTTGAGGTGACCCATTGCAGGCTGTCGTATGTGCGACGTCATCAGCTGTCGTATCTGGGCTTTGGCGAACTTGCGTTTTCTAAAATCGCTATGCAAACGAGAGCAAAGCACGATGTAAGAGTCGCCAGTGCAGCTGCGGCGCCAGCCAGGACAGAGCTGTGTGCGGCGGTGCGGCGCCGGCCAGAGACGCCGATGGGATCCGCGCACCGGTGGCCCTTGTGTTATCCGTGCTCTCGGTCCAGGCTCTGCCACTCCTTGTCCCTCTTACCGTGATATCAGCTGTATGTGCCGCCCTGTCGCCACAGACGCGTCCCACCGCCCCTGTCCGTGTCACCGTGAGCCGCCGGTGCTGACACCTGTCGGTGGCTGCAGGTACGACCGCGTGCCGCGCAATTTCCTGAGCCCGGTGATCCAGCAGTCGCACGTGTTGGGCCGGCCGCGCCACCGGCCGCCCGTCTACTCGAGTGCCGTCAGCTCGCAGAACAAGACGGCCAGCACCATGTTCAACACGCTGTCCAGGTTGGGAGTTGACCGGCGGGCGGCACCGTCGGTCAACTGAGCCGTCGGGTGCGTGGCAATTGCTGCGAGGCATGGCGCTCAGTATTGGAGTTGTGAGACGTAGATGGTGCTGGTTAGTTGGTTGTTGGTGAAGTTGGTGTGCTGTCTTATCACGGAGCAACGCCACGTTTGAGTGCACTGTGTCATACGACAGGCTGACATGGAGTGTAAACTTACGCAGATAGGAGGAGCCGTGGCTTCTACCAGCAAATTACGATCAGAGCCGTTTCAGAGTCTGACTGGGGTCGTCCAGTTGGGAACAGGGCCTTCAACGACACACCCTCTATCATGTTTGTCGGATGAGCGGGTGTGTGCCGTCATGCCTGGAGTCCGGTTAGCATTGCAGGCAATCCTACAATGAGCAATTGGCCGTCAGGTACCTGCACCACCGCCGCTGGGTGTGGGAAATGCAGGAGAGGCGCGGGCCGTCCATGTCCATGACAGCCATGGGCCGCATCCTCTCCACCGTTGTCAAGTGAGTGCGGCTGGACAGCCACGAGTGGTGTGGATCTGGTGCTGGCATGGCCGCCCCGCAACCACGTCAGTGGTGTAGAGTGGGAACTTGGGAAGGGTGTCTTTGTTGCAAGGTGCGTTTTTAGTTGGCATATCGGTGGTGCGTGGGTGTCCCTTTTCAAAATTATAGCTGGGGCATCACAAAAATAGCAAAATGATGTTTGGTGTGCGCTGTAGGCCAGCATACATTGTCCATTAGCCTATCAAGCCAGCACCTGCGCCCAGAGATCACAATACACTGGAACTGTGGCGTTCTCGATAGCATTTTTGGGGATGTCATAGTGCCTGGGACCTTCCATACTAATTGCTCAGAGCAGTTTGTGTGCATATTACGAGGGCCGCGCGGGGCGAGGCAGCCGGCTCCGCCTCCCGCCGCCCGGCCCCCCGCCGCGGGGCCTCCCGCCAGCCCAACCTCCTGCCGCCCGGCCTCGACTGGTAATGCGGGCCCGCTCTCTGGCCAGGTCCCGCCTGCAGGAGGGCTTCAGCTTCGCGCACTCGTCGCACGGCATCATCAACCTGGTGCTGGAGATGGAGGTGCAGCACCCGCTGTGCCGCCCGCTGGGCAGCGGCGAGCCCCAGACGCACCCGTTCGTGGTGCAGTACGTGCTGTTCCCGCCGCACATCAGTGCCGCCTCCGGCAGCAGGGACAAGTGAGTGGCTGGCTGCTGGACGAAGTCCGGTGCGGGCAGACCCCGTGGGGTGGGTCGGGAGCCGCGCGGCCTGAGCAGCGTCGGGCCGGGTCTGGCCGGTGGCCGGGCCTGGCGCTGGACGGTACTGACTGTGAGTGAGGGCCAGGACTATACATCGGCCGAGCCAGTCAGCAGCCGGGACTGCAGGGCTTGGATGGCCAGTCAGGACGTGTGAGCCACGGCCGATCGAGCGGCGCCCGCAACCGGTGTCCGTGTCACCGCCTGCGCCCGTGACCGGTGTCCGTGTCACCGCCTGCGCCCATGACTGGTGTCCCTGTCTCCGCCTGCGCCCATGACTGGTGTCAGTGTCACTGCCTGCGCCCATGACCGGTGTCCCTGTCTCTACCTGCGCCCGTGACCGGTGTCCGTGTCTCCGCCTGCGCCCATGACTGGTGTCCCTGTCTCCGCCTGCGCCCATGACCGGTGTCCCTGTCTCCGCCTACGTCCGTGACCGATGTCCGTGTCTCTTCCAGCGCCCGTGACCGGTGTCAGCGTCACTGCCAGCGCCCGTGACCGGTGTCCGTGCCTCTCCCTGCGCCTGTGACCGGTGTCCGTGCCTTGGCCTGTGCCATGACCGGTGTCCGTGCCTTGGCCTGTACCGTGACCGGTGTCCGTGTCGGCGCCTGCCCCCATGACCGGCACACACGTGTGTGTGTTGCGCAGTTTGTCAATGTCGGAGGAGGAGCCGGGCGAGCCGGAGGCGGAGCCGGATGTGCAGGCGCACATCGTCACCGAGTGCTGGGTTGAGCCGCAGAGCGGCTGCCTGCTCACACACAGCGACCGCCAGGTGCACTTCAACAAGCTCACCTACGAACAGGTGGCCAGCAAGGTGAGATGAGCGGCCGACCGACGGCTGTCGGGCGGCAGTGTCCACTGCCCACTCTGGTGGCAAACGGGGGCAGGCTGCTATGTGAACAAATAGCATTGATGTGGTGTGAATAAGAGGTTGGATCAGGTCATATTCAGGGAGCAAGTTTCCCTAAACTGGAAAAATTTTCTTCACCCGATTTGAAAAACATCATCGAATTAGTAAAGACGATGCAATTATCGATATTTATATATTGCACGTTGCTTCATTTGGCAGGCAGCAGTCCCATATCGCGGATCAGAATTTCCCAATAAGTCGTAATTAATTATAGTGTTAGTGTTGTTATAGTGTTGGTGCTGTTATAGCGTCAGTGATGTAATATCATTAGTATCGTTAGTGCGGTGCGGTTAAGTGTTATGCCTGCTACTATTGCGTTATGTAATGCTACTGCTATGCTATTGGCGAAAACCCGGAACTGAGTCTGCCAGTCAGTGAGCGCTGGTGTGTGGTGAGCGGCGGCCGCGGCCGGGCGGTACCGTCCCGCCCCTCACCGCTCGGCTGACCGGGAGCGGCGGCCGCGGCCGGGCGGTACTGTCCCGCCCGTCACCGCTCGGCTGACCGGGACCGACGGCCGCGGCCGGGCGGTCCTGTTCCGCCCGCCACCGCTCGGCTGACCGGGACCGACGGCCGCGGCCGGGCGGTACTGTCCCACCCGTCACCGCTCGGCTGACCGGGACCGACGGCCGCGGCCGGGCGGTACTGTCTCACCCGTCACCGCTCGGCTGACCGGGAGCGACGGCCGCGGCCGGGCGGTCCTGTTCCGCCCGCCACCGCTCGGCTGACCGGGACCGACGGCCGCGGCCGGGCGGTACTGTCCCACCCGTCACCGCTCGGCTGACCGGGAGCGGCGGCCGCGGCCGGGCGGCACTGTCTCACCCGTCACCGCTCGGCTGACCGGGACCGACGGCCGCGGCCGGGCGGCACTGCCTCACCCGTCACCGCTCGGCTGACCGGGACCGACGGCCGCGGCCGGGCGGCACTGTCTCACCCGTCACCGCTCGGCTGACCGGGACCGACGGCCGCGGCCGGGCGGCACTGCCTCACCCGTCACCGCTCGGCTGACCGGGACCGACGGCCGCGGCCGGGCGGTACTGTCTCACCCGTCACCGCTCGGCTGACCGGGAGCACTGTTTGCCTTCAGTTCTACGAGCTGGACCGCGAGTGCATCTCGACCCTGGTGACCATGGAATACCTGGCGCTGATGTGTGACGCTGAGGATGGCGCCAGCGTGCCCTCGCCCTGGGCCGCCTCCTCGCCGCACAGCCTCCCCGCCAGGTGGGTGGGGCGGCCGTGGCGCCGCGCTGGGCGGCTGCGCCTGTCTTGTCTCAGTGGGCTGTCGGGAGGGTGGAGGAGAGGCGGTGTCGCTGACCGCTTGGCTCTGTACGTCACGTGACATTGACCTCTACAACAGTGAGGGGTAGGGAGTCAGTTAGTTGAGAGCTTTTCCTCATTTAATGCACCGTGGCAGTAGCGTGCATTCTTGCCTGTCGGTTCCCGGACAAAAAGTCAGACAAATGAAAAATCGAAAAATCCGCCAGACATAAGGGTTGTAAAGGAAAAAAGTGAAAGGGATAAAAGAGCCTGAGAGCCCGAATATGATGCCAAGATATGCGCCTCAGCTGTTCTGTAACATCACCCGGCTCTCGTCCGCCGGGCGACGACCCGCGGCCTCGATACCCCGGCGTTTTACGTTAGGGGAGAGGGAGCGGAACCGAGCGCGCAGGGCGGCCTCAGGACAGCGGACGGCATCTGACCGTCGGCGGTGAACTACGTGTGCATTATGAAACCCTAAAACACACATTGTGTGATTTTTTTATTTTATGTTCTGACATCCCTGTCGCTTTTGATATCTGCTTACTTTTAGTCCTTAAGTTTGTATTGGACTGTTTTTAATTTGACTTGTTTTCAGTTCGACTTTTTCTAATGAACTCTTTGTCCGAATACCTTGCCCGCCCGCTATTTCGAAATTGACCCACGCCGGTTCGTTGCTGATGCCCGCCCCTCCCCCTCTCCCGTGTGCTGACAGTGAGATGGGCATCCGGCTGGTGCCGTTCTGTTTCGATCTGCCGCGCCTGCTGCGGCGTTGCCAGCAGGCCGAGGTTCTGCTCTCCACCTACGTCCAAGGTGAGCGGCCATACGAGAACGGCGTGCGGGGTCGGTGGTGGCCGCCACCGGACGCAGAGATAGTGTGTCGTGTCCTGCTGTCCCTGCCGTTCGCACGATCAGCGGACACAGGGCCGGATGCTGACCTGAGCACTCCGGGTAGTCATAGCAAATCGGTCTCGTGTTGGGACGAAGAGGCGAGCTAGGAAGAGCTTGTGGTTCAAAAAGACCGCCGGATATACTTTAAAAGAAAACAAGAGATAAAGAGGTACCGAAAGTTCTAAAACTTACTTACGGGGTGACAAGTGCAAGGTGAGATAGAGGGTAAATAATTGACGTAGGTGATGAGGCTCTGAGCGTGGGTTTTTTCATTGCGGCGTGGGTCGTGCTTTTCCTAGCTGAGATGACGTCTAACAAGACTTCCTCTCCGTTTCCACTCTCTGGAATGTTGAGGCGCACGCCGGTGTGTTAGTCAGCCCGCGTGAGCTGTTGCCGCCGGTCGCGAGACTCACTGGGCGGTGTGGCCGCAGACCTGGCCGACCTGGACGCGCCGTGCGGCGGGCCCGGCCAGCGCCACGACCCGGACGCTGCCAACCGGGAGCTGTTCCGGCTGCTGCTGGAGACGGTGGCGGCCGTGCACCAGCGCCAGCTGACGCTGACCGAGCGCGACTGCCGGCTCATCCCGCAGCTGATCAGCGAGCGGGAGCGGCCCGAGCGCCGGCCGCACGCGCCCTTCCAGCACGGTGTGTGCCGGGCGCCGGCCGCCGCGGAGCCGGCAACGGTGTCCGCCGCGGCAGGGGCTGCGTGCGACGCCGCCTTGGCCGTCGGAGCACGGTGACACGGCTTTGTCGGGTACTCATGTCTGTCCCCGCCTGCGTGGTTCTCTAAGCGACCGGTAACCCGGCGCCGACGACACTCCCGCGGGGAAATAGCCAGTAGCTACATGACTCACTTACACGGACCTGTATACATACCCGGCTTTACAGCTGCGTGCGCCTATATGCTGGCTTGCGCCGTGTACGTCACTGAACATGGTCGGCTGTGACAGGTGCCCGGGCTGGCTGTAACTGGTACCCAGGGCTGGCTGTGACGGGCCCCCAGGGCTGGCTGTGACGGGCCCCCAGGGCTGGCTGTGACTGCTCATGCCCGCGCCGGCAGACCTGGGCGGCCCGGTGCCCAAGTGGCGCTGCTACGTTAAGGCCATCAGCTCGACGCACGTGGTGGTGACGCTGCTGCCGGCCAGCTTCGACGACCTGAAGCAGCTGATGCGCGGCGCCGCAGCCGGGACCGACAGCCGCCAGTACGTGCCCGAGGACGCCGAGGAGAGCCTGCGCGCCCTGTTCGCCACCGACAGCCGCGCCGACAGCCTGGCCGACAGCCTGAGCAGCGCCGTGGCGGTGCCGCCGCGCAGCGCTTCGCTCAGCACGCGGCCCGCCGGCGCGGCGCCGGCAGCGGCCGCGCCGCCCGACGGGCTGGCGCAGGCGGCGCGCAGCCGGGCCTGCTCGGCCGGCGCCGCCGCCAAGAAGACGGTCACGCTGGTGACGGACGCGCCAGCGGACGCGGAGGCGCGCGAGGCGCGGCGTGCGGCCCGCACGGCGCGGCCGCGGCACCCCTCGTCGCCGTCCAAGCTGCAGCACTGCGAGTCGGACCCGGCCCAGTGTCCGCACCGCTCGCGCTCGTTCCCCAACAGCGAGGCGGGCCAGCGGCGGCGCGGCTGGTCGCGGCCCTGCCGCCGCCAGCCGGCGCTGCTCGGCTCGCTCAGCCTGCCCGTCTACGTGTACGACTGTGCGCTGCGCTCGCTGACGCAGCAGCTGGGCTACCGGGAGCGCCACGGCCGGCCGCCGGACATCTGCCGGGACGCCCGGTTCGCACTGGCGTCCGAGCAGCGGGCTGCGCCGCCGCGGGAGACGGCCGGCCGGGCCGAGGAGCCCGCCGAAGGTGAGCAGCGGGCGGGCGTCGGGCAGAGGTGGGCACCACCGACGGGGTCATGTGCAGAAGGTCAGGGGCAGGCGACCGCACGCGTCTCACGTAGGACCTCGTGAGGTCCTGCTTGAGGTCCTCTTCCAGCATGTGTGTTTGCTTGCGTTGCTCGCGTTTGTCTGCGCGCAGGGCGTTGTGGCGTTACGGGAGATGCTGTGGCGGCCAGGCTTTAACTCAGCTGCTTTGGGACAGTGTAAACGTTGTCTTGCAGAGGGGACATTGACGAGTGGGATGCGTTGTTGGTCTTACGGAACAAGAGGAAGGCGCGGCTGGTGTCGTGGCTACGTGCAGCCGAGCCTTCCCGCCCGGCCGGGACGTGCACCGTTCGTTTTATCGACCCGTTTTATCTCGCCTGCCCGTCGGACCTCGTGCGGCGGACTCACGCAGCACGGCTGGGCCGGCAGAGCCACCCCACCTGGTGGAGCACTGCAACGTGCTGCAGCTGGCACACACGCGCGCCTTCGTGGTGGGCGTGTTCAGGTCGCTGCAGAGCGCGCAGACGCCGCACCCGCTGGACGTGCAGTCGGCCATCGATCTGTGCGACGAGGAGGCGCTCGAGATTGACATCACCGACTTCCTCAAGGTGGGGTGTCCGGTGAAGCAGGCCGGGGCGTGACACGGGATGTCGCGTCTGACATTGTCGAGGTGGGGCTGTGCTTCTCCCTTTCCTGTGAGACAGCTGGATATCGGATTATTGCTAAGGTATCCGTTTGACCGTTGGCGCATTATGTTAGAATAGGCACCGACCACATCGTGACGTAGGGCCGCTCATTCCCCTGCGTCCGTTTTGATGCTATTCTTCGGCAGCGATTGGTCGCTGAAAGGCATGTTTCGCCCTCTTCCCTGTTGTAGCACACACGTGAACTAACATGAAATGCGTCATGTTATCACTCCTGTTTGCCGCGCCTCATGCATGCGCTCCCCCGGCGAGAGCCGGCAGCCGCGGCTGACGCCTGGCCGTCCCCGCCGCAGACCATCTGCGGCCACATCCGGGACTTCGTGGTGCGCTCTGACGAGGAGCGGCGGCGGCGGCCGGGCGCCGAGCCGGAGACGCGGCTGCCGCTGGCCCTGCTCCGCGGCCACCAGCCCTGCGACCGGCTGCAGAAGGTGCATACCGAGGTGCGCCGCAAGTTCGCGCACATTCTGCGCGCCAGCTTCGGCGCGGCGCCGGCCGGCCCCGAGGTGTACTTCTACCTGCCGCCGGAGCTGCGCACCATGCTGGTACGTGAGCAGACCGGCTGACGGCGGCTCCGACGGGCTGTGTCCGGACTGACAGGGCTGGCGGGCGCCGCTCGATGCCATGCGGCTGGCACGCGTGTGTGTGCGGAGTGAGCAATGTTTGGAGGGACGGAGCGTTGTGTACGCGACCCAGCTGACTCACAGCAGCCGTTACCGTTGCGTGTCTGGAGGAGGCCGTGGCGTCGGTGGCCGGTGGCGCCGCGCTCCGCTCGCACTGGCCTGTGTGACACGCGTGCCCGCGCGGCGGCAGGACGATGAGGCCACACTGCCGGACGACTACCCGGAGCGCGTGCCATCCGCCGACAACGAGGCCAGCACTGTCCAGCTGAACGACATCGATCGCGCCGGTGGGTGGCGGGGCGGCCGGCCGGGCACGTGGTACCTACCGCGCGACACCCCAGCTCTGCCCTGGGCTCGGCAGGGCCGCCACCATGTGACCGTGGGGCCGTGGGATGACCCCTTGACCGGCTGGGCTGAAGTCAGCGATTCCGCTGTCGCCCTGCATCGACCATTTGCCCCGCTCTTCCGTGTCATGGGCCTGATGGCGGTGTTGTGTGCGGCCGGGGACGACGACGGCCAGCGGTCTGGTTTGAGCTGGGCCGTGATGTCTGACGGTCGGCTCCACGCGCGCTGTCGTCAGAGCTGTGGAAGGAGATGCAGCACCCGGAGGAGATCGTCAGCGTGGTCACCAAGACGTCGCTCGTGTCCAACGTGGACTCCGAGTCTGTGGGCGACCTGGACGAACGGGCCGTGGAGATGGGCGAGGAGCGCGAGGAGGAGAGCATGGCGCCGCTGTTCCTGCAGCTGACCTGCACCATCCGCACCGGCGCCAACACCTACACCCGACACATCCGCGATCTGCCCACCTGCATCGGTGAGAGCCGGCCGGCTGGGGGCCTCGGCAGGCGCTCACAGCGCCGCACAGCGGGGGCCTTCCGGGCTGCGCCGCTGACGCTGGTGATGCACGTTCGGTGGAGACGCGAGACTGCTCCCCTGTGGCTTGGCCTGCTGTTGCGGTGCCGTGTCCCGCTGTGGCCTGCCCTCCCCTGAGAATCCCCGGCAGGAGTTAAGCTGTCAAAGATGTGTCCCTTCTCTGACTTGACGCTGTCTTTTCCCACGGGACCGAGCCTGTGCCAAATCTCAGTAATCATTTCTCTGGAACTTGATCAACATATGCGTGTGCTTGCGTGTGATTGTCGTCGCGAGTGTCCTTTTTAACATGGTCTGCCTCTTGACCTTACTGACTCGATGCTCGGAATGGCCATTTTATGTCGGAGTGTTTAAGACGTCAATGCACACATGCATGCATACGTCAGCCTTGCCTGAGGGAGTAGCAAGACGCCGTGCACGACAGGGTGCTGTCATCGTGTGTTACCCGGTGAGACCTGACCCTGTCGCACCTCACTGTGATCTGACCTTTGGTGTACTCCAGGGGAGCTGACAGGAGGCATGAGCGAGACGGACATACCGCTGGACACGGTCCAGGTCACGCTGGACCTGCTGTGTCTCACGCTGCCGTACCAGGTAGGCAGGCTGGGCCCCGCACGCCGCACCGGTCGCGCTGTGTACATCGTCTGTTGTCTTCAGCTTGTTCAGGCGGGACCTGTGTGCGTCCGCTGCTGACCGCTCCGCTGTTGGTCAGGTCAGGTCAGCCGTCAGTCGTCAGGTCAGTCGTGTCAGACCGCTCTGTGTCAGCTCAGCTCTGCCGACCGGAGCGCGTGACGTGACGCGTCTCCTGCCGGTGCGCCAGACCTCTGAGCGGCCCGACGGCCGGTGTCTGCGCGCCAGACCTCTGAGCGGCCCGACGACTTTGTCGGCGCGCCGGTTCCCTGAGCGGCTCGACGGCCCGGCAGGTGGACGTCCGGATATCGGAGCACACCAAGCATCAGGTGCGCGCCACTTCGTTCTGCTCGGACGGCCTGGGCTGCTCGGAGGTGCTGGAGATGGGCAGCTGCGGTAGCGGCCGCAGCAGCAGCAGCGATGTCGAGAGGTGAGAGCGCCAGGAGCCGGATTCTGTGCCGGTGAGCAGGCGTGGTGAGTTACGAGGCGTAGAGTGTAGTGTGGTGAGAGCGACGGCAATATTCATTCAGGCAAAACGCGATGTGCCCAATGTCCCTTGCGTTGTTTATTGATCTGCTTGGTTGATAAGCCGGCTACTCGCGTTATCCGGTACGGGGAGCCCGAGTCGTCAGGTAGCCTGACCCCAGCCTACCCTGCAGCTTCAATGCCAGCCAGCTGGGCAACCACCTGGGCAACCTGAGCGAGTACCAGGTACAGGCGGTGACGGCCACCAAGGGCGAGGTGCAGTGGCTGCTGATGGACGAGATCGCCGCCCTCCTGCTGGACAGCTTCCCGCCGCAGCTGTCCGTGCTCACGACGGTGGCGGACCACGTGCGCCGCTCGGCCGGTCAGTCCCCCTTCTCTCCCCGTCTCGCTCCTATGAACGGTGACTTGGTGACTGACGTACTGTTGGTCAGAGTCGGGGCGGACGTAGCTGTGCTGGTGTGGTCAAAAATCACAGCAAACTAACGATAATGAGGCGAGACGCGTCATTGTTTTGCATGTTAAATCAGGACTGCATAAGATGCGTGAAATTCTGACAGGTCAGATCCAGATGTCCCGGCCCCGACGCGGCTGTGTGCACAAGCGGATCCAGCTCAACTTTGTCTATGGACCGGAGAAGAGCATTGATAAGTTCATGGAGGCAAGTCAACGTACCCCTCTGTCGGGCTCATTGATGGGGAGGGGAGGGAGTGGTCATAGCATTTATTCTTACGTTGCTCATTCAATCTTGTTTTGGTCTCAGCGCGCCAGGAAAATGTTCATTCAGTATACATCCTTCAGAGCCGCTCTTTCTCTGCGGTATGGTGCCTAAGGACTCGCTCTCCTTGCTTTACCGTATCTCAGGCTTGCTCAGTTCCGTGCTTCAGCGCCACTGTGACAGTGGCACTGTCGCCAATGCAGCTTTGACTACTTCCGTCAGTGGCGCTAATACAGCTGTGCGGTGTCTCAGACCCGTGCTCCGTGCCGCGCAGGAGTTCCGTCGTCTGCAGGTGCCTGGCTACGAGCTGGCCCAGCTGGACAACCTGTACTACCTGGTGCACGAGTCCTCCTCATGTCAGGCGCTCACCTGGAGTCTGGTGCCGCCGCTCGGCCCGCTCCGTCACGCTGCTCGCTTCACACCGCCGCCGAACGCCCCAGGTGCGGGTGGAGCCGCCGCGCGCGTCACGGCGGCGGTGTGCGTGCGGGCGAGAGCTGGGGATGTGCGGGGACGCGGGGGCCGGCGATGGGCAGGACGCGGCTTCGTGACCGAGCGCGTGTGGAAGACTGAAATGTTGAAGGCTGCTGGCGTCGCCCAGCTGCCGGAGACAGATCTGGTTATGGTCCTGATGAGGCCAAGCTTCGTGTGACTCCCTCCTGCTGTGTACCGGTGGCGGGGACCGATCGAGCGGGGATGGATTTCGCCTCGTCTCGCTGACCGGAGAAGCGAGCCGCCGCGGCCGGCTGTGTCGTCTCTGACCGCCTTGCCCGGGTGCCGCGCGGGCAGGGTTCTCCATGGAGGAGGTGGCGTCAGTGCGGCGACCCTGCACGCCGGACGCGCTGATGGCGCAGACTCTGCTGGCCCGCTCCACCAGCGTCGATCTGTGCCAGTACCTCACCAGTGAGTACGGTGCCCGGCCGGACGTCAGGACTACGTACCGGACGCCCGTACATGGCGCGGATGATTGCGTACTCTTGAAATTGGGAGCGGCTAGCCACTGTTACAGCGGAGTCCGTCGCTGACCTGCCCGGGAGGTTGTTCAGGACTTGGGCGGGCCGTGCTGGCCTGTGGGACGCAGAGCCCGCCGGCGCCGCTAACGCCGCTGACGCCGCCGGCCCGCCCTCCCGCCGCAGGCCTCGGCTCCGTGTCGGACGACGACTGCACGGCGCAGAACCACCAGGCGGCGCGGCGCGTGCCGCCGCGCCTGCGCCGCTCCGTCTCACACCGGCCGGCCTCCACCGAGGCGGCGCTGAGCCACGAGGACCGCGAGGTGGCCGCCCTGTTCGGCGGCGCGCCGGCCCAGCCGCGCCGCCGGCCTCGCAGTCAGGTACGCCGCCGGGCCGCTGCCGCGGCACGCCGGCCGCGCAGCCAGGCGCAGAGCGGACGACACCAGCCGCCGGGCTCAGTGTTGCAGACCGGACGGGTGTTTATTTCTGATGGCATTGACCCACGCGAGTAATGATGCGTCTGTTTCGCGTACACGCAAACATGCACTCACGCATCGACCGTACACCAGAACTCGTGTGTTCACGTACTGTTGTTCGTAGTTGGTTACTTATACACGCTTTCTGATATCCACGATTGAAAAATCGGTGTAGTTGGAGCCCTTATCGCCATTGGAATGTTTCATTGCTGCTTCCCCGGCCTGGGTTTGTCCAAGTTGTCTCCAGACCAGATGAACAACACGTGGACTGGACCGCATGCAAGATGTGTTCTGCGTTCTGACTTGGTTTTCATCTAGCCAACGCCCTGTTGGTCAGTGACGTGTAAATTTACTTTGGACCACTGCTGCTGAGATTGTGCTTGCTTTCATGCTTCTGTCTATGCTTCCAAAAGCTGTGCACTGACCTGCCAAACTAATCCTGTGCCTCTGGTAGTGTCTGCTGGCGTATCTGACGGGCCCTGAACCCTCGTTGTCCGCCAGCGTGGCATCCCTTTGTCGCTCCCGGTGTCTTGTGCCGGCTGGCGGCGGCCGTCCCCCTGAGTGTGTCACCCTGCCGCCAGGTGTGGGAGGGCGCCGAGGACGTGGCGGCGGCCGTCCCCCTGAGAGTGTCACCCTGCCGCCAGGTGTGGGAGGGGCGCCGGGGACGTGGCGGCGGCCGTCCCCCTGAGTGTGTCACCCTGCCGCCAGGTGTGGGAGGGCGCCGGGGACGTGGCGGCGGCCGTCCCCCTGAGTGTGTCACCCTGCCGCCAGGTGTGGGAGGGCGCCGGGGACGTGGCGGCGGCCGTCCCCCTGAGTGTGTCACCCTGCCGCCAGGTGTGGGAGGGCGCCGGGGACGCGGCGGCGGCCGTCCCCCTGAGTGTGTCACCCTGCCGCCAGGTGTGGGAGGGCGCCGGGGACGCGGCGGCGGCCGTCCCCCTGAGTGTGTCACCCTGCCGCCAGGTGTGGGAGGGCGCCGGGGACGCGGCGGCGGCCGTCCCCCTGAGAGTGTCCCCCTGCCGCCAGGTGTGGGAGGGCGCCGGGGACGCGGCGGCGGCCGTCCCCCTGAGAGTGTCCCCCTGCCGCCAGGTGTGGGAGGGCGCCGGGGACGTGGCGGCGGCCGTCCCCCTGAGAGTGTCCCCCTGCCGCCAGGTGTGGGAGGGCGCCGGGGACGCGGCGGCGGCCGTCCCCCTGAGAGTGTCCCCCTGCCGCCAGGTGTGGGAGGGCGCCGGGGACGCGGCGGCGGCCGTCCCCCTGAGAGTGTCCCCCTGCCGCCAGGTGTGGGAGGGCGCCGGGGACGCGGCGGCGGCCGTCCCCCTGAGAGTGTCCCCCTGCCGCCAGGTGTGGGAGGGCGCCGGGGACGTGGCGGCGGCCGTCCCCCTGAGAGTGTCCTCCTGCCGCCAGGTGTGGGAGGGCGCCGGGGACGTGGCGGCGGCCGACTCGCGCCGCTGTCGCTCGGCCGCCGAGGTTGACTCCACCGCCGTCCAGCCGCCCCGCCCGGCCAGCGACAGCTCCAGCAAGCTCGACGATAACATCCACGTACGTGTCGTGTCTGCCGCCGGGGGCGCCACACGCAGCGGCCTGCTAGCCGCACGTCGCGTGGGACTGACACGGGAGTCATGGAAATCCGAGGGATGTGAATTAGCTTTGTGCTGGCTTAGAAACTAATGCCATGATGAACACATGTCGGTCGCTTTGTGCATTCGTTCACAGTAGGCCTTCTCTAGTCGCAAGAGCGTGCCTGGGTTATGCAGTGATGTTATATCATTCCCCTGCGTGGGCTGTGCGCCGGTCCGCACCGCTGATGTGTGTGCTGTCTGTGGCGGACATGTGGCCGCGAGTGTCGGAGTGTGCGCCCGGCCTTCCGCCTCCTCCGCCACCGGGCAGCGCGCGCGCGTGGGCGTGTGGGTGGATGGGTGGCGGGCCGGGCCCACCGTGTCGGGTGCGTGCCTCACCGGGTTCCGTGGGCCGGCAGCTGACCGAGGAGGGGTACGAGGGCGACGGTGACAACAACTCTGACTCGGAGCACGAGCCGGCCGAGCGTATCCTGCTGCCGGCCTTCTGGCTCATCCTGTACGTCTCGGAGGAGGCCGTCGACACGTTCTTCCACTGCAGGCGAGTGACGCTGCGGACCGGCGGCCGGACTGCCGGGTGCCGAGGACGCGGTGGTCTGAGTCCCGACGCCGCTGGGCTGTACGGGCGTGGCTGTAAGGCGCTGGGCGTTGCGGTTTAGTCAGGCAATCGCGTCAGTGCTTTTGTATATCAATAGCGTATGCGTTTTCGAATTCAGCACATCCGTGGGAGTGAAAATATTGCAGGTTGTTTACATTTTGTTGTCTAAACTAACCATGGTGTGTGCGTCCCCGGTTTTCTTAGAAGGCTATGTGTGTCGGCCAGCATGTTATGTTTGCACGCGCTCGGGTGCGGGCAATCCGCTCCCCCCCCCCCAAGTTTAAAAAAAAATAGCTTCCGAAGGGTGCGGCGTAGCATCGCCAAACTTTGCGTAGTTGTGGGCAATTTAGCAGCTCAGCATTGTGATAGGTAAATAAATAGCAGTCTTATCTGAAACGAAGATTTACCCTTTAAGGTTGCTGACCTCAGGCAGGTCAAAGTCAGACCGTGGTTGTCAGCGAAGGGAATACGCAGGGAATCGTTCAATCTTATGCGACAGGGGGGTGTTGGGCTAAGTCAGATACCTGTGAGATTTATATTGTGATGATTTCTTAGACAATTGGGCAATCGAATTTAGGATTGTGACTAATCCCATTGACCTTGGGTCAGCTACGAAGGTCAGACCGAGATAAAAACCAAGTCACTCTTTGACAACGCATATTGCTTTGCAGGGTACTTTTAGCGTTTATTTCGAATCTCTTGGTCACAGGGACATCAACAGACATATTATTTGAACTTCATGATGGTCAGAGGGGGTCACTGACTTACAATGACCCCAATGGACCTTTTGTTTTTAGGAGCATTCCGCCTAACGTAGTCCTTGCCCCCTATTTTTGTTGAAGCGTTATACCAAATTTCGAAGGTTTTTTGGCTCATTTACCCTCTGAAGGTCAAATAAGGTCACTGGCCCGTCATTAATATCAGTGACTTTTTGCCTAGAAGAAGTATGTGTAAAAAGTATGCGGATGAAATGTGGTCGCGTGACGTGACCTGAGGACACTTCGGACACCAGTGTGGAGTTTGATCTTATTTGACCATCTTTGACCTGGCGGTTATGACCTAGGGACCTCACGATTTGGCACAAGTGAGTTTACATGCGGGCATGTAACCTAACCTGTGAATTTGGTGACTCCAGGTATGTTGATTTTCGATATATTGGAGGGTCAAATTGCTCCTTCCCTCACCCCAACCGAGCGTCTCGCATTCAACCGGCCACCCGGGCGCATGCTACTGCGTCAGTGTGTTGTGCCATTCAATTGTCATCATCCTTTGCAGGTACCGACGTGAGGATGTCTGTGACAACAAAGCAATTCACGACCAGGTCATTGCCAAGATCAACCAGATATGCAAGGTGGTGAACCAGGTAGGTGGGCCCGTCTTCTGACCTTTCGGTCTCGCGCTAGTCGTGCACGGAAAGGCAGGGCACACGCGTGTGTTGGCCATACCGTTCACCAGCCCCCCCCCCCCCGCCCCACACACACGCGCACAAACGCATAAGGTTTCATTTACGGCGTTTCCCAGAGACAGGCCTTCGCCGTGTGTCGTCGTTCCACGCCGCTGTCGGACACAGCGGCGCTTGCTCTTGAGGTCCAAACGACGTGCTGCGGGCGGCGGATGGGACCGTGGTGTGGCTGTGATCTGCCCGCCAGTGGTGCTCCATGGCCCAGTGACGCCCCGCCAGCGGTGTCTGCTGTGTTCCCACTGTCCGGCGACGCCTCGCCAGCGGTGTCTGCTGCGTTCCCGCTGTCCGTTGACGCCTCGCCAGCGGTGTCTGCCGCGTCCCCGCTGTCTGGTGGTGACGCCTCGCCAGCGGTGTCTGCTGCGTCCCCGCTGTCCGGTGACGCCGGTCATGCCGCGAATGCGCTGACGCTGCGGCCGTCGCTGCGGCAGATGCTGCTGCTGCAGGAGCTGGAGAGCTCCCGCTTCTGCGACAACCTGCTGGAGCCGGAGTCGAGCGCCGACCTGTGGCAGGCGGACGAGCTGCATGGCCTGTCGGCCAGCTACAGCCGTCCCGGCGCCCACTCGCCCGATGGTCAGTAGGCCCCGGACCGTGTGTGTGTGTGGGTGTGGGTGTGGGCGTGTGGGTGGGTGTGCGTGTGCGTGCGCGTGCGTGCGTGCGTGCGTGCGTGCGCGCGCGTGTGCGTGCAGGTACCGGACCGAGTCTGCGTTGGAGAGCCGACCTCACATGGATGCGTGTATGCGCAGAGCCCAGGTGTGTACTGGCCATGTGCAATGCAGGTCGCGTCATTTGTAACTTAGATACGAGCGGTTCACCAGGGTTGCCTGAAGCCATCTGTGGTTCGTGGACTGGACGTTTGTCTTGACTTTGAAGCACTTGGTGCTCCAAGGTCAACAACCATGCTGCCCCAAGGCCATGGTGCTCCCAGTCCGCTGCCCTCGCCTATGCAGCCCGTGACTAGGGTTGTATCGGCGGCGCAGTCGTGCGGCAGCCGTGCCCGACAGCTGGTCCTTGTTGAGCCTCCGTGCCGTGCCGGCAGACCTCAACCGCCACTACCTGGAGGCCAACCTGAAGTTCCAGGCGGGCCACTTCGCCTGTCCGGTCACGTGGTGCGCCCAGTTCGCTCTGCACCCGCGCCTGCGCGGTCCGGCGCACGCGGCCGCGCCTGGGCTCGCCTACCTACGCCAGGCGCTCGAGACGTTCGCCGTCACCAACCGGCGCAACATGTTCGTCTTCAAGGACCCCAAGCTGGAGCAGGTGTTCTACCTCAGGTGAGAGAGCTGGAGCGCGGTGAGTGCGATTCGTGGGGGCAGGTGTCCAGGCAGACTGCGGAGTGTGTAACGCCCAGTGCCTGTGGGTCTAGCGACATAGTCACGCTCCTGGCTGCATGTGGTGTGATGTGCCACCATTGAGGCCCGGCCCTCTCGGAACAAACTACAGGCCAGTGCTCGCGCGTCTGGTAACTGTGTGTCGGTCTCGCTGACTGTCCGTGTGGCGCTGCGCCCTGCTGAGGCCTGTTCCCATGTGTGGGCAGGCTGCAGAAGTGCTGTGCGGCCAGTGCTCGCGCCGCTGGTGACAGTATGTCTCCTCCAGCTGTCTGTGTGGTGCTGCACCCTACTGAGGCCCGCTCCTCCTTGTGTGGGCAGACTGCAGGAGTGCTGTGCAGCCAGTGCTCGCGCCTCTGGTGACAGTATGTCTCCTCCTGCTGTCTGTGTGGTGCTGCGTCCTACTGAGGCCCGCTCCTCCTTGTGTGGGCAGACTGCAGGAGTGCTGCGCGGCCAGTGCTCGCGCCGCTGGTGACAGTATGTCTCCTCCAGCTGTCTGTGTGGTGCTGTGTCCTACTGAGGCACGCCCCTCCTTGTGTGGGCAGACTGCAGGAGTGCTGCGCGGCCAGTGCTCGCGCCGCTGGTGACAGTATGTCTCCTTCAGCTGTCTGTGTGGTGCTGCGTCCTACTGAGGCACGCCCCTCCTTGTGTGGGCAGACTGCAGGAGTGCTGTGCAGCCAGTGCTCGCGCCTCTGGTGACAGTGCGTCGGCCCTGTCCCTGGACGAGCGTCTCTCGCTGCAGCCTGGCAGACCCAGCATCACCAGTCTCAAAGACGAGGTGGGCAATCGCTCGCAGGCAGGCCGACGGATGAGGGGAAGGAATTCAGCGAGTTGCTGTCGGACAGCCTGTGGCGCACAGTTGTATGATAATTTCAACCGTATTAATATACGAATTTGCTATCGCGACGTGGGCTGATATTAAGGTCTGGTGGTTTTAACAGAGTACGTCCGGCGCAACATTAACATTGTGCTTAACATAACATTTACATAACATTAACATAACATTAACAACATTGTGCTTGTTGCGGAACTAGGAATGCTGATTCAACCATGTCACGGACACTGAATGCAGTGGGCAGCTCCCTCCCCCCCCCCCCCCTCTCCAATATCCGGGCGATAGTTGATATTTACCCAATGGTGGTGCTTTAGAAAAAAATGCAAAAATAGCATTTTCCGTCCCGCTGAGATACTGTCACTGAAACAAGTAAATGCTCGGCACTAATTGCTCTCATTCTGAAACCTGATATATGTTAATAAAGCCCACATTTTTTATCATATTTCAATTGGGTGTCTGCTAATATGCGCTTCAACCGTATTCGAGTTGGAGCTATCGAAGTTCCATGTCCCACGTTTGCGGGAGCTGCCCGCGAGATGCACGCGAGTTTCCTGGCAGATATGCACATCACTGTCTCATGCGTCACTGCCCAGACGACTGTCGTTCTCGTCTGCCCGTGAGTGTGGGCCCACGAGCTGAGCGTGCGCCCGTGCCGGTGTGTGCCACGCGGCGAAGGGCGCCGCTGACTGGTGGTGCGCTCCGCTTCGCAGCCGTCCCGGGGCCGCTGCACCTCCGTGGGCGAGCGGGAGACCAGCTCGCGAGCGGAGTCCGGCGAGGGCATCATGCTGATGGTGCACGGCATCACCGAGCCAGGTAACCCGCAGCGCTAGCTAACACGGCATCAGCGAGCAACGTAACCCGCAGCGCTAGCAAACAGGCATTACCGAGCCAGGTAACCCGCAGCGCTAGCAAACAGGTGCACGGCATCACCGAGTCAGGTAGCCTAGAGCGCTAGCCAACACGAAATCACCGAGCCAGGTAACCCGCAGCGCTAGCCACCAGCGCCGGGTGGGAGCGACTTTAACTCACGTCACTGGCGGAGGGCAGGAGGCGCCCCGCCCAGTGAGTCCCAGAGCTGGGCTGGAGCCGCCACGCGAAGATCTGCAGGCAGACCGGTCTCTCAGGAATCGAGCTATGCCCGGTTTGACCAGTTGAGGTCAAACAATGACATTCCGAATCTGATGGACCATAGTGCAAGCGAGCACAAAGCTGAAAATTTACCATTTTTGTTGGGAAGGACGACACATGTTGAGCCAAATAGGCACTGTGTCGTGCCCATCATCATATTTAGTGTCCAACTGTAGCCTGGGAACGATGTAAGGTCAGAGGCGGTAAGCGTTAGTCATCGACTCTATTGGACCATGACAGTGTTCTCATCCTAGCCAAAGTGGCTCGTGCGCCTGTAGATTATTACCTTATGCTGATTCCAGTTCCAAAAGTGTCATCTACTACCCATGAACAGCAAATGACCGGCCGTTGTCTTGTAAATGACTTTGCAAGCCCTTGGAGGCGGCTCATGGAGGCTCATGGATAAACTTATGCAATTGTTTTGTACACCAAAACATTGGTATACTTTTCAGGGAAAAGGACTGCTCCAGAAAACGAAATTTCTCTGTTGAGTAAACATGCTCCTTAACATGTGGGTATTTCATGGCGTCACCGTTCCTTGCACATTGATCGAGAGCCAGTTGACGGCCTAAAATCTGGACATCGGGCTCACGAATGCCAAATGCGAACGACTCGATCATTTACTGTGGCGTCATGGATGCCTGGGTGACCTTGAAATAGTCCCCGAAATGGTCTGCACATCTCCGTGGGCATGTTGCTCTGAAACTAGAGGGGTTTGGGTATAAAGAGGTGCAGGACTGTGAACTGCACCGAATGATCTTCAAGATGGCTATTTTAGTTCAAAACCCCATGCAAAAGTGAAACACTCCTTAACTTTGATTCTATGCATCTTAAGCACACATAAAATAGATACATTTTGGTCAGCCTTGTCCCAAATGCGATGCCGTGTCGGCCTGTGAGGCCGCTGATGATAGCGTCCCGACCGGCAGGCCCCAGCATTAAGGAGGATCTGGTGGAGCTGCTGTACAACCGGCTGGACGAGCGGCTTCTGGAGCTGTTCTCCAAGGCGCTGCTGCGAAACCCGCAGACCAAGCTGGCACCCGAGGACGTGCACTTCATCCAGCGGCCGGGGGCGCCGCCCGACCACAGCCTCAAGGTGACTATGTACCCGGCCACATCGTACGGACCACGGCGCCCGACAAGAGTGCCCAAGTGACGTACGTGAAATTGCAAATTGTGTCCGGTGACCACGGTCTCAAGGTGACCACATATCAGGCGAGCGTTAGAATACTCTCCCACACGGCGTCGGCGGTAGGCGGGTCCACTCCGAGGGTGTGCGCCGTTACGTATTGGTCAGCTGTAGGCCGGTGTTAGAATACTCTCCCACGCGGCGTCGGCAGAAGGCGGGTCCACTCCGAGGGTGTGCGCCGTCACGTATTGGTCAGCTGTAGGCCGGTGTTAGAATACTCTCCCACACGGCGTCGGCAGAAGGCGGGTCTACTCGGAGGGTGTGCGCCGTCACGTATTGGTCAGCTGTAGGCCAATGAGCGGGCGCCAGCGCCGGCGCCGATGTTGCACGTGCCCCCAGTGTGACGGCTGGGCGCTCTGTCGCAGTTCACCCTGCCGCCGTCGGCCGTGCCGCACCTCGACTCGGTGGTCGGCTACCTGCGCAACAACCTGCTGCAGCTGCTGCACCAGCCCAAGTACACCGACAGCCGTGAGGAGAACCACTTCCGGGTGAGTGGCGACCGCCCCCGGAGCCTGGTGGGGCAGAGCGGCCGAAGATGGGACGGCCACCGCCCTCCGGAGGCGTTGGTGGCCTGTTGAGACTGGGTTCACATCTGTTCCAACTCATTTCCGTACTGTGAACCAGACTGGGAAGGGATGTCGGTGTGTTCGACGTTTCGTAGTGTGTGAACGGGACCGGCACTGAGCATGCGGACACGCCCGCTAACGTCTGGGCGGTGCGCGCAGGACTGGGGCAGCAGCGGGGACTCGGACATGTTCCTATACCTGCCGTCGGAGAAGCACGGCGGCCGCGGCATGGCCTGCGTCTCCCTGTCGACGGTGCGGCCGTCGGCGCCGCCACCGCCGCCACCACTGCCCCTGCTGGAGGCCGCCGCAATAGAGTGGACGCCCGCTCAGTTCGAGGCGCTGACCAGCACCAAGCTGTACGACCCACAACGGGACGGTGAGCAGCGTGCGTGCGTCGGTACCTGGTCACGCTGGCTGAGTGACGTGCTGACCGAGGCAACCGGCGGGGATTTGCTGTGTGGCTTGAAGTGCGCCGACGGCATTAACAGCGCGTTGATACTGACAGCCGTGTCGTTGTCCGGGTGTAGTACTGCCTCGGATGTGTTGAGCTGACTGAAAGAGATCAGCTGCTGTAAGTTCATACATCTAGTGAGGAGATGTACACATACCAGTATCGTCAGTAACATGGAGACAGTTACCGCCTGACCGGGGGCGTTTAAACATCGGCTTCTGCCTTCTGGTACGGTGGCGCCGCCGTGCGTCCGACCCTGCGGTGATAAGCGGTTGGTGGGGTGATGATTAGAGGCCAGCATTTAACAAGCCCCGTTGAGTGTATTTCCCAACTTGCGTATGTGTCGCCAATGGCTTAGGATAACGGTGTGGGTGAATCGGAGAAAAGGGCTTTCGGAGACGTAAATTGTAATAACGCGTCAGAGTTGTGTTTGCTAACCGTGATCTTGGCGCAGCCAGCCGTGCTGGGTTGGACCGCCGCGTCCGCCGCCGCTGCCTTACCATGTGTATGCAGCTGACCCCTGAGGGGGCCCGGTCCTTCCTGGGCAGGTCCGGACGCCGTGCTGCTCCAGTTCAACATCTGGGAGAAGGGCCGTGCCAACCTGGCCTGGCTCGAGCCGCGCCTGCCCTCGGCCATCCGGTACGCGCTCTGGGACCGCTGCATGGTCTGCCACGTGCTGCCGCACGCGCCGCTGGAGGGCGCCGGCGGCCGCGATCTGGCGGCCGCACTGCGAGGTAAGTGGCGCGTGCCGCCGGCCGAGCCGGGCCCGCTGGGCTGGTGCTGGGCCCGCTGGGCTGGAGCCGGGCCCGCTGGGCTGGTGCTGGGCCCGCTGGGCTGGAGCCGGGCCCGCTGGGCTGGTGCTGGGCCCGCTGGGCTGGTGCTGGGCCCGCTGGGCTGGTGCTGGGCCCGCTGGGCTGGCGCCGGCCCTAGCGTCGGTTGGCCTGCCGCGGCAGCTGGGCGGCCAGCTCCTCTGATGTTTGTTTTTTTCGTGGTGGCTTATCTCCTCACAGATGTCGGCCGCGTTTGATTTTGTCTAGTCATGGGAAATGCTTGTCTGGTCCTAATTTATGAATGCTTCTGTTTTGCAATACCTGGCTCGTATCGCACATTTCTTGCACAGTTGTCAGTTCGGTTGCGGTCGTACCGCAGTTTTTTGCGATGATTATTGACTCCTCTCACCCACCCCCTCCTCCACCCACCGTATGTTCCACCGCACGGTCTGCCGTGTGGTCCCCACAGACCGCACGTGATCTGCGCCGCATACCCTGGGGTGGCGTTGGCTGCCGTGCGCTCGCGGCACCTCTGGTTGCCAAGCCCGCTTGCTTCGGCCGCTTCCTTGCCGGGCGCCGTGCTCCATCCGGCGACATTCCTCCCGAGCTTGCATGTTCTGGGACAGGTTAACCGGTGCCTGACACCCTCATCTCTCGGATTTGGACGACATTTTGTCTCAGGGGGGGGGGGGGGGGTAATCCACAGCGATGGAAGTGTCGGGAACAGTACCAAGTCTCTCGGTTCACACGTTTGAGAGTTATGGCCTCCGGCAGTTCCGTGTCACGTCGCTGCAGGGGCGTTTTCGACAGGAAATTTGTCCGCTGCGACGGACGGAAACTAGGCAAATCGACGTACCTACGGACCGAGTAAAATCTAATAAACGCACAAACGACACTCGCTACACCGCGGCGCATACATCTGTGGCAGTAAAATGGTGTCAGGTATGGAGAAGGCGTTGGGGGTTATGTCCCAAGTGATGTTGGCATTTGTCCCCACAACTTGAAAACCTGTTTCTATGTGTAGACCAGAATGGAATTACTCGATCGAAAAAATGGAGTGGCTGCCTTAGTCATCGAAAGCTATGACGTAAGCTTATAATTACGGCCCTAAGTAGTCATTAGATTTCGCGACATCACCTGGCTTTCGGCGGCGCAGCGGCGCCTGACTCCAGCTGCTCCGGCGTTTCTCGCTGGGGCGGGCGAGAGGACTGAGGGATGTAGGTCGGCCTCATGACAGACAACGGTATCTGCTGGGTGACTTTGTCGGTGATGAAGTGTGGCAGTGGACTTGTGTGTGCATTGTGAAACGCTAAAAACATCCACATTGCGCGCGCCCATTTCCGGAGACACAAAACCAGATAGAGGGATGGAGAGACACATACCGAACTTGAGCAAAACTTACTATTTTTCTTACAGAAGCGCAGCCCAGCAGCAAACAAGGCAAAAACAATCACATTAATACCGTACAGCTCTCTATTTCCGCTCTTTATATAGTCTACTTCCGCAGACTTGGGAACCACATGTGGCTGAGACTTTTCGCTACATCCCGCGGCCTGGTGGCGTTGGTGGTACTGTAAAAGGAGCACTGTTGACGAAAGGTCTGAGGCGACCAGATACTGGCCACATGTTATGGGCGTAGGTATTCTTTTGTCCTCGCGTGGGAGTTTGAAACCACCAGCAATCTTTGCTTGATAGAAAAGGGGAGGGGAGAAAGCTAGTGGCCCATGCTTCCTGCTTATGCACTAACGGAACTATTAGAGGCACCCAGCCATTCCTCGGGTCGGCTGATCAGCCTGCTTCAGATGCGTTCTGGTTAATACAATAAACCTAACAATCCGCGAACTGTCACGCGCGCCTGGTAACAATGTTCGGATTAGGTGTAGTACGCAGAGGTTGAAACTGGGGAGTTTAAAACGGCTTTCGTGTGAGCTATTGATTGGAACTTCCGTGGTTGGCTCTCTTTTTTTCTTCGAAGAAAAGAGCACTGTTTTTGACACACCGTCGCGAGGCTGTGTGGAGCCTGCTGTCGCCTGTGCGGTAAAAGCGTGTCAGGTTTCAAGAGGTCCGGTTTCGTACGGCTCTGCACATGTATGCACGTCAGGTCAGTCTGGTTCCTGACTGTTGGTGATTTTCTAAGTGTATATGTATATCCGTCCCGCACATGTAAATGCCGTGCGTATCAACCCATGGCCGTTATGAATGCATCCACATGGTTTACTTTCACATGAAAATGTCTTCAAAGACAAGTCAACATTAGAAAATACCCATGCAACCCAGGTTAACAAATTTGGCTAAGGCTTTACATGCTGAATGTAATCGCGCATTTTTTATGCATTTCGCGGCAGGTTGCATTGCATTTTCCTTGCATTGTTCTCTTTTTTGAGCTTGGTATGCCCTGCCAAGTGTACATTGTCACAGGCGTGTGCATCGTCCCTGAGAAACTCTGGCAGAACATGTCGTCAAAACTCGAGAGCTGAGGGTGTAACGCGGTCCTTCGGATCGGCCGATGCGTCCTGGAACACCCCGGCTCGCACGGCGCCACCAGCTCTCAGGCTGCGCACACTGTACACTGTAGGCCGCACTGGCTGTGGCCGGCCGGCGCTGTGGCCGCCGCTGCGCAGTAGTAACTGGCGCGCGGCTGCGCCCGGCCGGCAGGCGCGCCGCCGCCGCCGCCGCCGCCGCCGCCTCCGCTCCGCTCCATGTCGTTGTTTGAGTCGGCCGTCGGCCGGGGGCCGGCCGGCCAGGCGGACGCCGCTCCGGCCATCGTGCTGACGACGCCGCCGCCCGACCGTGAGTGGCATGACACCGCATGGGGCCGCAGCTGGCCGGCTAGTGGGGGCGGGCAGACCTCCGGCAAGCTCAGCACGCGGCGCCGGCCGACTGGTGAGGGGCGAACCAACCCTCGGCCAAGCTCAGCACGCGGCGCCGGCCGCTGCTGCTGCTCCGTCTGTGGGGGTGGGCGCGGGGCGGGCCGCGCGGTCCTGCTCTCAGTGCCCGGCTTGGTGTCCAGCTAGCAGGCGGCCGTGCGTCAGCTGTGCCGGTCTCTGTCAGTACTGCCAGGCATTGTTTAAGCCTTAGCGGTCCGCGTATGAGAGGCTGTAGCGGTCCGTGTCTGAGCTCTAGTGGTCCATGTCTGAGCTGTTGTGGTCCATGTCTGAGCTCTAGTGGTCCATGCCTGAGCTGTTGTGGTCCATGTCTGAGCTTTAGTGGTCCATGTCTGAGCTTTGGCGGTCCATGTTTCAGTTGTAGTGGTCCATGTTTGAGTTGTAGTGGTCTATGTCCAGGCTGTAGCGGTCCATGTTTGGGCTGCAATGGTCCGTGTCTGGGCTGCCCGGCCACGCCACTGACTGGAGCCCGGCCGAAGCGTGGACAATGTGTGATGGCTCGTTGGCTCGTAAGGCTGAGAGAGGTGCCACAGGTGCATCGGGTGTCGCTATTAAATCGTGCAAACATTTGTCCTCTGACTGTTGGTGTGCAACGCTTCATTGAAAGGCGACTGTGATAGGACTAGCCCGCCTGCGATGATCCGTTGGATGCAGCTGATAGGGACGGCAGTGATCCGAACGTGCGTAAGCCAGATAGCGGGTAGGGCAGCGCGTAAATCATGCGGTGCTCCCAAAATGTGAACGATGCGTGCAACGCATGCGGCACGCCATGTGCGCATCTCTCACTGCTGGAATAACGCCGCGTGGCTTGCGCGGCGTCCTCCGGGCTACCTGACGCACGCGCTCCGGGATCCATGGTCTCGAAGCTATGCACGTCTCCGTTGGTACTTTTAAACCTGGAGTGAGGTTTACGCCGCCGTCATCGCATGGTCTTGCTGGATGCATAAGAAAACGTGGTCGGTGCCACTGTTGGTCTGTGTTTAAAAAAACGCTCTTCACGCTCGTCGTGGCATGCCATAACAATATGTGCACGCGAGGAATTGTTTACTATCAGAAGTGCTGGTCTTAAATCCAGTAAACATTGTAAACGGTTAATGGAGAACAACAATGTCCGTAAAGCAATACCCCGTATATGTGTATGTCTGCTGCGGTGCGTCAATCAGCCTGTCTTAGTGAGGACTCCCGTTATTGATGTGACGGTTCTGTGCCCCACCAGTCTGTGAGTTTGCCTCAGTGAGGCCTCTTGTGATTGACGTGACGGTTCTGTGCCCCACCAGTCTGTGAGTTTGCCCCAGTGAGGCCTCTCGTGATTGATGTGACGGTTCTGTGCCCCACCAGTCTGTGAGCTTGCCCCAGTGAGGCCTGTCGTGGTTGATGTGACGGTTCTGTGCCCCACCAGTCTGTGAGCTTGCCCCAGTGAGGCCTGTCGTGGTTGATGTGACGGTTCTGTGCCCCACCAGTCTCTGAGCTCTGGCCTGGGTTAACACACAACACGCCTGGCACGGGCGATGGGTATGTAACAACTAACTGTCAGTCCAGACCTGTCTGGGACCCGGCGGGTCTCTGTGCTGTGGTGGACCGCTGACACCGCCCGGTCAACAGCGACACCACCCGGTCGGCAGTGACACTTCTGGGCGGTCACGGGGTGCGTCCTGGCTGGGCGGCTCGCTGGACTCTGTAGTGGACCGCTGACACCGCCCAGTCAGCAGCGACACCTCCGCGCGGTCACGGAGTGCGTCGCGGGCTGGACGGCTCGTTCGACACTCGCCCCAGCCGCCTCCCCCGGGGAAGTGCATGTAGCGAATGGCCGGCTAGCATCACCGACGGAGCCTGCCGAGCTATCAGGGTGCTGAGGGCGCAGCACCGCCGTAGGTGGGGTTGGCTCTCACAGGAGACGGGCTCTTCTGAGCGCTGCCGATGACGTGTCTGTCGTCCCCCGTCGTCCGCCCCCGGGAGCACGCACTCACCACCGACTAACGGGACACCGTCCGGGCGTGGCTGCTGCTGAGCAGCTACGCGTGCCTAGCGCAGCACACGGCCGTCCACACGGTCGCTGCAGGCTCCTGCCGGTCACCGCCAGCTGCAGCATTAAGGTCGCCGGTCCCCCCCGGCACCGGGAAATGCGTGCCCAGAGTGCCTAGGCGAGGCTGCGGCTGGTCTGGCGCTGGCTGGCGCTCGGCGGCGCAGCTGCTCGGCGGCGTCGCTGGCGCCTGGTGCCGGACCCGCCGGCCCGGCGTCGCTTCGGTCGTCCCCTGAGCTGACGGCCGTACCGTTCCAGCGGGCCGCGCGCCGGACGAGGCGGCCGGCTCCAGCCTGGCCCGCTTCCTGGACAGACGCATCTCGTCACCGGTGACCCAGCTTCAGGTCAGTCGGGGGCGAGCCCCGCGGGGCTGCAGCCGGCGGCTGTCGGCCGGGATGGCTCCGGACGGAGGCCAGCGCGCCCTGCTGGTGGGCCCTGATGGTCGGGCCTGCCGCTCAGGCCGGGCCCCTGTGACGCGCACCGGGCGGATCACGCGCCAGCTGAGCTGTCTGGCAGGCCGTCTGTGGCCCTGTGCTACAGACCACGCCACAGCCCGGCTTCGGTGTCTTGCGCCGATGTCTTTTTATGCTCAAAGCACGATGTGTAGCTTGTGCGACCCAGCATTTCCAGGATTTCATTGCCGAAGTCCTCACCTTGTGTTTATGATGCTGCCTCAGACGTGTGCTCTCATCGAACGGAATCAAATGTAATCCCAGAATCGATTCCCTGTTGCTGGACTTTGATTCCGCTTACTTTCCACTATTTATTCAGCGATTTATTTTAGTAATGTTCAGAATTCATTTTATAATGTCCAGAATCAGATACAAAACGTGTCAGATTCAGATTGGGACTCAGGCTCAATTTTACCATAAACGAAAATTTTAACATTCATGTTTGTTTTAGCAAGTTCGGGATTCAACCCAAGTGGCGGAATCCATTTCACCCAGCCGGTACCAAGCACTGGTCTGGATGCTGCGCATGCAGTGTTTTTTCTCGAATAATCCAAAAAATCCAGACTTCTCAAGGCACTTCCGGATCGTGCCATTTCCAATAGTGTCGAATAGACGATTTTCTCTCCCGGCACATCAAATGAGATGCCTTTATTGATGCCGCTGTTTGGTAAAGGTCTTTGGTAAAGTTCATCTTTGCTCGCTGGGCAAATGTGGACTGGTTGTCGACATCGTTCACAGCTAACTACGACAAACATCCGTGCTGTTCGTGCATTTGAGGGGCGTTGCATTCAGAACTATGCACAGCTGACTAGCACAGCTAGCCGCGTCAGTTATCCGTGCTTGTGGATCTGGCGGGGGTGACATGCAAGATCACTTGCCTCGTCTTTCCTTGAGAAGCGACCAAAAGTCTTTCGAGCCGCGCTATATGACTGGACAAATTATCCAAAACATTCGTGTTCATTTCTTGCCAGCATAGCCACGGCTCCCTCCGCATATATATATATATATATATATATATATATATATATATATATATATATATGTCTACACATATACATATATTTATATTTATGTACATATATATTTATACAAACTGATAGCATACGGAATAAGCTTTCATTCTACCCGCAGATAGTGCACTTCCCTATCTATCTAGAATAGCTTTGTCTGCACATGATACGGGCCATGCTCTGTTGGCAACTTTGTGCGTTGTTTCGGTATCGTGGACCATCGGGGCTCTCAGTGGCAATGTCTGTTATCACCTATCATCCTGGCATGCATATTTCTAAAACTTACATGGTGCTACTTGGTTTTATTTGCATGGATTAGCCCGTCTCATAGTTTGCATCTCGACTGAATGTCACGCCTTTGAAAGAGATCCGAGAACTCTACCTGGCGTGGGCACCACGTACGTAATACCTTCTGATTGTGATGGCTGTCCTGGTGTCTGATCTCAATGGCCATCACTGTCTGATCCGTGTGTTTGAGCCGTGCCTGCTGCGTTCTGGTCTGCGCGCAGCAGGAGCGTCGGCGCAGCGTCGCCAGCTCTGCTCCCCTGGACGGCTCGCCGCTGTCGCTGGTAACTATGCCGGCTTGGCACGTGTGGAGCGCGCTGCACCTGCTGCACCAGTCGCTGCCGCCGCCGCCTCCGCTGTTTGCATGCACAGTGCTACCGCCTCCGGCTTGCGCGGGCAGTACTGCTGTCTGGATGTTGACCTGACTGCAAGCTTCCGAAGGCTTCCAGACTGGTCTCTGTAGGCTTTGTAGTGCTACGGCTATGGCTCATTGATGAAGGAGCCATGCCCCGTCTGAGTTGAACTGGACCCGGGATATGTATTGGTTGAACTTGGGAATTGGTTGTGGGTTTTTTCATCTTCCCCGCTGCGTAGTGCATACTTCCCTGGTCATGACTGCTGATTGTGGAATGCAATTGCTCGTCAATCGCTTGCTTTCAAACAGGCTCACAATGTTTAACGCATTTTTCACTAAGATGTGGATGCACACGAAAAATTATGTATTGCTGCCATCATTACCGGATGTGTGTGAAGGCGCTGGGCCTACCAAAAAATCATTTTTTGCTAGTTGTGGGGCACTTTGCGGCGGCTTACTTTCGTGATTCATGGGATGACGTTCTCGGTAACAAATTACAGCGTCACATTTCTGCAGGGTGTTAGCCTCAACACTGACCCCATTGGGAGCCGAGTACTACCTGGTATTTGTCATTTTCATAACGACAACGTTTTGTTACCTGACGTTGCGGTGAAGGACAGAAGGCAAAGGTGTTGATGTCATTTATTGTTCGTGATGTGCTGAGGTTGATGAACTTCTCTTGGACTCTGAATGTTCTGGTGTTGAAAAAAATGAATGAAATGAAAAAATGAATGGATGTTCTTTTTAGATCACTAATGCCGCATATGATGTATTACTTTGTTAAGTTGCCAGTTGTGATCCCACGCGTGACATGATGGCCCAGAAGTGAGCCGATTATGTTTTTTTCAGCAAGCAAAGTCCTAGCGAATGTAATGAAAGGAATTAAAATATTTTTTTTTAATGTGGAAACCAGTAGGACTCCCACGCGGTAGTGTATGAAATGCTCCCAAATAATTTCTAGAGGCTGAATCATGGCTGGCAGACACGATTGCACTGCACGATTTCGGATATTTATCGCTCGCTTTTGTGAACGTCCTGTAATTGGAGTGCATTCTATGTGAAAATCGTCATTTAAAGTGAGCTGATTTCCTGCTGTTGATTGCCGCCTTTAACGCCCAACCTCTTAGTTTGTGCGACTACTGGTCTATTCCCACTGCATCACGGCATTGTGTATGCTGCCGTTGCCAGCAAGGCAAACAGTGTGCTGCCGCAGCTGCGCCGGTGCGGGAGTTCCACTGGCGTGGTGTGGCGTGTGTTTGCTGCCGCAGCTGCGCCGGTGCGGGAGTGCCATTGGCGTGGTGTGGTGCGTGCCGCTGGCCTGCATTGGCGGGGCTCAGCGTCGCGTGTCTGCCCTATGTGGTATCGAGGACGACACTAACAAACTCCGCACCGACTGTGCATGATGGCCCTGGGCGGCTGGAATGCCGAGGGAGATGTGGTTGTGTTCTTGCGGAAGGTGCTTAGCTGTTTGGCTAATGGCGCTCGTGCGATGCATTTCCTGTACCACTGGTGACACAACTCCTCGAGCTTGTGCGCTGTCGGCTTTGTGGGCAGCAAATGATAATCACCTACCGGCAGTGCACCAGGAGTAGCTGGAAAAACAGTTGACGACTGAAAGCTTTCGTAAAGGGATCTCAGTATGAACGATGCTGACTGGACCCGCCGTTAACATTCATATTGCAATCACTTGCGCCTGTGGCCAACCTCCGTAGAGCCGTCCCAATCATTCCTAGTGGTCATGATCAGGAGGCATCTTCAGTAGGGATGGCGTGATCGCTTGGCCACTATCATGCGTGATAGTTTTCAGCCCTAACATCCCTAGCGGTAGACCAGGCCGAACCGTGCGACATTCTCGAACAAACCGGCTTTGGTCATCTCCCATTTTAACGAGGTGATGTTTGCAATGCTGTAGGTTAGTGATTATTGTTTGTCTACCCAAGGTCCAAAATTTGCGTGTTCTTCAACATATATTGGTCATATGCGTCGTGCAGTGCACATCCATCAATGTCCGCCGCGCTCAGCGGCTTCAACCGCGTGCATGTCGCGCAGGACGCGCCGTTGGGCTCGGGCCAGTCCACCCCGCGCACCGCGGGGGAGGCCACGCCACTGCGCTCCATGTACGGTGACGACCTGCGCCGGTGGCTGGAGTTCGGAAGCGATCTGAGCGTGCCCAACCTGCGGCGCCACGCAGTCCAGCTGAGCAACAGGTCAGACACCGCCTCGCCCCGGCCGGGAGGGAGCGGCGCTCGGGGCAGGCCGAGCGACGGCGGCCGGCCAGACGGCGTCGCTGACGACCCAATGTCAGGGTGACGTCTGTGGCGAGAGCAGCGGGGTTGGCTGGCCGCAGTCGCGGTGCGGCATTGGTGACGCGTCTCAATGGTGCGGCTGGCAGCGAGGCCCTCACCCGCCGGTTCGCGCCGTCACGTAGATAACCGGAACAGTGTCGGCTCCTGGTACAGCTGACCACGCTGCACAGTTCCCTTGCACTAGACTGTCGACCCACTGTGCGTTAGCCTGCTGTCGGCGCCAGCCTCCGGCCACCAGCGCCAGCCGGCAGCCGTTGTGAGCCGGTCGGCCGGCGTGACCGGCAGGTACACGGTGGGCGCGTTCCTGTCGGGCCTGATGCGGGTGGTGCAGGAGGAGTGCCCTTCGCTAAGCTGCCACCTGTGCCGCGCCACCGAGGCCGGCCCGCACGTGCTCTGCGACGTGGCAGAGGTGGACGGCGACAACTGCGACGGACTGATCCTGGTCGGCCACGGATACAGAGACGACTGTGCGTACCAGCTGCCGCCCGACCTCGGCCACCGGCCGGCCGCGTACCGAGAAACGCTGGCGTCGGCAGCATTCGGTGGTCATGAGCTGTTGACATACTGATAGCGTTACTGCTGGGACAGAGCTGGCGCCATGTGAACGGTCGAGACATTTGCTAATACGAGACGAAACTTGTAAGAATGTGTACGCCTGCAAAGAAAGAAACATCTCCGATACGTTTTATGGCATGGTTGATCATTCCACTGCGGCTGAGTTTCACCGTTAATGTGTCATACTGGGGTGACTTCTGCTCCAACCAGCATCCAGGGGCTGTCCGTCCACCGCTGCCGCCTCCATTAAGGGGGCGCTTGTGGGCGGCAGCTCGCGCCGTGACGGGTTCGCTCTCTGTGTGCGGCAGACGCTGCGCGTTGGCGCACCGTCTAACGGGATCGCTCTCTGTGTGCGGCAGACGCCGCGCGGTGGCGCAAGGTCTGACGGGCTCGCTCTCTGTGTGCGGTAGACGCGCGCGCTGTGGCGCACCGTCTGAGCTTCAGCGGCCAGCTGCAGGGCTCGGGCTCTACCGAGGGCGGCGCGGCGCAGTGTTCGTCTGTGCCGCCGTCGCCCGGTCCGGCCAGCGCCGGCCTGGTGTTCCGCTCGCCCGGGGAGACGGCTGGCTCGGCCGGCCCACCGCCGCCCCGACAGAAGCTGGCCTGGGCGCGCGTCCATGACAAACAGGTGGGCGCCAGCCTCGGCGGCAGGTGGTTGCCGACCGACGCTGGGAGGTGGGAGGTGGGCGCCGGCGGGATTTGGGCACCAACCGCCGCTGGGAGGTGGGAGGTGGGCACCGACCGCCGCTGGGAGGTGGGAGGTGGGCACCGACCGCCGCTGGGAGGTGGGAGGTGGGCGCCGACCACCGCTGGGAGGTGGGAGGTGGGTGCCGGCGGGAGGTGGGCGCCGACCACCGCTGGGAGGTGGGAGGTGAGCACCGACCGCCGCTGGGAGGTGGGAGGTGGGTGCCGGCGGGAGGTGGGCGCCGACCACCGCTGGGAGGTGGGAGGTGGGTGCCGGCGGGAGGTGGGCGCCGACCACCGCTGGGAGGTAGGAGATGGGCGCTGGCGGGATGTGGGCGCTGACCGCCGCTGGGAGGTGGGAGGTGGGCGCTGGCGGGATGTGGGCGCTGACCGCCGCTGGGAGGTAGGAGATGGGCGCTGGCGGGATGTGGGCGCTGACCGCCGCTGGGAGGTGGGAGGTGGGTGCCGGCGGGAGGTGGGCGCCGACCACCGCTGGGAGGTGGGAGGTGGGTGCCGGCGGGAGGTGGGCGCCGACCACCGCTGGGAGGTAGGAGATGGGCGCTGGCGGGATGTGGGCGCTGACCGCCGCTGGGAGGTGGGAGGTGGGCGCTGACCCGGCGGTCATGGCACGGGACGGGTGTTTGCCAGGCGTGCTTGTGCTCCGCGTATAGCCTGTGAGGGCCACCGAAAAATGTCGGGGAGGAGTCTCCTGTGGCCGTTCAGTACGACGGCGATGGTCTACATAATCTATAGCTGACTTGCGTGCCCGGAAGCGGCATGTCTCACTTCCATTGCAGAACCTCTGCATCGCGACAGTTGCCCACACACGTCGGGCACCTACAGTAAGGAGATCGTTGGCACCACCGCGTTCTGCTTGCTGTGGGCCACCAGCGGACGGCACCGGCCGGTCGACACTGGCCGTCTACCCACCGTCTGTGGGCTGGTGTTGGCCCGATGCTGTGATGACGGCTGGCCTCGCTGTTCATGCCGGCGGCGTCAGCTGTGCCCGTCCAGCGGACCACCGCCGTCCGCTGCCCACTGACCCGCACCCCCGCCCAGGTGGAGCTGTACACCTACAACTGGCCCAAGGAGAAGTGGGAGCACCTGCACCACAAGAGCTCGGACCTCTGTCAGTGGACCAACGCGCGCTGCTCCCTGCTGCACTCAATCGTTGCGCAGAAGCTGGGCCTGTTTCATCACCAGCCGTTCACCAGGCGTCACGACCAGTCCACCGACCAGGTACGGCTATATCACCAGTTCACCGACCAGGTACGGCTATATGCCAGTCCATCGACCAGGTACGGCTATATCACCAGTCCACCGACCAGGTACTGCTATATCACCAGTCCACCGACCAGGTACGGCTATATCACCAGTCCACCGACCAGGACGGCTATATCACCAGTCTACCGACCAGGTACGGCTATATCACCAGCCCATCGACAAGGCGTACGTCGAGCCATGGACCCACTGTCGTCTGGTGCCCTGGTGGTGTGCAAAACATATCAACTACCCGCCAGATCTATCCTATACAGCTGCTCGTCTAGGTCGATATATTTCGCTGCGCATTTTGGTCATTTAAGTGTGGTCATATTGCGCCCATGTGCTTCAATGCGAGGTCACAGCCGGCTTGGTCGCTCCCGACGGGACATAACGCGCGGACCGGCCGTGCGCAGGGGACCAACATCTACCAGAACCAGATGTCGCACATCGTGCAGCTGATCCGGCAGGCGGCGCCACCGTCGCAGCCGGCGGGGCCGCACCGGCCCGGCGGCGGTCGGACCAGGCTCTTCACCGAGACGCTGCGGGACTGCAAGCCGGGCCCGCTGCCGCCGCCCGGCCCGGCCGCCGACGCCGTGTGCCGCCACGGCCAGCAGCTGACCGAGGTGTACCGCGTCAACAGGAAGGGAGGTCAGTGCAGCGAGCGGAGGGCGGCGGCCGGGGGATCGCCTTTGAACGCGCTGATGGGTCTGACGATGGTGGCCGAGTGCACGGCGAGGGGTCGTTTACATTGCCACGTGCCGTCAAATGTGACTGGTTTGCTTAGTAGTTTGAGAAAGAAGCAACTAAGTCTAGCTTGGCTAGTCCAAACTGCTCCGACCGACAGCCCCGCCGTCTGTGTGTGCACAGACGAACAGAAGAAGTTGTACCACCAGTGCCAGACGCTGGAGTCGCTCGACAAGGACTCGACCATGGAGAGTTTCGTGCGTCTGCTGAAGGGCTCCGGCCGTCTGCTGCACTTCTGCTTCACGCCGCTACTGCTGCTGCCGTCCTGGCGCTGGCAGACGGCCGTCACGCGCGACCAGGCGCTGCTGACGGCGCGCGAGCTGGCGGCGGCGAGCGCGGCGCGCGCCGGCCGGCCGCCGCCGCGCGTGCGCCACCCCTCCGAGACGTCGTGCCGCTCTGGTGGCCGGCCGTCTCCCCGCCTGCGCCGCCAGGCGGCCGACGAGCGCTGGCACGAGACCCTCTGCACGCTGCTGCTCGGCGAGTACCTGCAGTACCTGCAGAAGATGGGCTTCCTGCCGCTGCAGTACGGCCTGAAGGGGCCGCGCCGGCCGGAGGCGGCCGAGCCGGCCGTCGTCGCATACCTGTACAGGGTGATCCTGGGCGGCGGCGGCTACCTGCTCTTCCAGATCGGCGTCGAGGAGCCCTTCTTCTACGTCAAGCTGTACGCGCTGGAGGGGCTGCGCGTGCGGCTGCGCGGCCGCGCGGCGCCCATCAACCCACAGGTCAGCCGCCGACGGGGGGCGGGGCGACACGCCGCGCTCTCTGCCGCTGGCGGCGGCTGGGTCAGCCGCGGCATGTAACGCCGGGTACTGTGAGGGTTTTGCTGTACTTTGCGGTGGGGTAACGCTTCATTTCACGAGCTCATTTGTAGTATGTTGTGCTGCCCCCCTCCCCCGTGACATTCGAAGAGGTGGCGCTGCCTCACGGGTGCCTCTCCGTGTCCAACCGCTCGTTCGGCTGCCAGTCTGGCCGGCTGCCGGCCGCTGGTCTGACGCCGGCCGCTGTCCGGGCAGATGGTGCAGAGCTACCTGGCCGATTGTGACGACATCGGCCGCTGGTCTGACGCCGGCCGCTGTCCGGGCAGATGGTGCAGAGCTACCTGGCCGAGTGTGACGACATCCGGGCGCACACCCACCTGCACTCGTACATGCACGACTACCACCTCCGCATGATGCAGCAGTACGTCGGCGGGCGGCCGCTGCTACTCCGCCAGGGCCTGCACATCATCTCCTTCCTGGAGGACTTCTACAACTACTACCCCAAGGGGCCGACGCACGCGCGCAACTTCATGGCCACAGGTGGGACGGCCGGCCGTGCGGCACGCGCTCGGCTGTGTGGTGTCGCTGTGTCCGCTCGTGGGTATGGCCCGGGGCGTGATGTGCTCTGCCCAGTGCACCGGTGCCAGTGCCGGAGCACCGAGGCTGCATCGTCGCCACCAGCGGGCTCGCCGACATGAGGTTTGGGTTTGATGGTGATGACGCGCCGGTGTGTGGGCCGTAACGCCGTCCGCGCCGCCGCCAGGCTCGGTCACGTTCGAGGAGCAGACCTCCACCACACCGGACCAGCTGTACAACTACCTGCTGACGCACGAGAAGCGCTACAAGATGCGCGTGCTGCGGATGATCCCGCTGTTCGAGGACAGCGGCGAGGAGACGGTGAGTGATGCCGCGTGGAGCCGGCTCTCAGCAGAGAATGGGCTTGCGAAAGGCCGGCCCACCGGGAGAGAGGTCGGTGTTTGGTTTGGTGTCAATCTGGCGTGATGTGCGCCGGGCGCCACTAGCGCCACGGCTACCGAGCGCTAGCGCGGCGGCTAGTGCCGAGAGTGAGAGTCAGTGATATATCCGCGCACGCATGCGACACACCTCCGTGTCATTTGCGTTGAAACCGAACATGGCACGGTCGATAGGACCATGATGACACGGGTGTACAGCGTGTGATTGCGTGTGATCGTGTCACTGTGAGTGGTGACGGACTGGTGCCATGAAGGACAGTGAGGAGCACGTAGCGCGCCTAACGGTGCTGCTCTAGCGGCACTCGGAGATGGCCGCCCAGGCCCAACAGGAGGCCTCGCAGCGTGACGCGCGACTGAAGGCGGTGTTGGAGCGTGCTCTGACGCAGAAGGGTCTAGCAGCTCCGCCGCCGGTCGACGCCGACGCAGTCGTGCAGGCTGCTGCTGCCGCCGCACCCGCATGTCTCTCAGCCGGTGCCATCTACGCGCTGCACCTGACATCGGAGGCGTCGCTGAGGGGGGTTTGAGAGTGGCGGCAGAAAATGTGCGATTATCGGCTGCTCACCCGGCTCGACTCAATGCCGGTCGGGGAGCGGAGGGCCGTATTAGCTAGTGAGACGGCTAGTATGAACAGTGCCGCGCTGCGAGATGAAACTGTTACTGTGGGAAGGCTATCCGCTTGTCGGCAGCAGCAGCAGCAGTGCAGAACGTATCCGCGGACTATTTTCACGTGGCTAGCTAGACGTATCTCGTGGATGTGGACCGACTGTCGGGCTGGCTGTACATCACCGTGTGCCCGCGGACGGCATCAGCAAACCATCTGACCAAACAGCTCCGCACGCTGTCTGCGATCACTGGTGTTCCGGCGGTGCTGCGGACTGACGGCGGACCGCAGATCGCATCCTCGACGCGGCGCCGGTTCCTGGAGCGGTGGGGAGTTCATCATGAGATGTCGCCTCCCAGATATCCACGCTCGAATGGACATGCCGAAGCCGCCGTGAAAGCGGTAAAAAAGGTTGTCAGTGCCGCGTCAGCCGGGGGCCGCCTGAGCGACGAACAGCTCGATCGCGGTCTGCTCGAGCTGCGCAAAACACCGCGGGCCGACGGTCGGTCGCCTGCACAGGTCCTTTTCGGCCACACGCTGCGGTCAGGTTCGGTGCCTATGCACCACCGTGCCTGCGCCGCGGAGTGGCAGCGGGCAGCCGGCCAGCGCGATGAAAGGGCCGCCAAGATTGCAGAGGACGTTGGACATCGACACGACCTGCGATCCCGTTCACTCTCAGCCCTGCGGCTCGGCGGCAGCGTGGACGTTCAGAACGCCGAGACTCGTCGCTGGGACCGCCCTGGTGTCATCGTCAGTATCGGCCGGAGCGGGCGGATCTGGTGGCGGAACAGGCGGTTCCTGCGGCCCCGTCGCCCACTGCAGGCGAGCCCCGGACCTCAGAGCACGCCGGGCGGCGCGGCCGCCGATGTGCCGCCGAGCACGCCATGTGGTGCTATGCAGCCGGCCGCCGCCCAGGTGCCGCCTGCCCCACCCGCGGAGCCGCCGCTCCGCCGTGGCGTCCGCGATCGGCGCACTCCGCAGCGCCTTACCGTCCGCGGGGGTGGTCAGATTTACTAAAGTAGATTCGTGTGTTCATCGCAGATTTCGTCGAGTTCATTTCCTTTCGGTGTGTTTAAAAGTGATGGTATAATCACTTAGGGGGAGGTGTTTGGTTTGGTGTCAATCCGGTCTGACGAGCGCCGGGTGCCACTAGCGTCGAGAGTGAGAGTCAGCGATATATCCGCGCACGCACGCGACGCACCTTCGTGTCATTACATTGAAACCGAACAGTCGGCTCGCGCAAGCCCGGCCCCCCGGAGAGAGGCTGCGGGCCTGTCGGCTTGTATGGGCTTGTGGGGTGCACTAGGCGTGGGCTGGTCTGGAGCTTCACGCCAGCCTGGTGAACTTTGCAGTCCAATATCTCTGTATAATCTTGGCGTGCCACGCTGCCTGGGCGCTGTCCGTCCTGAGTCTTTCTCCGGTCCGACCGGCATCTGACGGCGGCCGCCCTCTCTGGCCGGCGCCGCGCAGACCGAGGACGAGTACGTGCTGGTGCAGCTGAACCAGCGCGAGGTGCGGCGGGCCGAGCCGGCGCAGCAGCCGGTGGTGTACGACCTGGCGCTGGTCGTCTCCCGCGACTTGGCCGACCCGGCCGCCGACACCCGGCTCCGGCTCAAGTTCTACGTGCTCATGACCAGCAGGTGCGTGCCGCCGGCGGCAACGCAGGATGTGGCGGTGCCGTCCCGCCGCCTGCCGGAGCCGGCTGGGCGGCCACCATGTTGTGGCGTCATGTCATCGTAGCGCATGGAATTCTCTGTTCCGTGTGCGTGATACTGAGCTATCGAACACGGACGACTTGGAAGTGTATTAAGTTGCAGCAATCGTATTTTCAAACGGACATGCGTTACCTGTTTGCTTGATTTCCCACATTGGTTTCCTTTTTTCCAAGCATATTACTGATAGTCATACTAACACCCGTATGGCATAATTGTGTGCAGCTGTCAGACATGGTGCTCTCAGAGACCGCTGCATGACGAGTCAGCAGGGTCCCCGGACTTGAAATGAGTATCTAATACAATACACTGTCTTCAGGGACATCTATCCCAAGGTGTTCATCGAGAGGAAGTTCGAGAACTACCGGCGCGTGGATACGGCACCCGGCGTCCTGGCCGACCCGCCGACGGCCCCCTCCTCCGGTCAGTCTCTCACCGCTCAACTTCCCCCCTCTCCGGTCAGTGTCGCCCCTCCTCCCCTCTGCCTCATCCTCCGGTCAGTATCGCTCTCCCCCGCCCCTCCCGCTCCGCTGTGTGCGTCTCTCTTCCTCTCCTCTCTCGCTCTCACCCTCTCTCTCTTTCTTTGTCAAATCGCCTCTGGCTGTGTGTGCTCTGCTGCCTGACAGAGCGGCCCTACCCTCGGCGCTGCTTGTATGGAGCTCTCTGGCTGTGTTGCCATGCTCTCTGCTCCGTCTCACATAACGCCTCTGCCACTAATCCGATGGGTCAGGGCCCTTTACTCTGTACATTCGCTCCCCCACTCGGCGCCCCTGCTCATGAAGGTCAGTCAGAGCCCAGTCCGGGTTCCCCCGCCCCGTCCCGTCACACAACGCTACGGTCCGTCGTTAGGAGGCTGTGCGGTACCTTCCGGCGTGCTCGCTGTAACTTCTCACCCTCTCACTCTTCTGACGGCTCCACTGGGCCGATACGGATGGCTGCCTTGCTCGCCGCGTTTCCGCCAGCCGTCATCTGGCGGACCGTTGGCTGGGGTCGCTGGTGGGGGCCGACGGTGCGGGGACACGAGACAGCCGGCTCCTCCGCAGCGGAGAGGTCCGCAGCACCGCTCCATAACCTATCCCCGTGCCTTCCTCGGTCGGTGTTGTGGCGCGCGCTGACTGCCTGTGCGGTGTCGCGGCATGCTACTGGGGTGTGCGGTGGTAGAAGCTAGCCGCGGCATGTCTATGTTAGCGTCTCTGCCTGGCAGCAGCGCCTTGCCGGCTATAGTCGGTCGGTGTTTGCCGCGTCGGTGTAGCTGCCACTGTCGTAGCTCACAGCATTTGAGCATTGTGTAGGTGAAGGACCACCGACTGTCGCTGGTGTGGCGTGGCCTCAGTCTGTGCCAGTGGTGTGTGCGTGGTTGCGGCGGTGTACGGTCGGTAGCCTCGTGCGGTGATGGCGCCGGGCCGGCCCAGTCACCGGCGCTGGTGCTGTCTCTTCGCAGGCTCGGTGGTAGTCCGCGATCGCCGCTCGCAGAGGTCCGGTGAGTTCCCCGGCCCCGCCTGCCCGAGCCGGCTCCCGCCCTCGTGCTCGCCCCTCATTACTGACGTGATTAGATAAGACGCCGCCGGAAAATTTGAATCGTGTGAGGTTATCGTTCATACATCGTCACTTCTTTTGTTCAGGCCGTCCGTGTCGCGAGTTCATCCCGTCTGATGGTGGTCAGGGGCGCGTCCCTCCCTGTTTCCATGCGAGTCCATCCCGTCTGACGGTAGTTGATGTCAATCCTGTGTGGTTCCGCGTGAGTCCAGCCATTCACCGTCTCTCCGTCGAATCCGCAGAGACGAGTGGCACTAGCAGCGAAGACGCCACCGGCACCAGCAGCTCCGGCAGCGGCTTCTTCAGCTCGTACAGCACTCTCAGGTGAGTCCGCACGGTCGCTGCTTTGGTCCGCATCGGCTCAAGGCTCCCGTGGAGAAAGCGTGTGGCCTTATGAATTGCTGAGCTTTTTGAAAATATTCGTTGGATCTGTTTTGTCTTATCATATCACAACGCATGTAATTGCCGTGCCGATGATCTTGGCTTTTCCCCCACGTCGACTGATGTGGGGAAAAGTGCCGTGCCGTGCCGTGCTGATGATCACAACATTTTCCCCACAGGCAAAAAAAAACTGGCGAATCGCGTTGGTGATGAGTCTCTGATCCACGCCTTGTCGCCTTGACACCGGCCTTCTGCCGCAGGCCCGAGTCGGTGCACTACCTGGGCTACTTTTCGTCGCACGAGCAGTACATGCAGGTGGTGCTGGCCGACGAGGTGGAGCGGGTGCGCCGGCGGATCCTGGAGGTGGTGGGCCGGGCCAAGGTCCACTGCAGGTACGTCAGCCGGCCGTTGGTGCGGCAAGTACAGGCGCCACCCGTCGCTGTATATGGGTTCAGTCACGCCGTTGGCGCGAGGCCGTCATTGTGTGCAGGGTGCACCAGTCCGGTCTGTCGCGTCGCCCGTTACGGCTGTCGTTCTCTCGGTCGGCTCCGCCCAGTGATGGCGCGCCGAGCGGCGGTGCCCGGGAGCCGGAGCGTGCCCGCCCAGCACGCTCCGGCTGGGCGGAGCGTGCTGGGAGAGCATAGAGACCAGAGAGAGCATACGTCCTCGCTGGCCCGCCCAGCCGCCTCTGTTCGCCGCTGTGCTGTTTGTTTGGGTGTGGGTTTAGGTATGTGGGTGTGGCCTCCTCTGTTCGCCGCCGTGCTGGTTGTGTGGGTGTGGGTTTAGGCGTGTGTGTGTGTGGCCGACTCTGACCGGCGCCGCTGTGCTGGTTGCAGCCAGGCGGACGCGTTCACCAGGTAACCGAGAGCGTATTGCGCGCTGCCCCTCCCCATCCCCCTGCGCGGCAGACTCGGACGTCCGGTGATGGACGGACAGCCGTCCAGACAGCCACGCTGGCACCCGGCGTCTTGGCCGCAGCCTAGCTGTTCGCGATGTCGTGCAGTTGTCTCCGCATGCTAGCACAGTCATTGTGGTTTGTTGACGCACACACCGTGGCGGGGCGTCCCGGCGGCGGCCCCGTGTACTGTACACCTTCGTCTGAGCCCTGTCGTACTCCAGTTCCACTGCATGGCCTCCCACGCAGAGGCTACCAGGTCACTGCATCGCACGCTTACGGGAAATACCGCCAGTTATGGAGGACAGCGTCACATTTCGGCTCAAGGTCGCGTGTTTGTCCGGCGGACGGAGCTGTGAGCCTCGCAGGCGCCTAACCTGTTGCCCGGGTTGAAACTAAAGCCGCCGAGCAGAAACTTCTATGGCATATGCATTTAGCCCTGACAGGAATGTGTTTGTTTCATTTGTATCTGAGGCTCGTTAGAACTAACGTTAGCCGTGTTTGAGCCACTTTATGTTTGCTGATTTTGAATCATGTTTAAACTGTAGATGCGCGGGCGAATTGCGTGCCTTTTAAGAAAAGCGCGCGGTCGGCAAAAAGTGCATGTTAGCAATATAAAACTGATGATAGCTTACCCATCCACTTCAGCACGTGCGTTTAATGTTGCTAGCCGTTTAAAAATGTGTGTGGGTTATGCAGCCGCTTAGCTAATGCATAAGTTATGCGCCTGCCCACCTGCCGTGAGACCAGTCTGCACTTTGCATCGTGGGTTTCGTCTTTGCACTGCGTTGATGGGGTAGTGATAAGCATTAAATTATCAAGTACAGTTTTATTTACCGCAAGCGTGAATGCGAGCGATGAATTACTGTTGTCTATTTCACAAACCGTGATCTGCTTATGAATGAGCTTAAGTTTCCGAGGTATGCGCAGTCAAATGCGCATGCATTCATCGTTTTATTTGTTGGGCTGTGATGAGCTCTCTATCCGTCTTTGAACGCCCGCGCGGCGACACTGCACTAGTGGCGCTGGGGCTGAAGCGGGACGGTTCTGTTTCAGACGAGACTCACTCTGGCAGCGGCTCAGGGAGGAGGACGAACGGACCCGCGGCTCGGTATGTGTTGTAAGACCATGGCCGCCTGGGACGCCGCTGGTGCCTGTGGCTAAGACCATGGCGCCGGCGCCGCTGGTATCTGTGGCTCTCCTGGGGGACGCCGCTGGTGTCTGGCTCTCCTGGGGGCGCCGCTGGTATCTGTGGCCCTCCTGGGGACGCCGCTGGTATCTGTGGCTCTCCTGGGGGACGCCGCTGGTGTCTGGCTCTCCTGGGGGCGCCGCTGGTATCTGGGGCCCTCCTGGGGACGCCGCTGGTGTCTGGCTCTCCTGGGGGCGCCGCTGGTGTTTGTGGCCCTCATAAGGGGAGTCCACTTCACTGGCCTCCGCGTGTTGTCTCAGGCCGGTTTTGTGTTTGGGTTGTAGCAGGGAAGCGTTGTGGGTGCTGGCTCGATTTCGCACATGCATGGACCAGGCCGATCTGGAATTCGGGAGTGTGCATCCTCTCTGCCACTGCGTTACCGTTCCTGCCTTCACTAGTGGGATCCAGCTGCAAGCGCTGGGCGCTGGGGGCCGCCGCTCCGCCCTGCCCCTCCGTCAGCGACCGAACAGACACACTGATGAGCGGGGTCACGAACGGAGCGCTGCCGTCTATGCCCCGCTCCTTCCCGCCTCTCCTTCAGCGACCGGACAGACACACTGATGAGCGGGGTCACGAACGGAGCGCTGCCGTCCATGCCCCGCTCCTTCCTGCCTCTCCTTCAGCGGCCGGACACACGCCCTGTTGAGCGGGGTCAGGAGCGGACCCGTTTCTCCTTCAGCGGCCGGACAGACGCCCTGATGAGCTGGGTCACGAACGGAGCGCTGCCGTCCATGCCCCGCTCCTTCCTGCCTCTCCTTCAGCGGCCGGATAGACGCCCTGTTGAGCGGGGTCACGAGCGGAGCGCTGCCGGCCGTGTGCCACTCCTTCCTGTTTCTCCTTCAGCGGCCGGACAGACGCCCTGTTGAGCGGGGTCAGGAGCGGAGCGCTGCCGGCCGTGTGCTGTTCCTTCCCGTTTCTCCTTCAGCGGCCGGACGGACGGCCTGTTGAGCGGGGTCACGGGCGGAGCGCTACCGGCTGTGCGCCGCACCGGCTCGCCGGACCAGGAGCGCCACGGTGACAGCGGCCGCCCGGTCTGTGTTGCAGTCGGCAGGCGGGCTGAGCTGTGCCGAGATGACGGAGCTGCTGACGCTGGTCTGCTGCCAGCCGCTAGAGGACATCGACCCCAGGCTGAGCCCGCTGGTGCAGCAGCCGCTCAGCTGGTACTCGGGTCTCATCCGCACGCTCACGCACAAGTACTCGGACTCGCATCGGTCAGTGGCGCGGCCCGGCCCGCTCCCTCCAGCTCACGCTCGGTGGACTCAGGCTGGCGGCGGTCCACAGCCCGGTCCCTCGGCGGCCCGTGTCTCACTCTCCAGCTCACGCTCAGGGGGACTCCGGCTGGCGGTGGTCCACAGCCCGGTCCCTCGGCGGCCCGTGTCTCACTCTCCAGCTCACGCTCGGGGGACTCCGGCTGGCGGCGGTCCACGACCCGGTCCCTTGGCGGCCCGTGTCTCACTCTCCAGCTCACGCTCAGGGGACTCGGGCTGACAGCGGTCCACGGCCCTCGGCGGTCCATGTCTCACTCTCCAGCTGGCGTATGATCTTGGCTGCTGTCTCAGCTCCGGCGCTCTCCAAGCCTGCCTAGTGTTCGGTACCGCAGACTCCAGCTACTCAGTGCTCTCCCGTGCTCTGAACGCCGGGTGCTGGGCGGCTCGCCCGCCCTCTGGCCGCGCGCCGTGACCGCTGGCACGAGCCGGCCCCGCCGGCCGCGCAGCGCCGCTGGAATGTAACGCACCCCACCCGGCTCGGCAGCTACTACCAGTCGGAGTCGGGCTCGCTGCGCTACCTGGTGGTCATCCTGCCGGCCGAGTCCAGCGCGCTGTTCGTGCTCACCGTGGACTCGGAGTCCGCTCACCGCACGGCGGTGAGAGGGGCTCTCACCTGGTGGTGTCGGGCTAGACGCTAGAGTCGGACGACACGCGGCTGGTGGCGTGTCTTCGATGTGCGCGATGGATGCTTGATGGAGCCGTGATATTTATTGAGGTGATATTTCTGCCTTACAGCCTTTTAAGCCATCTTTGTAGACCTGTGTGCGGTTTTTGTGTGGGTGATAGGTGGACGTGCTATTTGTAAATAATGTTAGAATATTATTGGAATTCGAATGTTACCTCGCTAATATCACAATATGGTGTGAGAGCTTAGCATACAGTTGCTTTACTGAAAGCTATGAAAGCACGCACGGTGGGCATACGAGACTGCAGCCCTTGGTTGGCAGGTCAAACACCCCTAGAGGTGCTTTCGAACGAAGCGACCAAAGCTGCTCCAGCTTAAATGTATCTCAGAACAGACAGCGCATCAATGGTTTTGATATCTCACAGCACTTACGGTTGTGAAGCAACGCGTTAGTCTGCGGAGAACACGGAGATCCCGGAAACCAGAGGCATCTAGATACTGACCTGGCCCTCCGTACCAGTGTCCCGGGTGCGTCGCTACCTTGAAACTGTAGCCAGGGCCGTGCGGCGGGTGTGGGCTGCTCCAGGGCTGTGTGTCGGTTGTGGCCCGGCGCTCCTGGTACCGGTCGCCTGACGCAGCCTGACGTGGCTCTCATGTTACCGACAGCACCTGAGCCTGGTGACGAGAGAGCCGAGTCTGGGCGAGCCTTCGGACGCGCCGTCTCCGTCCGCTTCGGACGGCGATCTGCTGCTGCGCCGACTCACCGAGCAGTTCGTCAACTGCTGCTGCTATCAGATGTGGGCCAGCTTCGTCCAGTAGCGGCCGACGCTGGCCGCTGGCCGCTGACCGCTCGCGCTCGCGGGGCTCGCGGGGCTCGCGCTCTTCCCCGATGTCGGCGGCCGGGCACGTGCTCCCTGCCGTCGGATCGGCACGGCAACTGGTCACGTGATGGAGCTCCAGGTGGAGGCCTTGCCGCGTCGGCTGGTCACGTGGTGTGGTGGTGGGGTGAAGCTCAGCCGTTTCAGTGGGTCACGTGACGCAGGTTTGCCTGTGCCGGATGCTGGGGGCGGCCCCTGCCCTGAGCTTCGAGTAATCGGTGTGCCACAGTGGCCGCTCTGGCGTGGCTTCAGAGCAGCAAGTCTTTGTTATTAGTTCGTTTGGGGTTTGCATGCTACTGTTGATTTTTCTTGGCGAGAGGGGGCACAAACCATTGTTGGAGGCAGAATTACTAACTGCTCGGCTACCTTTCGGCCAGTGAGTGGCCCCGTGGAAGTTCTGTGGTCGTGAGGCGCTGTGCTGTGATCTTGCCTCACTGTGACGCGTCGGATCAGGTAACGAGAAAGTGTAGCAAGGGAGACATTGGTGCGAATTCCTTCTCTTGCGTATATGTATGCGGCTCTGCCGGGCGCTGGTGGATTACGTGTTGCGGGTTGTGCCTATCGAGCTTGCTTTTGTACGCCATCGAGTGTGGGTTGTAGCCGGAATACTTAAACCGTGCCTTGTCATCCATCTCGGCGTCGCGATTTGTGGGACTCAAACAAATGTAACGGTGTGCCTATATTGTAAAAAGAACACAGTTGAAGGGTTATGGTCGTGCTGCGCCGATCGCTGCGCACTGACGTCGACTACCGCGCCGGCTGTTGTGATACGGTATTGGACGGCGTGGATGTCGGGTGTGCTGGTGCCGCCAGCGATGTGACCCGGATGACCCGTTGGCGGAAGCGGCGCTGATGCTCTGCTGACCTCCAGCGCTCAGTGTGACCTGTGCAATGAACTGGCATGAGCGTGAGCTTGGGCATGAGCTGTGCCACGCCCTGTGTGCCACTCCCGCCTGGGCTGTCTGGCGGCGTCGTATGCTCCCGCGTATGGGCGCTATTTGGCCGGACATTTTTACTCGTGACGATGCCAGTACAGTGTCCGGCTGATTCCCAGTTCATGCAGTGTCCTGCTAATCGCCATATACACGATGTTGCATGGTGGGTGTGGTTGTGTGCTCTGGCGCCAGACGGGAAGAAGGGCCTGCAGAAAGACCAAGGCGGTGCCCTAGCACTTTTTTTTTAGCTGAGGCGTTAGACTGTTCCCGATGCGGAGAGACGCCTGAGGCTCCATGTCGTCCCGACCAGTCTGGAAAGCTCCCTGCAGTATGAGCGGGTGACGAGAAGCCTTCGATTCCAATTTCGATAGCGGACGGGATCTTTCCAGTCTGCTCCTTTAAAAACATCGCCTACGAGGTTACTGCGGAGCGGAGACCGTACGGAACACTTCTAACACCGCTCCTGCCTACCGTTTGAGCTCGGTTAGCCAACGAGGTTACCGTGAAGCCAAGACCGTGCATGGCACTCCTGACACCGCTCCTGCCTACCGTTTGAGCTCTGTCGAGCCCGTCGAATCCGATTTGGGGGAAAGTCGGCCCATGTCGTTACTTTTCGAAAATATAATAGCACTGTTGTGATTACAATGCATGCGGTCTACCTGAGCAGTACGCATGCGTCCCATGTCGTGCACCGCTTCCAATCACAGCAGCCTCGCACTCGCAGAACTGGGGCACCACCTGTCGGACACTGCTGGCGTCTGCCGCGGCCGCACGGGGTTAGCGTGCTCACAGGTCGGCGAATAGCCCCAGACTAGGAGCCCCGCCCTGGACACGCCGATGGCGAGTCCTGGGGTAACCTAGGGGTACCCTAGGTGGTTCAACTCTTGGCAGGCTCCTCCCGCACTCCACCCGGTCTCACGAAGTCGCATCTCTGCAAGGCTGCATTGCTGCGCTGAACGCGCTGCTTCAATGCTAGAAAACGGCGACCAGATCATAAACTCTTGCATATGGCCATAAATCTGGCAGCCTAAGATTCAACCATCTACGACGCATATGTGCCGTATCCCTGCGCTCTGCGATCTTGTGATCGGCGCGCATCTGCGGGAACAAGCTTCACGTGTTTTGTCCGCAGCCTACAGACAGGCTGCATGTTTACAGGGAGTTGGGTCACGTAGCTTCTAAGTTGCGTGTTACTTAGTCTTGCTCACCAATCGTACTGTAAACGCGGTTCTGAATTGGTAACCGCTGATCAAGGTACTGGCTACAGGTAAGATGCATGGGTAAGATCAACTGAAAGGAGTCAGGTGCTGAATATGATGGACCACCGGTGCAGGGCGGCCTCTATGCAACCATGCAATGTTATTTGCTCCATGCTATTGGACCGTAGACAGATAAAGTCTTATGGTGTTTCATATGTTGTTTTAATTTTGATAAGCCCATTGCTGTATGCTGCCATAATGTTCCGTAATTATTCTAATGAAATTATAACTGCAGAGCATCATAGGTGTACCATGAACATCACAACAAAAATTTCAGTGCATGTATGCAGTAAATATGAGTGGTTAGTTTGGGACATGTTCACCACAAAGTTTGGGGCATAAGGGAGTCCATGTTTTGGAAACTGATATTGGGGAAAATGCTATAAAAGTCATGTTAATTAATCAGATAATTTTTTTCTGACTTGATGAGGTCTGAATTTTGTGCACACAACATAAGGGCTAAGCACACTAAGGCCATGCATGAGGCTGGTGCAGGTCATGTATTTTTTATTGATGGGAGTTGGGGGTCAGGGTGTACTTTCCTACCTAACGTTAGAAAAAATCATTGTACACCATTTGTCGTGTTTAAGGCAGGACATATCATAAATAATCACAGAACAGGTAGATTCATGCTCTTACCTTCAAATTTTTTTATAATTACGATGGCGAGCTCCCGGGCGCCACACACACAGCAGCCACGACACCAGCACCATTACTGCGCGAGGTCACAACATTACTGCGTATCAAGCAGCATCAAGAACCATAAAAATGTAGGGGGCCAAGGTAACAAGAATCATTTAAAATTGATCCTCAACACCAAGGGGACGATGGGTTGCAGGGGGATTGGGTGGGGAATGTAAAGCAAAATGAGAACATGGCGGCTAAATAAAAGCTCACTATACGGCACCTACATATGGCATGGAACATGGACACCAATGGGATGCTGGGTTGAGGGGGACATAGGGTGGGGAGGTTAGGTTAGGTTAGGTTGGGTTAGGTTAGGATAGGTTAGGTTTGGCTCAGTTCAGTTTGGTTTGGTTTGGTTCATTGGGTTGGGTTGGGTTGGGTTGGGTTGGGTTGGGTTGGGTTGGGTTGGGTTGGGTTGGGTTGGGTTGGGTTGGGTTAGGTTAGGTTAGGTTAGGTTAGCTTAGGTTCTGGTCTATTCTCAGTTAGGTTAGGTTAGGTTAGGTTAGGTTAGGTTGGGTTGGTTGGGTTGGGTTGGGTTGGGTTGGGTTAGTTAGGTTAGTTTAGGTTAGGTTAGGTTAGGTTAGGTTAGGTTAGGTTAGCTTAGCTTAGCTTAGCTTAGCTTAGCTTAGGTTCTGGTCTATTCTCAGTTAGGTTAGGTTAGGTTAGGTTAGGTTAGGTTAGGTTAGGTTAGGTTAGGTTAGGTTAGGTTAGGTTAGGTTAGGTGAGGTTAGGTTAGGTTAGGTTAGGTTAGGTTAGGTTAGGTTAGGTTAGGTTAGGTTAGGTTAGGTTAGGTTAGGTTAGGTTAGGTTAGGTTAGGTTAGGTTAGGTTAGGTTAGGTTAGGTTAGGTTAGGTTAGGTTAGGTTCTGGACTATTCTGACCTGTGTGTTTCGTAAACGTACCTAAACGCTATAAGAAGCGATTTTGATTATTTTTATGGCTCTTGATAAGCAGGAATATCGTACTTACGCAACAACGCAGAAACGGTGCTTTGGAGTCGAGGTGGTGCGGTGCGATGCGTGCGTCGCTCGGGAGCTCGCTATCGTATTTATTAAAATTCGAGGGTAGGAGCATGATTTTACTTGTTTTGAGATTATTTACGATATGTTCCGCCTTAAACACGACAATTGGTCTACCTTGGTCCCGTACATTTTGTATAGTTCTTGGTAAGCAGAAATATTGTATTTACGCAACGGCAACGCAGAAACGGCGCTGGGGAGTCCAGGCGGTGCGGTGCGGGCGGCGCTCGGGAACTCGCCATCGTAGTTATTGAAATTCGAAGGTAGGGGCATGATTCTACCTGTTTTGAGATTATTTTCGATATGTGCCGCCTTAAACACGACGAATGGTGTGCAATGATTTTGTCTAACGTTAGGTAGGAAAGTACACCTACACCGAGTTGGGTAAGCTTTCATGATTTATACTGTGTTTGGAATTGGTTCCTGTGCCTTTGGGCTGTGATAGCTTGGCATATAGTGCACATAGCATGTAGTACTTGCTGCCCTCCCTCGTGAATAGGCACTCACTTGTGCTGGAATTTCAGGACCAGATAACATGAGTCCTCTTCATATTGAAACACCAGCACTGTTGTCACCTTCTCTGACAAGACTGGCTGGGAGGCATGTCTATCTGAAACTGGAGAATCTGCAACCTTCTGGCTCATTCAAGCTCAGAGGCATTGGCTGTCTGTGTGAGGAGGTAATGTTCTGTTATCCATCTAAAACACCATAGGTAATTGGTAGCAAAGAATAAAGTTCGATTGGTGTGGTGTTAAAACACTTTCCATTAGCCAATATGAAGTGGAATCAAAAGGAGATGAAGGTATTCATGAACTGTGCATCTCTTGTGTGCATGTTTGGATCACCTGCCTGTGAAATGAGGCAAAGTGATGCCTTTGTCTCTGTAAAGCTGAAAATGCTTTAAATTTTGGTGGTGTGTAATTGTGGTGTTTTAGTTTGCATTTTAGAGTATGTATCTGAAGCAATACCAAACCTGGAAAAACTAGCTTCCTGGACACTCTGTCCCGGTCTCTGTTATCTGGGAGGCCATCTGTTCATCTCCATGAAATTTGTGTCTTGTTTCCACCCAGTCCTGCCTGCTTCTCAGTTGGCCATCCCTCTATGGGTCATGCTGCTAGCTGTACCCCAGTGAATGTGGTGCTGGCTGACAGGCTCGGGCCGCTGGCTGCTCAGAGATCATCTCCTCGTCGGGCGGTAACGCCGGCCTGGCCGCGGCGTACGCGGCGCGCACACTCGGCATGGCTTGCACTGTGTACACGCCCCACTCCACACCAGCCCTGCTGGTGGACAAACTGCGGAACGAAGGCGCCGACGTGCAGGTCAGGTCAGAATCCCCTGACATCGCAGGTCAGAAGCCTCCTGACCTGATCTTGGGATAAGAGACTGCCTGATCTGGAATATCAGGGGCCTCTGGCATGGGGAGCATTAGAACTCCTGAACTCACGGCGGGAATAATTCGCCTCCCAGCTGATGAAGTTCTCTGGAACTCTGTGTAGAACATTGTCCAGCTAACTGGCATGAGGTGTGTCCTCCATGGTTGACGGTTTCACTTTGCTGTGGACGAGACCTTTGCCTTGTGGTGTGGATATAAATATTGTATGGGAAAAAATTAACACTAGCATCCGTTAAGATGATTCCAAAACTATCCGAAAATTGGAAATGTCTCTTTTAGGTCGTACATAGCAAAGAGATAATGTAAGTCCTTTCCATGACTTGTTGTGGTGGCATCTGGTTTGATAATCTTTCATTGATGACAAACTGGGGAATTTTTGGCTCACTGGACGTCACCTTTCCAGATAGTCGGCAAGAACTGGAACGAGGCGAACGAGGTAGCCGTTGAACGCGCCCAGCGTCCCGGCTGCTGGTTCGTCCACCCCTACGAGCACCCGTCCATCTGGTGAGAGCGCCCCACATGGTGTGGCGGCGAGCCCTCTGGTGGGCGGCGGGGCGGCTGTGGAATACGTGGCATCGGACCCCTATGGTAGCCTTATGTTAGGAAACATCAGCCGCTGGATACCCGCGCTCCGGTCTGCGGGGGAGGGTGGTCGGGACGCCGGGGACTCGACCTGCGATGTGTCGACGGGGGAGGGTGGTCTGGACGCTGGGGACTCGACCTGCGATGTGTCGGGGGAGGTGGTCTGACGCCGAGGACTCGACCTGCGATGTGTCGGCGGGAGGGTGGTCTGGACGCCGAGGACTCGACCTGCGATGTGTCGACGGGGGAGGGTGGTCGGGACGCCGGGGATTCGACCTGCGATGTGTCGACGGGGGAGGGTGGTCTGGATGCTGGGGACTCGACCTGCCATGTGTCGGCGGGGAGGGTGGTCTGGACGCCGAGGACTCGACCTGCGATGTGTCGGCGGGGAGGGTGGTCTGGACGCCGAGGACTCGACCTGCGATGTGTCGGCGGGGGAGGGTGGTCTGGACGCCGAGGACTCGACCTGCGATGTGTCGGCGGGGAGGGTGGTCTGGACGCCGAGGACTCGACCTGCGATGTGTCGGCGGGGAGGGTGGTCGGGACGCCGAGGACTCGACCTGCCATGTGTCGGCGGGGCGGGGTCGGTACGACCTTGCGCTTGTGATCCCTTTGCCGTAGAGGTGGTCTGGGGAGGGGGGGGGGGGGGGCGTGGGATGCATCAGGCCTGGGCGGGCCGGTGCCCCGCTGCGTAGAAGTGGTGTGGGGTTGTAGGATGCAGCAGGTCCGGACAGCAGGTGCCCCGTTGCGTAAGTTGGTCTGGTGGGGGGATGGGATGCATCAGGTCCGAGCGGGCCGGTGCCCGGCTGTGCAGTCAGGCCGGTGCCCGGCTGTGCGCGGGCAGACTTCTGACCAGGTTGGGCCGACCGAGCGCTGCGGCGCGGCCGGAGCGCCCCGGCCGTGTGGCGGAGCGCTGACCCTCTCGCCCTGCCGCCGACAGGAGGGGCCACTCGACGCTGGTGGATGAGCTGCACCGTCAGCTGGCCGCGCCGCCCGCCGCCGTCATCCTGTCGGTCGGCGGCGGCGGACTGGCCAACGGCGTTATTGAGGGACTCGAGAGGGTCGGTGCGTCGCGTGGTCTCATGACCATCCACCAGTTAAAGTCCCGCGTGTTTCGCGACAGACACAGTCCACAGCTGAATGTGTCGTCGTCCAGCCTACGCTAGCGAGGCCATTTGGCTGTTCATTTCCTGAACCACGCCTTGTCATCGGAGATTGACGTTTCTTGCAGTTTGCAAAGGCACGTGTCATTGAATTCGGATCTATCATTACCATATGGCAGGCATCAGCAATGTGTCTCTGACCCATCGTATTCTTCACCGCCCTTCTGTCCGCTGGCCTGTCTCACTGTCGGTCATAACTCTCTGTGTCCAGGCTGGTCCGACGTACCCGTGGTCGCGATGGAGACGGAGGGCGCCGATTGCTTCAGCAAAGCGCTGGAGGCCGGGAAGCCGGTGGTCTTGAGTGGTATCACCAGGTGAGTCTGGCCGCCGCCAGCTGCACCAGGCTATGGAAGGTTTGGCCGGACCCCGCGCTCGCGCCCTCGCTCCGTCGGACTAGCGGCATTCGTTCTAGAGCGCCGGTGACGTCATAAGCGGCTATCGCGATATGCTATTGCCGGTTACTTGGAGGGAATAGTTCGCCTGTGTGTTGAGTTTTTAACTGAAAAAACAACTGCTGCTGAGATCAAGAAGTCATGTTTCAAACGGGTTGGTTGGAAAGCTGGCTACTGCGGTAGAGCAGGTCTTGTTGGTTATCGGTGGGGCTCGTGAGGCCAGGCGGGTGTTGTAGAGAAGGATATGACTGGATGACTTATAAGCCGTCTTTACGAAAGTGTCCACGTATTGTAGGCTGCGGTTGAAGGTTCCCGCAGGCTGCTTTGACAAAACAACACTGGATCCTGGTTTCCACTTGTTCCTTTAAGAAAAAAAGCTAGGGATTCAGATTCTTGATGCTCTTTTGACACACCAAGACCCTGGATCATGGTTTTCTCTGGTTCTGTGGACAAAGCCAAACTCATGACCCTGTTTCCTTCTGGTTCTTATGATGAGACAGGACCGCAGATCCTGGTTCTCGCTGATTCTTTCGGCAAGCAAAACCATGGATCCTGGTCGCCTTTGGCCCATTCAACAACACCAAACCCTGGGTCCTGGTTCCCACTGGTCCCTTCGAGGACGTTGGTCACCTGAATGACCTACATACTTTTGCTTTCAACAAGCAGTTAAAAATCATCCTCCGCAGGCACGTAAAGCAGTCGGCGTGTCCGATACCACCACTACAACTAATGAGGCGTTACTGTTAGTTGAAGAGCGTTTTCCAACATGTATAGTGGGGTAGTAGACAGCTGAAGCAATGTAATTATTATTCCGGGATAAACTAAACTGGGAGAACTTCCAGTGCCCCTGTTGTCTTATGTTAACAAATAGTGAATTGGCTCTGTATTATCTGTATGTTGTGTTCATGTTGTTCTCATTTGTCAAACTTGTAAGTTCCCATCAAAATGCACCCTCCTTAATATCAAAACCAGATGTGCTCATGTCCGCATTTTAGAGGCAGCCACCAGACGGCGTCAGAAATCAAGGCCGTATAGCAGATGAGATGGATGAGAACGCCTGGGATGAGACATAAGTCAGATATTGAATACTGTTAGAACCAGAGCGATGTCGCTAGTATGGATCGGTGAACTGGTCATTGTCCCTGAATTCGTTGGCCCCGAGGAATGAATGTAAAGCTCCAGAGCGAATGTAAAACAATGGCAACTTGATTTTCGTTGTGAGTTGTCATACTTAATGCTCTATTTAACACAGCACTGATAGCTGTATACCTAATAAAGAGGAGAAAGGGTATGGAGATGCAGTAATATTTCCGTACATGCCTTCGTACAAAAGGGTTCACGCAAGAGGGTGTTATGTACAGCATTCGATCACGATGAGAGAGAGCTGTGCGTCTCGTGGGGTTGGAAGGAGGACACACCACAGGGGTGCCACTCACCACGCCCCCGACTGTCACTGGTGGGGCTCTGCACGCGGCCATGTGCCCCCCCCCCCCTCCCCCCCCCCCCGTCCCGACAGCGACCGCGACTGGCGGGCTCCGACCCCGATCACGTGTCCCCCGTCGCCGCTCGTCACCACCTCCGGCCAAAACACACGCTGTCCGGCGACGCGGGTGTCACCAAAACAACAGATGGCGGCATTGAGCTCCGATGCGGGGACAAAAACCAGCTGCCGCCATCTCAGCCTGCAAAACCAGAGCCGACCTGGTTTTGATGCACTGCCCGCGCCGTGCCATTTTTACTCAATAGGGGTACCGCTGGAGCCATGCCGCCACGGCTGGAGCTTTGTATCTGTCTGGAAGGCCCTTCACAAGGCTTGTCTTGACCCCTTCAGTATTTGAGCCAAAGCCCCCAAAAGCTATCAAACCCGCTAAACATAGCAATTCTTAATGTTTTGGGGGAATCGGTCCGCTCTTCTCTCCTCGCAAGACATTTTGTGACGCTCCGTTGATCCGTGCTGCCACACAAATACAGTACCGGTTTGTTACATGACGCAGCTATGCGGTACATCGCTGCCTTTTGTATTCATCATGACGCGCGCCGTTGCCTACCCTTCTACGGAGCGTCAGCGACCTCAGAGGTCACATTAGCGATCAGGAGCCATGTCACAGCCTGAGCCCGACATGGGCTGTCTTCGAAGGTTACGCTTCCGCTGCCGCGCTGGGCTGCTCCATGACGTAAATTTTCTGTTGCTTAGCTTACTGAACGTTCTAGTCGGGCGGATCGAAACGCTCATCTGGTGACGTCACATTGTCTGACTGGTGACGCCACACCCTGACTGGGGTCACGGGATGGCGCCCTGCTGGCTCGAGATTCATCCCTCACCCAGTCTGGGCTCCGGATGGGGACGGGGGGGGGGGGGGCTTGCGGTGGAGAGACGGCGCGTGCCGTGCGGTGACCGCGGGCCCCGTTCCACGCCGTGCCAGGCCGTCGGGGTCTGGTGCGGTGCACGTTGTTGCATGGACGGCTCCTCTGACTCATTTGGGCCTCTCGGTCAGACGCGCACCGGGCGCTGGCCTGTGTCCAGGTCAGACGCGCACCGGGCGCTGACCTGTGTCCAGGTCAGACCCGCACCGGGCGCTGGCCTGTGTCGCTGTCGGACCCGCGCTCGCCTGTGTCATTGTTGGACCCGCGGTTGCCTGTGGCACAGTCAGACCCGCGATCGCCTGTGTCACTGTCGAACCCGCGCTCGCCTGTGGCACAGTCAGACCCACGCTTGCCTGTGTCACAGTCAGACCCGCGCTCGCCTGTGTCACTGTCGAACTGGCGCTCGCCTGTGTCACTGTCGAACCCGCGCTCGCCTGTGGTACAGCCAGACCCACGCTTGCCTGTGTCACAGTCAGACCCGCGCTCGCCTGTGTCACTGTCGAACTGGCGCTCGCCTGTGTCACTGTCAGGTCCGCGCTCGCCTGTGTCACTGTCAGGTCCGCGCTCGCCTGTGCCACAGTCAGACCCCCGCTCGCCTGTGCCACTGTCGAACTGGCGCTCGCCTGTGCCACAGTCAGACCCGCGCTCGCCTGTGTCACTGTCGAACTGGCGCTCGCCTGTGTCACTGTCAGACCCGCGCTCGCCTGTGCCACAGTCAGACCCGCGCTCGCCTGTGCCACTGTCGAACTGGCGCTCGCCTGTGCCACAGTCAGACCCACGCTCGCCTGTGTCACGGTCAGACCCTCACTCGCCTCTGTCATAGTTAGACCCGCGCTCATCTGCGCCACTGTCGAACCCGCGCTCGCCTGTGCCGCAGTCAGACCCGCGTTCGCCTGTGTCACAGTCATACCCGCGCTCGCCTGTGTCACAGTCGAACCCGCGCCCGCCTGTGTCACAGTCAGACCCGCGCTCGCCTACGTCACTGTCGGTCCCGCGCCCGCCTGTGTCACAGCCAGACCCGCGCTCGCCTACGTCACTGTCGGACCCGCGCTCGCCTGTGTCACAGTCAGACCCGCGCTCGCCTGTGCCACAGTCAGACCCACGCTCGCCTGTATCACGGTCAGACCCGCGCTGGCCTGTGTTACGGTCAGATCTACTCCGACACGTGCAGTTCCCCTGCCAGCAACCACGCCCGGGGCACGATCGCCTGTGTTTAGTTGCGTTTTTCATTTGTTTGATGATCGTGTAATTGCTTCTTAAAACACATGCAAGACATGAGTCCGTATGTTAGGTACTGTTCCGGAATGTGGCGTGTTTTGGGCGGGGTCCAGACACGTGTCCAGGTGGCTAGCTGGGGTGTGACCGGCCGCCGCGGCCGCGTCGGTGACGGTGCCGGGTCGGTCTGTGCCGCAGCCTGGCCAAGTCACTGGGAGCGCTGCAGGTGTCGGACCGGCTGCTGGAGTGGTCCCGGCGGCGGCCGGTGCTCAGCGGGGTGGTGACCGATCGGCAGGCGGTGGACGCCTGCGCTCGTCTGGCAGGTCAGTAGGCTGGGCCGCTCGCGGCCGCTGCCGGGCCAGTCTGCCGCCACCCTCCGGCAGGTGGCCATGCCCAGCTGTTCATGTGTGAACATCAGACGCAGAGAGCGTGGTGTGTGCGGTGTCACTAGCAATCACGGTAGGCTGCGCTGTCGGCGTCTGTAAGCGACGGTCTTTTGAAGTGGTGCAACGGTCATTTGTAGGGAGGATGTCACCAGAGCCAGGTCAGTCGGATCACCAGACACCAGACGCTCGCGACCCCGTGCTGGTCTGCCTGCTGTTGTTGGCTTCTGTGTGCTGTGCTGACCGCTGGCCGCGCCTGTCGCCAGCCGATCACCGGCTGCTGGTGGAGCCGGCCTGCGGCGCGGCGCTGGCCGCCATCTACTCGGCCCGGCTGCCGGCGGCGGCCGCGCGCCGGCCCGGCCCGCTGCTGGTGGTGCTGTGCGGCGGCAGCGGCGTCACGCCCGACATGCTGCTCCACTGGCAGACGCTCACGGCCGCCTGACCGCTGTACGGCGTACGCCTGCAGCTTGTACCGCCTGACCCGGGCGGGCACCAGGCAGGGGTTAGCGGGAAGAGACACCAGCGCTCTGAGTGGTGCTCGTCTAGTAGTTAATGCACGCTGTTGATTTGGAGAGAATGATTTCGGTATATTGCTACATTAGCTGTAGTTTTAGAACGATCGGTGGTGTTGGACCATCTATGTGATGTATATGCTGCAGTTTCTGGTGTAGACCGCAGCCAGTCAGGGAACTAAAGCGGGTAGCCAACGTGCCAGCCGGCCGGCTAGCAATGTGTAGCTTAGGGGACAAAACATTAGACCTGGAGAGGCGGGGGTGGACAGCTGACCAGGGGCCACTGGCTGCTCGGTCGGGTGCTCTGTAGGCGGGATGGGTCACAGAGAGCCGGATGGAGACGGGCCACCGGGTCAGGGCGGTGGCCCCGGCCATGCGTGACTGGCTCACGCCATGTTAGAATGACGCTAGAGACCATGGCATAATGACGGGCGAAGGGCATTGTCGCAATGTGTGGTGGCCAGATTGACAGATGGCGTGCGGTGGCCAGATCACGGACAGTGGCCAGATGACGGAATTATGCGCAATACTTCAGCAAGTGTGGTTGAAATACATGGGACCGCAAGGAACACCTCGATGTGTACTTTGTGAAAGCAGATGCCTTCTCGGACACACTTTCAGATGATAGCCAGGCGACTGTCGGTGACGCGGACCGGACGGGACGGAGGCGGCGGCGCATAGCCGGCGGGCCTACTGGTTACGTGCCAGGCGCGGTGCGGTGGACTGGTGCGTCACGATGGCCGCCAGTCCCGGGAACGGGGGTCAAAGGGAGGGGGCCGACTTCTAGTTCTGACGAACACGTCAGCGGCACGAGCTGCAGCGGCGGAGGCCGGAGGACCCACCACCGGTCGCTGCAGCTGCGGGCCCGTGGTGCGGGATGTCGGTCAGACGCGGCGCCAGAGAACCCGCCACCGGCCGCTGCGGCTGCCGGTCTGGTGCGGTCAGACGCGGCGCCAGGTCCTGGCGCGTCCGCCCGTGCACGCAGCTGGGCACGGTGGCTTGGAAGAGCTCAAATCAGCGGGGCCAAGTCTGCGTGCGTAGAGATATGTAAGCGTTCAATTGTTTTATGTGAAACAGACAGCATGCCATTGCGCAGGTCAAAGCAGAGGTTTGCCGAAAATATTAAAGATCCACAACTCACCCTTTCATCGGCGCAAGGAAAAAAAAACCACAAACAAAAACGGGAGAAGCACGAGGGAAACAAACAGCGCTGTGCGATAGAACAAACATGCGTCTTTGTGTCCTTATTACAGCACAAATCGAAGGTTATTATAATTTACAGTGTAGCGAGAACTGAAAAGCATGGCAAGGGAAACAAGAAACGGCATTCAGGAGAACAAATTACGATGCGAGCAACGCGGAGGAGAATGTTCTCACTTGTAACGTTATTCGAGCGTAAAGCTCGCTAACGTACGAGCTGACCATTGACTCATGGCTGGGCGGAATTGAGACTGCAACCATATGGCATGAGTGGGGCAACAGCGATGCGGTTCTAGTTTCAGTGGTCTGTCACGAAGAGAATATTCTACGGAGTTTATGTAATGGCAGAATCTGCACACAATGTGAAGAGACTCGGATCGGGGGCTGGAACCGACCATCTACGTTCGTGGCTAACCAGCGGCCGAGCCACGTCTGCCGGCAACAGAGCGGATGTTTTGCTGCACCTCTGGGTGACCCGACCAGAAGGCTGATGACACCGGCGGCGGGAGGCGGCAGCGTCCGCCTTCGCGTGCGGTGTTCGTGCGGTGGCGGAAAGCGCCGGTCCGGTGTTGACATCCATCGTGCTCACCAGGGGAGTGGTTTCACAAAGTCAGTTCGGGGTTGAATAGTGAAAAATGGCCCAACCTACCCCCATAATGTGCTAAAAGGCATATAGATACGCCAATAAACTGATACATATGTTCTAACTATGCCGAACTCAAAACAGGTCCTGCCCCAGCAGCGTGCTGGAGACGGCCGCCTTTTATATCGCCGACTTATATCCGGAACCAAAATATAAAAAGTCTATGTAAGGCTCCCGAACAAGCGACTGGGAACACCAGATCTATCCCAGCTCTCAGAGGCCTCCTAAATTTTCAGGCTGGGCAAAAAGACACTCCCACCTGGTGGACCCGTCGTCGCTGTGCACGCCGCGCTTCGCGGCAATACCGCGCGAACATCCAGCTGCAGGCCGGGCCGGGCCGGGCTCGCCCGGGCCGCTGGGGTAAAGGTCAGTGGCGTAGGTCTGGGGCGCCCGTTGTCAGAACTGACGGTGAACAAAGATACACTCTTACACGAGATTCGCTCATTTCTACTTTCTTAATGAGACTTGATGTTTTCAGCTGTGCTTCAGCGTGGTTGTCTGTGGAAGTCAGCGATTGGTTGAATTACCTGCGACGCATTTCAATGTCCCGAACGCTTCACACTGTAAAATCGGTCCCAACCAATTTTTGGCACATGAAGCTCGAGGCCCCATTAGCAGGCCTCATTATCCGGCAACGCAGGTAAGCACAGTCAGAGTCCGCACCGCTGACGGAGGCCGCCGCTGCATGGACGACAGCTGCGAGGATGGGCCGGAAGATGGACCGGATCTGAGACAGCGCGTCGGATATGGCTCACGGCGCGTATCGGTCCGGCGCGTCCGCGAACCACCGCTTCCGCCCGGCCTATATAGTCAGCACCTCCGCGGGCCGCCGGCGGCAGTGCGCCTAGCCGATCCGGCCGGCTCGCCTTCAGACGTACACGGCGGGTCAGCAGACGGACCCGGCGCAAGATCACATATCCGCGACACCGCACTACGGCCTGGGGATGAGGTCGGTGGTGTACCTCGCCTGCGTGGCGTCGCTGGCGGCCATCGTCGCGCGAGCAGGTGGGTTTAGACTGTCGATCGTCGATAACCGCCTGGTTGGCGACGTGCGGAGGAACGGTCGAGTGTGCGGCCTGTGGACAGGGCACGTTGTGTCTTTTGCTATGTTTTCGCCATGTCTCGTTTGCCGCTCAGCGCGGCCCGTTGATTGGCCGCCCTTCGTCTGCCCCTCAGCCGTGCCTAGGACTGCCAGGCGGGCCGCGCTCGCAGGGCCGATCTGGCCGGGTCACAGCCAGCTGACCGGGTCACGGCGCTGGCTGCCTCCCGGCTGGGGCCTGCATCGGCCGCCTCCCCGGCAGCTGCGGCTGTGGAGGCGGCCGCCGGTCAACACTCCAACGGCGTGGGCGACAGCAGGTGCGAACCGGCGGATACTGCTGGCCCGCTCCCGGGTCAGGTCAGGACCCGGCTCCCGGGTCAGGTCAGGACCCGGCTCTCGGGTCAGGTTAGGACCTGGCTCCCGAGTCAGGTCAGGACCCGGCTCTCGGGTCAGGTCAGAACCCGGCTACCGGGTCAGGTCAGGACCCGGCTCCCGGGTCAGGTCGGGACCCAGCCCCCGGGTCAGGTCAGGACCCGGCTCTCGAGTCAGGTCAGGACCCGGCTCCCGGGTCAGGTCAGGACCCGGCTTCCGGGTCAGGTCAGGACCCGGCCCCCGGGTCAGGTCAGGACCCGGCTCCCGAGTCAGGTCAGGACCCGGCTCCCGGGTCATGACCGGGAGCCGAGGGCCAGCCGATAGGGCGGCCGGCCGCCGCGCACCCCGCTACCGCCCGTGCTGATGACGGTCGCGGGGTGCGCGGCGTGACCGCTGCAATCGATCTTTGCGATGGGACAGGACCCAACTGACGTTTGCGAATTTGGTCTCGTGGGACCAAAAACGCAGACTTGAAATGACGAGCTGTTACATGATGAGGGAGTAAAAACGCCTCCCAACTGAAGACAAACGGTGTGATGTGACGGTGGCCTCTTCCCAGGCGGGGACGGTTATCGTCGCCGAGGTCACCTCTGGCCCGGCACCTCCCGGGGCGGGGCCTGGGCCAAAGCCGGCCTCGCGAGCCAGGCCTGGCCCCGTCACGGCGTGTCCGCGGTCTCCGTCACCAGTCGGCGTGGTCGTCACGGAGGTCGTCGACTCCCGGAAGCTCACGTCTGGATTCGGGGACGTCACGGTACGACAGGGTGATACTCCCGGGCGCGCAGTGGGCGGTGTGCGCGTGCAGTGCTGTGCTGGAAGTAAGATTTTCTGCTTATGATTGTCTGTCCGCATCATAATAACGTTATTGAACTCAGCTTCAGTCTTGTCGAATTTCAAACATGGCTATTGCCGTAATTTCATCTGGCATTGTCGGTTGTTCAAAGAAGCTGAAACCTCGGGTTAGAAATGTGCAGCTCACTTATGAGCGGCCAACACACATCCGCGAAGGCGCGCTGACTGCTCGCTGAAGAAATACGGTGTTTACCAAGCATCCAACATGTGATGCAGGGATAGTGCGCGTCACGTTCATCGCAATTACGGCTGGCCCGGCTGAGGCACCCGTGGTTATTTCAGGGACTGCACACCCGCGCCCTATCGGCCCCGTCTGGCGTTGGAGACGGATTCAGCCGCACCACCGATACCCGCTGGGGACGGCTACGTGCTGGCCCGACGTGACACCTACGGAAGCCGAGCCCACGGCGGCGCCGACCACCGATCCCAGGAAAACTCGACCCGCGCCCTCTGAGCCGGTGCCGACCACCACCGCCAGCGTTCCGCCGGGGACCACAACCACCGCCACCGCCGCCACGACTACCACCACAACCACTGCCGCTGCCACCACCGCTGCCAGCTCCACCGCCGGTCCCGCGCCCGGGCCGACGGGCCACGACAGTCCGGACGACCCGTACGGTCCGGGTGGTCCGCACGGTCCGCATGGTCCGGACGGACCGGGTGGTCGAGACGACCCGTACGGCCCGGATGGTCCGGGTGGTCCGGACGGACCGGGTGCGCCGGACGGCCCAGGTGATCTGGACGGTCCGACGACCGGCGGCAGTGCCGCACCGTCCACACTGCCGCCGCCGCTGGCCGTCACCTCGCCGGAGTGCCCCCCCGGCCTCGTCTATGACCAGGAGCGCGGTGCGTGCGTGGAGGGCTGTCCGGTCGGGGCCTCGTACAGCGATGACGCATGCGTCTGTGACAACCCGCTGTTTGTGGTGGACTTCGCCAGCTGGGAGTGCGCGGAGCCGCGGTTCACGATCCAGTGAGCAGCGCAGCGCGTGTTGCTGGACGCTTTGTTCGTACCGTGGCTCGTGTGAAATACGTCCGGCAGCGCGCTTATAGGACAGAGAACGTTGCGGAAACATCAAATGACCGGGGTTCCGATTTATCAACGCTCGGCAAGCAACGTTCTCAAACATTATCACCGTACCTATATAAGTCATATCCATTCCTCAGCGTCGTAGTGATGGCTCATCCATGAGAATAATAAGAAAAAAAACACGAAGAACTTCAATCCAATGGGACGCGTTGCGCTGGGCTCGGCCGTTCAGATATCAGGCAAATGTATTTACTCGCGCAACAAGACGATATTGTTATATCACCAGACACGTGACAGGTGTGAACTCAGACTCAGTATTTGATGGGGCTGGCCCGCCAGTTCGTTCGATGCAGCGATCAGACGATGAAGCATTCAAAGCGTGCAAAAGCGCATCCCAACAGCCCTGGCTGGCAGAAGCGTCGGACAGCCTCAGGTTCGGCCGGCGCTTATACAGCAGTTCAGGCCTGTATTTCGCGACAGATATTTTACAGTTTGGAAGTTTGCTGTTAGCGTTGATCAGGCTTGCTGTGGCGGCTTTGCCAGGATGTGGAATGCAGCGGACAGGGAACTGAAGCGGGAGGGCACATGCCTGCCCACCAGTCAGCAAATTGTACGCTGGGGCCAGTACATTAGACCTAGGCAGGCACGCTGGTCGGTAGGACGACCACCGGGCGGGGCAGGTCAAATGGCATGTCAGAGGTCAGAGACGCACCGCCGCGGGTCACCGGGTCGGAGCGCTGCCTCCCCACCAGTCAGAGGTTAGAGAGAAACGCACCGCCGTGGGTCACCGGGTCGGAGCGCTGCCTCCCCGCCAGTCAGAGGTCAGAGAGAGACGCACCACCGTGGGTCACCGGGTCGGAGCGCTGCCTCCCCGCCAGTCAGAGGTCAGAGAGAGACGCACCACCGTGGGTCACCGGGTCGGAGCGCTGCCTCCCCGCCAGTCAGAGGTCAGAGAGAGACGCACCACCGTGGGTCACCGAGTCGGAGCGCTGCCTCCCCGCCAGTCAGAGGTCAGAGAGAGACGCACCACCGTGGGTCACCGGGTCGGAGCGCTGCCTCCCCGCCAGTCAGAGGTCAGAGAGAGACGCACCACCGTGGGTCACCGGGTCGGAGCGCTGCCTCCCCGCCAGTCACGACATGCGTCCCTGGCATCCCGTGAGGCGCGATGTGATAACGTGCGCCGGACAATGGTTGTTTGCGAGTGAGCATGGTGCTCCCTGTGATCTGTCCATTGTTGGCACGCACGCCGCCGGGACTATGCCACGGACAGCATGTCTTTTATAGTTCTAGCGTGCTGTGTGACAGCTACATGGACGGAGATAGATATATTTCACTCGGCCCATTTAGGCGTGACATGGCAGCAATTACCGTTGAAGGAAACGTGACTGCACGACCGAATCTGATACGCACTTCACTTGAGATCAACTGAGCTGAAACGGCTAGCGAGCACCGAACGGCCAACAGAACAGGGAAGCAATGCTTCAAACGATCGCGAAGGACACCCTCGCACAACAAACGCAGAGACCGCCTACGTGGCATTTGACTTAAAACGATAGGAACAGCTACTGGAGCAGATCATAACAAAGACAACAGGGACCGGCAGGAAATCGTCAAAAATGTACGTCCCCTTACAACAAGCGCTGCACATGACTAGGGTGACGGGCCTGTGTACATCAGACGCACACGTGTGGACTAGACTGACTAGAATGTGACCGACTGGAATGCAACGTGAGAGGCGACCGAACGGGCTGGCTCCACTGGGAGGACGGTCTGGTGCCAGCCCACGCCAGCCCCACCGGGAGGACGGTCTGGCCCCGGTCCAGACCTGACCCCACTGGGAGGACGGTCTGGTGCCGACCCAGACCTGACCTAAGGTAGGACAATCTGGTCCTGGCCCAGACCTGACCCCACTGGGAGGACGGTCTGGTCCCGGCCCAGACCTGACCCCACTGGGAGGACGGTCTGGTCCTGGCCCAGACCTGACCCCACTGGGAGGACGGTCTGATCCCGGCCCAGACCTGACCCCGCTGGGAGGACGGTCTGGCTCGGACACGACACGACACCCCCAGAGGCCGATCAGAGCGGCGGTCGAGCACCGCACGGCCCCTGGCCAGGGCGCTGTCTCCGACGACCCTCCGTTGACGCTCCCCCCCCCCCCCCCCCCCCCCCACAGCCGGGACGGGCCGTCCGGTTGCGGTGCCCGCTGGGCTGTACCGTGAGTGACTGAGACAAATGGACGGATCAGTTTCCTGCCGTGCCGCTCCGCCTCCGCGGCCATGGCGCCGGCCGGATCACAGAGCTGTGCGAGGCGCCAGGCCGGCCGCTCCAGACCGGACCAGGCCGCCGCCGCTCTACACCCGCGGCCAGGGCACCGCCCGAGGCCGCGGAGACGCCGGCCGGATCACAGAGCTGTGCGAGGCGCCAGGCCGGCCGCTCCAGGCCGGACCAGGCCGCCGCCGCTCTACACGCGCAGCTGCGACCGCGCTTTGTCCAGGATGTCCTTCTTGATCTTGGGGTAGTCCGGGAACTTCTCCATCACCTGGTGACACACGTCTATGGCGTCCACATACCGCTTCGCCTTCAGGTAGTTGAAGGCCAGCTTGAATCCTGAAACGCGGACAAGAAAGAACATTGCGTGGATTACGTCAATAGTACAATAAAAGCAGACGACCATTTGCATGGCACTTCTTAGCCCACTTTTATGGATTGATAACCGACCTGAACATGAAACAAACCGAACTGGTCACCTGTGTTACTTAAACAAAGTTTAACATCGGTATGCAAGGGAACGCATGAAACGCCATAAAACCCGCGTGCATCAGTGAGTTGGCCAGGTCGTGGCAGCGCAGGTCTGGCAACTACTGCGGCGGCACGCTCAGCGCACCAGCGTCAACGGTGGTCTGGTCCAGGTCCAGTCAGACCGGCCAGACCACCGCGGGCCCTGCGTCAGCCCAGCCCGTCCGCCTGACGCGGCGGTGGGCAGAGCAGACACTCGGCGTAACCGTGCCAGTCCTCCCCCTCCAACAGTCACTGGGCCACACACGCCAGACCGGGCAGGTGACGGCCGCCGCTACCGCCGCCGCCCCACATCTCACCGATAGTCGGATTGCTGTGGCGGCTGAAGCGCCACGACATCTCGTAGTTCTCAGCCGCGTCCTTGTAAGAGCTTTCCTTCTCGTGGATGAAGCCAGCGTACTCGTGCGCCTTGCCACACGACCGGTTGTTCTGTAGGATGCGCTGCGATCGGACGCGCGCGTCATGACTCGGACTCTGGGCTAGACATGGGATCACCACCGGACTAACCAGGAGTCATGACTCGGACTGTGGACCGGCCGTGACGCCACCACCAGAGGGTGCCCAGAGCGTGATCGGGTTTGCGGTATAGGTGCGACTGCGCGTCCGAGCCGGAGCGGCTGCCGCCGGCGATCTCGGACAGACCAGCAGCAGACCAGAAGCGCTCTGGCCTGCCAGACCACAGCTGGCTCACGTCGGAGCGCGGCCCGGCACCGGCCCCAGTCAGGGTCCACGGGTGACGCCACGGGCATCCTGACTCCGATTCATCCCTGAGTCCATGAGTCCAACAGTCGTGACCTGTGTCCATACGGTCAGACTGCACCAGGTGGACAGCGTTCCAAAATTCATCCAGTAGGGTGTGCAGGATGTAAATATAAATTCATGTTACCATAATTCTGACTCTTCGGCGGTCCTCGCACGTAATTCGTTGGCGCTACCCCGTTGCCCTTTGACCCCGACACGGACATCTTACCTACTCAGCCCATTTGTCCAGCCTGAGGCGCATAAATACTGATTTGACGGCCGCCCGGTTCGGTGCTGATTGGGCGATTTTGAGCAAGGAGAGGGCCACAGCCAGTGAGCCCAAGGCCGGGGTGTTATAGCATGAAAAATATCGACATCCCTGCCACCCAAGTGGCCGAATATTGGACCACTGCAGGTGGGCAGCTCTGTGGGGCATAGGTAGGCCACAGTCTTCCCGTCCCAGCCGGTGAGGCTCGGTCAGAGATGCCTGAGTGGGCGGTCATCTGTCACATGTGCCTTATCCTCCCCCCCCCCGCTCATCTGTGACGTGACGTGAATGTGAGCACAGTCGCCTGTGACGCCCCCTCACCTGGATCACGTCCTGGGCCAGATCGTATTTGCCCGACTGGATGTAGATGTCAGCGAGCAGCAGCCAGCAGCGCTCCAGGTACTCGGCGTCCTCAAAGTTCCACGGGTTTTTGGCCACCCGCTTCAGCTGGTTACGGGCCCGCGGCGTCTGGCAACGGCCGACAAACAATGCTCAGTACTTGAAAACTCATGAGTAAAATCGTCCGACATTGTCAGACCTTTAAATTGTCAAGGTCAAAGTTGCTTAAATTACTGCCTCTCACTAAACCCATAGTGCTCCGTAACGAACGCAAGCAATTTAATACGGACGGGCTAAACCTGCCGCACGTCGGTTTCGACATTCACCATATCGAGCTACTGACACAGAGCCGGCGCGTACATCTGAGCAAAATACATAAGCGTCTCGGATTCGCCTGGACGGGAGACGCACTCCAGGAAGCGGAGCATGACCTCGGGCCTTTCCGGGCGCAGGCACGAGCGGCTGACGGACCTGTTTTAGGAGCATGTAGGCGGTGGCCATGCCGCAGATGGCGCCCACGTGGTCCTTGTACATTTCGGAGCTGGCGATGTTGGTGAACTCTTGCAGCGCCCGTTCGATGTTGCCCTTGTTCTTGGAAGCCATCAGCAGGAAGTTGGTGAGCAGCTGATGGGAGATGGTCTGGTCGCCGGGCTTGGGCTTCAGCTCCTGTGGAGCCACCGGCCGGTATACAGGTCAGTAGGCGGCTGACGCGCCGCCGGTCTTGCGCCGGGCCTGCCGGACCGCGGCCGAACCGCGGTCGGACCGGCGCTCGGTGTCAGGCTGTGCCGCGCCGCGCACCGCCGGCGGTACACCCCAGCGGGCCAGGCTGTGTGGTCAGTACACCGGTGACATGGTCGGAGTACAGGCATGTATTAGCGGGTCAACACGGGAGCAGGGCTGGCGGCGGAGCTGGCGCCAAACCACAGCACTGTGTGGGGCTGCTGCCGGACCATGGCATTGTGCGGGGCTGGCGGCGGGGCTGGCGCCCAACCACGGCACTGTGCGGGGCTGCTGCCGGACCATGGCATTGTGCGGGGCTGGCGGCGGGGCTGGCGCCCAACCACGGCACTGTGCGGGGCTGCTGCCGGACCATGGCATTGTGCGGGGCTGGCGGCGGAGCTGGCGCCCAACCACGGCACTGTGTGGGGCTGCTGCCGGACCATGGCATTGTGCGGGGCTGGCGGCGGAGCTGGCGCCCAACCACGGCACTGTGTGGGGCTGCTGCCGGACCATGGCATTGTGCGGGGCTGGCGGCGGAGCTGGCGCCCAACCACGGCACTGTGTGGGGCTGCTGCCGGACCATGGCATTGTGCGGGGCTGGCGGCGGAGCTGGCGCCCAACCACGGCACTGTGCGGGGCTGCTGCCGGACCATGGCATTGTGCGGGGCTGGCGGCGGAGCTGGCGCCCAACCACGGCACTGTGTGGGGCTGCTGCCGGACCATGGCATTGTGCGGGGCTGGCGGCGGAGCTGGCGCCGAACCACGGCACTGTGCGGGGCTGCTGCCGGACCATGGCATTGTGCGGGGCTGGCGGCGGAGCTGGCCCCCAACCACGGCACTGTGCGGGGCTGCTGCCGGACCATGGCATTGTGCGGGGCTGGCGGCGGAGCTGGCCCCCAACCACGGCACTGTGCGGGGCTGCTGCCGGACCATGGCATTGTGCGGGGCTGGCGGCGGAGCTGGCGCCCAACCACGGCACTGTGTGGGGCTGCTGCCGGACCATGGCATTGTGCGGGGCTGGCGGCGGAGCTGGCGCCGAACCACGGCACTGTGCGGGGCTGCTGCCGGACCATGGCATTGTGCGGGGCTGGCGGCGGAGCTGGCCCCCAACCACGGCACTGTGCGGGGCTGCTGCCGGACCATGGCATTGTGCGGGGCTGGCGGCGGAGCTGGCCCCCAACCACGGCACTGTGCGGGGCTGCTGCCGGACCACGCAAGCGCCCCCACCTGCAGAAGTTTCTCGGCCGTGCGCAGCGCCATCTCCTGGGAGCTCTTGACGTCCGAGTCGGCCAGGTCCTCCATGGCCTCGAACGTCTCGCCGCCGATTGTCATGTTGTCCGGGTTCAGGCAGATCTGCCGACCAGAGACGCTATGATGTATCACATACGCTCGGCACCGGCCTGAGCGCGGAGCAGCCGCTGACGTCGTCGGCTCCCCGGGCAGCACCAGACTATATGCCAGGTGATGGCACCAGAGGGATGAGGGCACGGCTGATGCTAACTAGGAGGCCGGCTATAACGTAGTGACGCATTCAGGTTCTCGACTTCTTAAAGTAAAGTTGTTTTTTTGGGGTGGGGGGCACGAAGGTGACATCATTTCACCAACTGGAGGCAGACCCTTCCCAAATTTATGAGCCACGCTAAAAACTACTTGCAATGCAGACCAGTTGGCGACAGGCCACCGTCCCTCCTACGCTTTGTAAAGAAGAGTTTGGGTTTAAATTGTCGTTCCTCATGGAGTATATGGAAGCCTTCTTAACTGGAATTTATCTATGGCCATTAGGCATGTTTTCTAGCATAACACGCCGAGAATCGCGACACCTGGACTCAGCGCCATTGTTAACTCTTTTTGAAACTCGACATGACATCAATGGTACCAAAACGTTCACCGTCGTTTTCCTACGAGTAAGTTTTTAGATGACTATGTAAACGATAATTCCTTACATGTTTACACGTGCATACAAACAAGACTGTCAACTGCGCATTGCCTTAAGCACGCCCTCCCCTCCTACCCGCCCCCCCCCCCCCCCCCAAGAAATTAGGCAATGGTATGACACAAAGCTTGAAGCGCTTTGCACATGTAGCGCACGTATCAGGTGACAAATTCCGGCACAGAAAATGCGGTGAAATAAACGCGTTTAAAAATAGTACGCAACAAGTTGCTAAAAAGTAATGAATGCTAAGCACGTCCTCGACCGCCAGAAACACTTGCTGGATGAAATACACTCCGAAACCCGCGAAGCCTTTAGCCAGCGAGCCTCCCCCTGCCGAGGCTGGCGGTGTCTTCCTGCCCTCTCCCCTCAGGGAAGTGGGCCTCGACTGAGCGCGGGCCGGCCCGGCGGCGGCGGGGGGGGGGGGGGGGGGCGCAGGGCAGAGCAGGGCGGCCGCCAGCCGACGCTCGCTCACGTTGATCATGTGGTAAACGGCGCGCTGTCCCCACTCGGTGTCGCGCCGCGCCTGGTTGAAGTGCTTCAGAGCGCCGTTCGGGTTGCTCGAGTACCTAAACGTGTCACCGGCAGTCGTCAGACAGCGTACACGGCGAGGGGTCGGCGAGGCACACACACGGCGGCGGACAACGGGGTGCGTAGTCTGGATTACATGGCTGCAGCAGAGGCCGTCTTCAGGGCCCGGCCCCGGCCCCAGCCCCGGCCCCGTCCCCGTCCCCGTCCCCGGCCCCGTCCCCGTCCCCGTCCCCGGCCCCGGCCCTAGCCCCAGCCTCGGCCCCGGCCCCGGCCCCGGCCCTAGCCCCAGCCTCGGCCCCAGCCTCGGTCCCGGCCCCGGCCCCGGCCCCGGCCCCGGCCCCAGCCTCGGCCCCGGCCTCGGCCCCGGCCCCGCCCCCAGCCCCGGCCCGGCCCCAGCCCCAGCCCCAGCCCCAGCCCCGGCCCCAGCCCCAGCCCCAGCCCCAGCCCCAGCCCCAGCCCCGGCCTCGGCCCGGCCCCGGTCCTGGCCCCAGCACAGACAATGACCGGGACCGGGACCCCGACCCGGACCCGTGCGCCGAGGCGCCGCCGCTCACCACTCGTAGAGCGCCTTGCAGAATGCCAGGCCGGCCTCGTTGGGTCCGCGCTGGCTGGCCTTCTCGGCCTTCTCCAGGTAGTCGGGCACCTTCTCCAGGTGGCCGGTGCGGCGCATTACCTCGATCAGACGCGCCAGCGCCGCAAAGTAGTCCGGCCGGCGCGCTGCGAAGTCGCGGACAGCGGCGCGTCAAGGGCAGCACGGGGACACCAACATCGCGGCGGCGGAGGACTGGCACGACACAGCAGCATGGGACCTTTATGCTAAATTTGTCATATTCCTCAAATTCCGTGACAATTATCAGTCAGAGATGTCATGGACCACGTTCTCCCATGACCGCTGGCTGCGGCTACATGAACCAATGGCAGCAAACACGCCCAAAGTCCCGCGGCTCACAGTCCTGGCAGCACTCACTGAGCAGCTCCTGGAAGTGGAACATGGCCGTCTCGTAGTCGTTGCGGCGGAAGCTGAGGTCGGCCATCATGACGGTGGCCAGATCGTTCTCCTTGTCCTGGCGCAGCAGCGTCATGCACGTGTACTGGCACTGGTCCAGGTCGCCAGTCTGAGGGTCGCAGCAGAGGTCAGTCACCAGCGGCAGGACGCGCCGACAAGCCGTTAGTCCGGCCAGCGACTCGGGTGCCCATTGCGTCGGGTGACAGCGTTATAATATGGAACTGCCAGCACGGCTCCGCGCCTAACTCGAGAAGGGGAAGCCTGTACAGCCGTGAGTGTGTCACGGATCACCCGTCCTAACGTAGAGACGCGTTTTGGCGGGAGTGGGCCACGACCAGACCGCACCCTGTGACGCCTCCGTAGGACCGGAGGCACGAGAGAGCGGAGACCAGGCCCGCACGCCGCGCACAACTGGCCTGCATGTAGAGCCGGGCCAGCGCCAGTAGCGCGCCGGCGTCGTCGGGCTGGTGCTGCAGCGCCTCCCGGTAGTACTTGATGGCCTGCTCGTAGTTGCGCTGGCTCTGGTACCGTTCCGACATGGTGCAGCAGATCCTGGCGGCGGGCGGGCGCCGGTCAGCGGCGGATCGTGGCACGCCTCGGACCGGCAGACACCGCTCCCCGTCCCGGGAGAGACGGCACCGCGGCCGTACAGCCGTCAGCATGGCGACGGGGTCCCCCGCACAGGCACCACCTCAACAGGCAAGGTGTCAACAGTGCTAATGTCTTGGATCACGGTGAGCGCGTCACTTCACAGCGCCCACGCTTCAGGCGGAAGCAGAGCTCGCTATCGTGGGGGATGTCCTCCTAGCCCTGCAGCTCTGGTGCAGGCTGACATTAACTGCTCGGTGGCTCTGGCCCGGTGCTCGGCGACAGTGTGCCGTTCAAGCCGCGGCTCAACCGTAGTCGCACAATGTCAGAGGACACACTGTGGCTCTGGCCCCGTGTTCGGCCAGTGTGCCTGCTCAAGCCGCGGCTTATCCGTGGCCGTACAATGTCAGAGGACGTACTCGGTGGCCCTGGCCCGGTGTTCGGCCACGGAGTGTGCCTGCTGAAGCCGCGGTTCAACCATCACCGCACAATGTCAGAGGACGTACTCGGTGGCCCTGGCTCGCTGTTCGGCCACGACGTGTGCCTGCTCAAGCCACGGCTCAACGGTGACCGTATAATGTCAGAGGACGTACTCGGTGGCTCTGGCCCGGTGTTCGGCCACGGAGTCTGGCTGCTCCATCTGGACGCGCTTCAGCACGCGCACCTGCAGCTCGTTGGCCGCCTGCAGCGTCGCGATGGACTTGTCGATGTCGCCCACACTGTCGTGGATCTGCAGCAGCGCATGTACTGGTCAGTGGGTGCACAGTACAGTGCAGCAGTACATGCTGGCTCAGTGGGTGCAGAGCACGGTAGCCACAAGTCAGCTAATTTCATCATATACCATCCTTACCTCAACACCTTCCAATGCGGATCAATCCCTTTACGCCATCTATCAATCAAACGGGCTAAGAACCAAGAATATAATTTGTGTGGGACAAGGGGCCACCATTTCACGCAGTCCCACCTTGGCCAGCAGTTTGAGCAGCTGCGCCTGCATGATCATGCTAGCCAGGCTGCTGCCGTCCTCGCCCTTGATCTTCTCCAGAGCCTGCTGCACCGTCTTCTCGGCCTTGTCATACTGGCGCATCCTCATCTGCAGCTCCGCCATGTCAAACCTGACCACACACGCGGACTTTCATTCCCCCGGCCGCTCGCCACCGGGCGTCCGACGCAACTCACGGAGCTCGGGGGGGGGGGGGGGGGGGACACGCCGCCGGTGCATACAGCTGCACCAACGGTCACGTATGGCGACTGGGGTGGTCCCAGTGGCGAAGCGTGCGCGCGTCGCCTTGGTCATGGGATAAACTGATGTCACACGTCTGATCACAGACTGACTAGGCTGTACCGATGTCACAAGTCTGATCAGACTGACTGGGCTATGCCGATGTCACAAGTCTGATCACAGACTGACTAGGCTGCACCGATGTCACAAGTCTGACCACAGACTGACTGGGCTATGCCGATGTCACAAGTCTGATCACAGACTGACTAGGCTGCACCGATGTCACAAGTCTGACCACAGACTGACTGGGCTATGCCGATGTCACAAGTCTGATCACAGACTGACTAGGCTATGGGGGACCGAACACGGCTATGTGGTCTACATAGCCTGCAGCGAGCACAAGGCAAACGGTACTCGCAGGGTTGAAGACGCGCCCACATTGGGGGACAAAACAAAGACCAACGCTGGAAAATGGCAGGTGCTCTGCACCGGGGCCCGCGATCCGTGCATGTGCCGGGGAACAGAGGTGCGCTAACACTAGGGGGACGAGGAATGTACTCGAGGAAAGCTCACGAGCGCTACAGGAGACGTTTGCCCACACTGGAGGATGATCGAGACGGAGCCGCACCTCAGATTGTCATCCTCTCCGACTTTGATGGCCTCCTTGTAGTAGTTGATGGCCTTGCCGTAGTGGTGCGTCTTGACGAGGGCGCGTCCCATCTTGAGCGCCAGGTCGTGGTCACGGGGGTTCCGCTTCAGCGCCGACTCGTACACCTCGATGGCCTTGTCCGGCTCAAGGATGGTCATGTAGGCGTCGCCCAGCATCAGGTAAGAGGCCGGCGTCGGTATCTGGTCCACAATCTCCCTGAGGTCGGCGGTCGGCGCCGTCAGACCGGCCGGCCGCACAAACCGCCAAGACGAGCACAGGTACGGTACGGTGCACCGAGCAGCTGGACAAACCGCCGATGGCAGACCGAGCAGCCGCGCCCGGTCACACAAACTATCGACGACATACCGAGCAGCCACGCCCGGCCGGACAAACCCCCGACGCGAAACCGCAGCCACGCGCCAGTCGGCAGGAACACGGCCACGACCGCACGACCGCAACTGGCCTTGCCTTTCATTCCCGGACCCGCCGACAGATAAGCGACCGGCAGTGGTGTACCGCTGCAGCTGCGTGGGGCGCCACCGACCGCGAGCTCAGTTCGCAGCCCATCCCAAACCGGCCCGGGTCCGACCGCAAACTCAGTTCGGACCCCATCCCACCCCGGCCCGGGACCGACCGCGAGCCCAGCTCGGACCCCATTCCACCCCGGCCCGGGACCGACCGCGAGCCCAGTTCGGACCCCATCCCACCCCAGCCCGGGACCGACCGTGAGCTCAGCTCGGACCCCATTCCACCCCGGCCCGGGACCGACCGCGAGCTCAGTTCGCACCCCATCCCACCCCGGCCCGGGACCGACCGCAAGCTCAGTTCGGACCCCATCCCACCCCGGCCCGGGACCGACCGCGAGCCCAGTTCGGACCCCATCCCACCCTGGCCTGGGGCCGACCGCGGGCTCAGTTCGGACCCCATCCCACCCCGGCCCGGAACCGACCGCGAGCTCAGTTCGGACCCCATCCCACCCCGGCCCGGGTCCGACCGCGAGCCCAGTTCGGACCCCATCCCACCCCGGCCCGGGACCGACCGCGAGCCCAGTTCGGACCCCATCCCACCCCGGCCCGGGGCCGACCGCGAACTCAGTTCGGACCCCACCTCGCCCCGGCCCGGGACCGACCGCGAGCCCAGTTCGGACCCCATCCCACCCCGGCCTGGCTGAGCGCAACGTCACTTACTTGAACATGGCGGCGTACATACGCCGGTCCTTCAGGTAATCGAAGTAGATTTCGGCCATCTTCTGACGCGACTGCAGGTAGTAGGGCTGGTCGGGCGTGATGTCGCGCAGACTGCCCAGCGCGCCGCTCACCTCGTTCCGCGCCAGCAGCAGGTCGGCGTTGGCCACCAGGATGCGCACCTCCTCGCCCGTGCCCTGCGGCGGCCGGCAGCGGAGGCGATTACCAGTCCTGTCGCCTGTAGCCCCGTGGGCAGGCGGCGAAGGACGGGCTACTGACATCGGCTCGCCTGCGCACAGGCAGACCGAATCCAAGCGCCTGGATTGTTAGCCCTTTAGCCCGTACCGTGCGACAACAGACAGTAGCTGAGTTACCACTGTTGTTATCGGTAACCTGACCGTCAGCACAGAAGACAGTTAGCTGTGCCCCACCCGGTACATTGAGCCAGACAGGACAGCGACCGGAGTCAATAATCACCATATGGTATCGCTCTTAAGATGTTTGTCCCTAGCCCATGCCTGGCGATGGGTTTCTGGAAAACAAAAACCAAAACATTCCGATGGGTGCAATTGTAAGGAATGCGTTAAGTTTGAACAAGCATCGCTATGGGGACATTGTAAGTATGTCATCCACACCACCCAGATGGGGCTGACAGTTTGGGCTCTAGGGCGCGTCGACTAAGATGGTTATATGGCGCCCATGATACCACCCAGCCCGAGTTCGCCTTTCCAAGATAGTCGCTTGATACTGGCGACATTATCGCAGTATTTCGTACTTCGGCTTGCAAAAAACAACATATCAAATGTCACATGCGATGAATGAAAAGCCAACAGGCCGATGACGCAATGCGTTGTAAAACGATCGCACTGCAAGAGACAAACGGCGTATACATCTCTTCTTTAGGTCACTTCATTTGATGCGTAAGAGCTAGGCTGATGCTGCAACTATATGGCCACCGGTGGAGTTTGTAACCTGGGTTGCGTGTCTGCGTGCGTGCGTGCGTGCGTGCGTGGGTGCGTGCGTGCGCGTGTGTGTGCGTGCGCGGGTGCGTGTGTGTGCGTGCGTGCGTGGGTGGGTTTGCGTGCGTGCGTGGGTGTGCGTGCGTGTGTGCGTGTACGTGCGTGCGTGCGTGTGTGCGTGCGTGTGTGCGTGCGTGCGTGTGTGCGTGCGTGCGTGCGTGCGTGCGTGCGTGCGTGCGTGCGTGAGGTTGTAGTTGCATAAAGCCTGAAACATGGTTGTGCCATGTGGGCTACAGATACGGCCCTGACGGGCCCGGGCGATGCTGGCCGCTTGCAAGCCGACCAGCCAAAGCTTCAACAGAGGCCAGCGGGCGGGAGAGGAGCCGCGCAGCTCCGGCCTGCCGACACGCACCTTGAACATGAGCGTCGCCTCCTCCATCACTTGTTTGGCATCGGCGTCCTGCTGGGCCATCCTGTACGCGTCGGCCAGCTCCAGGTAGATGGACACCTGGTCGTTGGCGTTCACCTCGATCTTGCTCTTGGGGGTGGTGCCTGCGGCGGGACCGGCCAATCAGACGGCCCAGCGTGGGCACCGGTCGCCGGCTTCGACACCCCAGCACCGGGACCGTCCCCCGATCAGGCCGGGGCCGCTGCTGGTGCGCTGCTGTGCGGTCAAGCGCCCCCCCCCCCCCTCCCCCCCCCCCCCAGTTACATCACAACGCACCAGCCGTGACTCGGCACCCCAGCACCGGGACCGCGCCCCGACCAGACCGGGGCCGCTGCTGGTGCACTGCTGTGTGGCCAAGCGCCCCCCCCCCCCCCCCCCCAGTTACATCACAACGCACCAGCCGTGACTCGGCACCCCAGCACTGGGACCTTCCCCCGACCAGACCGAGGCCGCCGCTGGCGCGCTGCTGTGCCGTCAAGCGGTCTCCCACTTACATCACGACGCACCAGTCGTGACTCGGCACCCCAGCACTGGGACCGCGCCCCGACCAGACCGGGGCCGCCGCTGGTGCGCTGTTGTGTGGCCAAGCGGCCCTCGAGCTACACCACACCACACCAGCCGTGCCTAGGCGCCACGGCCCGCTGCCGCTCCCCAGGTCGGCCGCAAGCGATCGCAGCAGGACACAATGCGAGCTGCCTCGGTCGTAACCAGCCGGGGTGGGAGAGCCGTGTCGGTTGGCAGCGCCCCTGTGCGAGGCAGCCGTACCTTTGACCAGTTTGGAGGTGAGGCCGGCCAGCTGGACGGCCGTGTGCAGCGTCTGGATGGCCTCCTGCACCTGGTTCTCCCGCTTCTGGATCCGCGCCTTGATCAGGTGGAACAGCGGATGATCCTTGATCTGTCCACACACCGATAGGGTCAGAAGACACAGCCCATCCGCTTCGCGTGATCGTTACTTTCACCTGAGTGACTTTAAATCCCACTTTAGTCAATGGTAGCCTTTTCTACATATATGGAGCAGAACGTGCAAACCACTGGCACAGATTCGAAACTGACCAGGTGGCCGTCAGCTTCGCTGCATGCTAGCGCCATGGTAATGCGGTCTATCGCGGCAGCGTGGAGTTAAAATTAAAAACGAGATCGGGTGCCCAGTGTCGTTGGGTCGTCCACCATCCCATCAGGAGGGCTCGGTTGGCGCCGGGGTCTTTTACCCATGTCCGTCTCGGCGCCCAGCCCGGCAGCTAGCCGTCTCACCTCGAAATTGTAGCTGAGCCCCAGCTCCAGTGACTGCGAGGCCTGCTTGTAGAAGCCCTGGTGCAGCTGGATCTGGGCGTTCAGCAGGTGGGCGTCGGCGTACGATTGGTCTGAGGCACAGGCCAACACCGGTACAGCAGCAGCCCCGCGCACCGCGACAGAGCGACAGTCTCATGTGGCACAGGCCAACGCCAGTACAGCAGCAGCCCCGCGCACCGCAACAGAGCGACAGTCTCATGTGGCACAGGCCAACACCAGTACAGCAACAGCCCCGCGCACCGCGACAGAGCGACAGTCTCATGTGGCACAGGCCAACACCGGTACAGCAGCAGTCCCGCGCACCGCGACAGAGCGACAGTCTCATGTGGTACAGGCCAACACCAGTACAGCAGCAGCCCCGCGCACCGCGACAGAGCGACAGTCTCATGTGGCACAGGCCAACACCGGTGCAGCAGCAGCCCCGCGCCCCGCGACAGAGCGACAGTCTCATGTGGTACAGGCCAACACCGGTGCAGCAGCAGCCCCGCGCACCGCGACAGAGCGACAGTCTCATGTGGTACAGGCCAACACCGGTACAGCAGCAGCCCCGCGCACCGCGACAGAGCGACAGTCTCACGTGGCACAGGCCAACACCGGTGCAGCAGCAGCCCCGCGCACCGCGACAGAGCGACAGTCTCATGTGGTACAGGCCAACACCGGTACAGCAGCAGCCCCGCGCACCGCGACAGAGCGACAGTCTCACGTGGCACAGGCCAACACCGGTGCAGCAGCAGCCCCGCGCACCACGACAGAGCGACAGTCTCATGTGGCACAGGGCAACACCGGTATAGAGCAGCCCGCAGAGTAACAGAGTAACACTGACACAGCTCATCTGCCGTGGCATGGGCTACACGAGTCCTGCGTTGTTATTGCATGTATTGCCTGTGCATGTTTCCAAGGCTTTCAAACAATTGCTTTAAGGTCATACCGGTCAACGTTCAGGCGAAATGCATTCATTTAGTAGACATGAGATTCAGCATGGAGTTTCATCCAGCGCTTCAACAAGGATGAGGAAACCGACCGTTATCAGCTCACAAAAAGACGGAGTACTGGTCAGAACACCTGCAGCGACGCCGTGCAGTACCTCACTTCCTCGCCTGCTAGACTGATCCTTGTGACTGGTCCCAATGGCTAATCCTTTATCGATGAGCAGCGAGCTAGCCAAAGGCAGGCCTCCGGAGATGTGATGCAGAGGCGGACCTGCGGAGATGTGATGCAGAGGCGGACCTGCGGAGATGTGATGCAGAGGCGGACCTGCGGGGATGTGATGCAGAGGCGGGCCTGGGGGGAGGTGATGAAGAGGCGGGCCTGCGGGGATGTGATGCAGAGACGGGCCTGCGGAGATGTGATGCAGAGGCAGGCCTGCGGAGATGTGATGCAGAGGCGGACCTGCAGGGGTGTGATGCAGAGGCGGGCCTGTGGGGAGGTGATGCAGAGGCGGACCTGCAGGGATGTGATGCAGAGACGGGCCTGCGGAGATGTGATGCAGAGGCAGGCCTGCTGAGATGTGATGCAGAGGCGGACCTGCAGGGGTGTGATGCAGAGGCGGGCCTGTGGGGAGGTGATGCAGAGGCAGGCCTGTGGGGAGGTGATGCAGAGGCGGACCTGCAGGGATGTGATGCAGAGACGGGCCTGCGGAGATGTGATGCAGAGGCAGGCCTGTGGGGAGGTGATGCAGAGGCGGACCTGCAGGGATGTGATGCAGAGACGGGCCTGCGGAGATGTGATGCAGAGGCAGGCCTGCTGAGATGTGATGCAGAGGCGGACCTGCAGGGGTGTGATGCAGAGGCGGGCCTTTGGGGAGGTGATGCAGGGGACGGCCTGCGGGGAGGTGATGCAGAGGCAGGCATCCGGGGGTGTGATGCAGAGACGGGCCTGCGGGGATGTGATATAGAGGCGGGCCTGCGGGGAGGTGATGCAGAGACGGGCCTGCGGGGATGTGATACAGAGGCGGGTCTGCAGGGATGTGATGCAGGGGCGGGCCTGCGGGGAGGTGATGCAGACGCCGGCCTGAGCCGATATAAAGCACGTACCGACATCGTCGATGCAGTGTTTGAGTGTGCTGGCAGCAGACTTGACATCGCCGCTCAGGTACTTGGCCTTGGCCATCAGATAGAGGGCCTCCAGCAGGCCTGGGCAGGCCTTAGTCACCGGCTCCAGCACCGTCATGGCCCGCTTCAGCGCCGGCGGCACGGCCGAGCCCAGCGCCACCGGCTGCAACAGCGACACAGTGGCCCTCAGCTCACCAAACGCCACGCGCCGGACAGCAAGGCCGACCAGACCCACGGCGGATGGGTGGGATACACGCAGTGCCACGGTGTGCAGAGAGGCGCAGCATCGGAAGCCCGTGGAATAAGGGCATGGCTCATGCAACAATACATTAGCGTCATGGTTGTTGACATGCATGTTCCTTTAGCTTGATTGAAAAATAGCACACTGGACCAAAACTACGTTTGGTCTTGGTAACTACACTCCTCCCTCACTAACACCCTAACATGTGAACCTCATCACCGGCCTCGGACCCCGACGAGCGTCGATGATCCAGATTTCCGTGGCGTCCGTCGCAACTCATCCATTCAACAATCCTCAGTCGTAACGACACGCACCAGGTTTGACACGTGGCGGTTTGGGTTTGGTTTGGCACTTGCGCTCCTGGCGGTCTTTCCAACTGTGGCGCACGACTGTGTGTCAGGTTCCCATGTTGATTCTTCATGCAATCGGAGATCAAGAACGCAGTGGTCGTTGCTCTCTCGTGGGTCACCCTTGTCCGACTCGTTGACTGACGCTGGTCTCCTGTATCCGGCGTGGCCATGACCCTGACCTTCAGCTGACCCGGACGGAAATGGAGCACCGGAACCAGGCAAACCATGGCAACAGGGACAGTCCAAGACCCTGAACGACAAGACCCTGTACGACAAGAGCTCTAACACCAAGGAGACGACAGTGATAGGACGGACAGCGCGTGGCCGCTCGTAACTGGGCCGCCATGGAGACAGCGATGCGCCGGCTGGCAGCGCGTCTGAGCGGCACAGGACGTCGCAGGTGGCGGTGACATCAGGCCGGAAGGAGGCGGCCGGCTGCAGACGGCTGCAGACGGCCGGCGCCGGCCGTCGCCGCCGGCCGAGGTGTGCGGACGTGGTGCCGCCGTCATCACGATAGCGTGCCGGCGGCGGCGGCGGCGGCGATGGAGAGCGCGGCCGACAGTCAGCGCCGGCCGACCGTACCGGCGCCATGGCCGCCGCCTGCCGCCCGCTGGCGCTGCTGGCGCTCTGCTGCCTGGCCGCCGCCGCCGCCGCCGCACCAGGTGAGCCGATGTTACGCGCCGCGGGGCGGCCCGCCGCCACCGGTGACAGGGTGTCAGCCACCATACCCCACAGTCAGACCGATCACAATATGTCGACATCCAGCAGCGTACTCTAACTCTAAATATGAGGCTGGCAAGTGTTAGCGCTTCTATATACACTTCACACATCTACAAAATATGATCAGGTTTACTTCGACAGGGTTCCCTGCGACCAACATCCCACAAACCAATCACACTATCACCTTGCCGACCGTCCGATATCAGTTCCCCGCTGTAGCCGTCCCCCCACTTCCTGGCCAGCTTGACCGCAGCCGAGTGCAGGTTGACCCTCCAGTACAGCGTGGCCACGCGTCCCCGTCTAATGCGCCGCTCCGCCCGCAGCCGAGCCGAACGCTGAGGAGGGCGCAGCGCTCTCGCAGCCAGCCGAGCTGGGGCCCGACCCGGCCCTGCTGCCGCCTGCGGGCGACCTCCTCGCCGAACAGCACCGCCAGTTGATGGCAGACACGGATGTGTTCGGCCTGTACGGCGACCCGCCGCCGGCCGGCGGGACCTTCCCTCTACCAGCGGCAGCGGTGTCCGTCGTCCACGGAGACACCGCCGGAATACTGGCACACGCGACCAAGGCCGCGGCGCAAGACGCGAGCGCCAGCATTCCCGGCCCTTACATGGCCGCTGCTGATGTGCTGGCTATCGGAGAGGTTAATGGCGTGGCCGAGGACGGAGTCGTGTCCCGGTTTTACCCAGGCTTCTCCGGGGCTTTGCCGAACGACGACGCCAAGGCAGACCTCGAGGGTGGAGAAGCACAGGAGCTGTACCAAACCGCACCAGCAATATCGACCACCCAGCACGATAAGACACTGGTCGAAGCTGTGGGTGCAAAGGAATCGTACCAAACTGTTTCCGGAGCCTCAAAGAGAGAGGGCGGGAAGGCGCCGGCCGGGCACGGCGGTGACCTGGGGTCCGTCGCGTACGGGCCAGGCATCGCTCCACCAGCCAGCGGCGCCGGATTCCCCGAGGACCCGTACACAGTCGTGTGCCTGCAGAAGGACGTCGCCGCCCACCTCATCAGCGGAGCAGCGGCGGCCAAGGACGCGGCCAGACGCTCAGACAGCGTGACAGCCGACCAAGCCGGCGGGGAAGCCGACGCCAAGACGTACGCCGTGCCGTTGTACGAGACTGTGCTGCCGGCCGCTGGTCGGGGGCCGCCGGCGGCCGGCCAGGCGGCACCCGCGGAGGCGCCCGAGGCGGTACCCGGGGCGGCACCCGGGTCGCCGCCGCTGCCGCCAGCGCCACAAGATGGAGCACCAGTAGTCTTGCCCGACCCCCCGCCGCCTGTGGACGAGGGGGCGGAGGACCAACCGCCAGCCGAGCCGCTCCTCTTTCCGGGCCTGTTCGGCGACGAGTCCCTGACCAGGTACCATTACGATGCGCTGGTGCAGCAGGCCCATGACCGGCTGCGCTGGCTGCTGTCCAACCCGGTCCCGGCTCCGTTCCTCGGCGGCGAGTCCGCGGCCCCGCACCCGGCGACGTTCGGCCCGTACGGCGGTCTGCGCTGGTATCCTACCGCCGCTGAAGACGACCAGACAGCGGGCATCTTCGGGCCGGCTGGGTTCGGACCGCCCCCGAACCTGCCGCCGCTGCCCACCGCGGGGTCAGCCGGCCAACCGTCCGTGCCGGCTGGGTTCGGACCGCCTCCGAACCTTCCACCGCTGCCCGCTGCAGGGGCGGACGGCCAACCCTCGGTGCCGGCCGGGTTTGGACCGCCTCCGAACCTTCCACCGCTGCCCGCCGCAGGGGCGGACGACCGACCATCGGTGCCGGCCAGGTTTGGACCACCCCCGAACCTTCCACCGCTGCCCGCCGCAGGGGCGGACGGCCGACTGTCGGTGCCGGCCATGTTTGGACCACCCCCGAACCTTCCACCGCTGCCCGCCGCAGGGGCGGACGGCCCGACCGTCGGTGCCGGCCAGGTTTGGACCACCCCCGAACCTTCCACCGCTGTCCGCCGCAGGGGTGGACGGCCGACCGTCGGTGCCGGCCAGGTTTGGACCACCCCCGAACCTTCCACCGCTGCCCGCCGCAGGGGTGGACGGCCGACCGTCGCTGCCGACCGGGTTCGGACCGCACCTGGACCAGCCAGTGTTCCCGGCAGCAGTGCCAGACGGCAGAGCTTTCGCGGCCGACAATGCTCCGGCTGGGTTTGAACCGTCCCCAAACCGGCCAGTGTTCCCGGCGGCAGGGCCAGGCGGTGTGCCTCTGGCGGCCGACGGCCGCCCGGTCGGGTTTGGGCCGCCCATCGGTCGACCGCGGTTCACCGCCGAACGGCCGGTAGCCGGGTACGGGCCCCGGCGGTGGCCGTACGGCGGCCGGTCGCCGGCCACGACCGGGCGGGTCCCGTGGGTGGGGCGGCGCCGTCCGCCGCCCTCCTGGCCGTGGGCGAGGGTTGAGGGCAGCAGCCGCGGCCGGCCGGCGCCGGTGCCCAGCGGCGGGGTGTTCCCGCTGTACGCCGGCTGGCGGCCGGGCGTCCGCTGGCCGGCGCCTCCCCCCACCGGCCATTTTCCGCTCTACTCGCACTGGTACCGGCCGACCGTGGTGGCGTTGCCGGGCGGCGCCATGCCGCTGCCGGATCGGACGCAGTGGCCGCGTCCAGCCGTCGCCGTGGCGACCAGCGAGCAGACGTCGGCGCCGGGCGAGCCGGACTCGCCGCCCCTGGACGCCGACTGGCCGTGGCCGGCCGTGGCCATGGCGAACGAAGGCGACTCGCTGGTGGTGACCGGCTTCGGCCGCAGCTCCGGCGCTATGGCGACCGCCGCCGGCCGTAACAACTGGCCACCCGTGGCTTCGGCTACGGCCGGCGGCTCCGCCGACCGGGGCTCCTTCTCGCGCGCCTCGTCTGGCGGCTTGAACCTCTTCTTCCAAGACGACAAGTTCTGGAGTGAGCGTGAGTACTTGTGCGCTGCGACGGCGGCGACGCATCACGCCTCGGCCAGGTCGGGTCTTACACACACCTCGGTGTCGTGAACGGCATCGGCAGAGGCCAGACGAGACGAGCGCGTAGCGCACCACTGAGATGAGGTGATGATGAGGCGATGATGAGGTGATGAGGTGATGAAGTGATGAGGCGATGAGATGATGAGTGACGATCAGATCGAACAGCGTTCCCACTGCTGGTGTTCTCCAGACTTGTCACTGTTGACCGCTGACCAGTTCGATGTCCCCAATAACAGGGTCCGTTTTCCAGCTGCGTTCTTGCGAATGCCGCCGGGCGCCGGCGACGCCGCCGCCGAGCCACCGTCGGGGCGGACATCGCCGCCGCCACCGCCGCCGCTGCCGCTGCCGATGGTGCCGCCGCCGTTGCCGACGTCCGAGCGCCCACCGGCCGGAGACGGAGGAGCGCCGAGCGAGGACTCCGGCCCGGCTACGGAGGACCAGAGCACCACGGGCCCGTCGCCGGCGCAGGACGGCGCCTGAGGCGGCAGCCCGAGCCATCGGCGCCGAGCGGCGCTCTGGCGGTACTCCCACACCGACCCCTGGTAACCGTCAGCGGGGCGTGGTCAGCGGACCGTCCGGCGCGCTCGCCATGTGGTGTTTGACGACTTGTCAAGTATTACAGCATATACCATGCCTTCGCTCTAATAAATCTCGGATGATGACTTTCCACAATTAGACAACCATGGCTGACTGCTTGTTAATTGTCTTGATTACCCACATGCGCTTGCGCGGTGCCAAATTCGGTTTGACGAGTGGGGCACTCATCTGAGCTTCGGCATTACACAACCTACTCCTTCGTCGCAGCTGAAGACAGACGGCTGGTTCTTCAACTGAGCTGGTGAGTCATGCCATCAACATGAAATATTTGCGTACGCACAAACGGTGCGTACTCATATGTTGAGCCAGCATAACAGCATCCTTGAAACACAAGCAGAGGTGTATTGGGGGCTAGTTCTAATCTCAGTTCCTGAACCCTTGGTTTTCCGAAACCTTAGGCGATCGATGCAGACCATTCGAATGCCTCCGTCGCTCAATGATACCAGCATCTTTGAAACAGGAAACATCGCACCATCTTGGAAGCGCACGTGCTCAGGAAGTGCTAAATCTGGTTGCTAAGTCTGGTTGATTATTACTCAGCAAAATATCACATCATAGTATAATTCAAGCAAATATGGTAAAGTGGCGGGCGCAATACAAACCAGAGCAAAAATATGTACTATGGGAGCTGTCTTACTTGGTGCCACTCAGGTAACAAGAAGGCAGTGGCTGCAATTCCACCCTGGCCGAAGCACTAGCCTTCATCCTATCTATTAGACGGGCGAGAGAGAGCATTTGATCGACCTCATTGAGTGCACGATCACGAGACACGTGTCCTTTCTTCAAAACCTTAGTGTTCCGGCAAGGTCACACATTGACGAGGGGTGCGCAGGCCACCGGCTCCGAGGGCACGGCTGGAGTCCGGCCGTAACAGCGCCGCCCCACCGGCAGTGGCCGGAGAGCATTACCTGTCGATGGCGGTCACCCTCAGACCCTGCCCCCTCCGAGACGGGCGCCGCGCCACCTGACCTGGGTCGGCGCGTAGTGCAGACAGTCCTTGACCACCAGCACCAGGAAGTCGGGGTTCAGCGCGATCAGGTACGGCACACTCAGCGAAAGCGTGCGAAAGCTCCGGAAATGCGTCTCGATGGCGTCGTTCAGCAGGCCTGGGGCGCAGGACACCGTCGAGTAGAGAACGACAGCCCAGCGCATGTGTACACTGACGCACACAGACAGGCTGGCAGGCGCGGCAGCTCCGAGAGCGGGGTCACCACTGGTGCCCTGCAGCGCCACCGACCGCCTACAGAGCGGCACCCCCGCCGTCGGCGACCGCTGGCGCGTGACCGTCAGAGGCGTAACACACGGCGGCACCATACCAGCACCAGTACGGAACACCCCCACGCACGCACGCACGCACAGCAGGTGGTGCAGCCCCCAGAGTGCCCCTCCCCCCCCCCCCCCCCGTCAGTTGTCGCCCCGACCGGCCAGCCACAACGAGAGCGACCCGAGCCCAGTACGCACCCAGCACCTCTTCCGGGCTGTGGTTCTGCTTGCGCGCCAGCAGCGCCGACAGGTAGAGGATGTCGGCCGAGTAGCCCAGCGTCTTCTGCGTCTCCTTGAGGAACTCGAGACTCTGCGCCGCCACCGTGTGGTCGCCGTCGATCAGCTGGCACGTGATGATACCTGACGCGCGCCGCCGGTCAGTGGGTACAGTCAGCGAGCGGGGACGGGAGGGGGGGGGGGAGGGGGCAGAGAAGGCGGCACCACACCCGCGGCGCGTGGTGAGCTCCGTCCGGGCCACCGTCACCGCCGGGCAGCACACACGCCACGGGAGACGGCCGCCGGTGGCCGACAGTCCAGCACGAGGCCGACGCAGACGTACAGCCGTCCGGAGCTCAGCTGCTGAGCGGTCGCCACAGGACTACAGGGGGACGTGCTAACGATGACTGGTGGCCACGTGATCCGACCTCAAACCAATCGAAGAGACTGACCTTCGACAGCACCACCCACTAGACCACGGCATGAAACTGAATGCATTCAGTTTGATAAATGCACAAACCAGCACTGTAAAAGGATGAAACTGCCATGCATTTGGAAAAGGCGTAATGCATGAAAAAGGAGTCTAAAACAACCCACAATAATTCGCATATGAGCCCCAGACAGATCCGCCGCTCAGTTGGGCGCCGCTCACCGCCCAGGGCCTCCATGGAGGACTCGTCCGCCTTGGTGGCCGCCTTGTAGAACTTCAGGGCCTCACGCGTCTTGTCCTTGAGCAGGTGCTGGTAGGCCACCTCCACCAGGAACTCGGCGCGCGTCGTGTCCAGCTGGGCGGCCTTCTCGGCCATCGAGAGTGTGAAGTCGAGCACGCCCGGGTTACGACCGCACTGTCGAGAAAAAGAGTGAGTAAACAAGACGTCAAGACAGCATTACATCGACCTTGGACGGGGCTGTGTGCCTCCTTCAAGGGCTCCCCCCCCCCCCCCCCCATCAGTTTGTTTCGAAGCCCGCGATACTTGACGAAAATCGCCACGAATGCGTTTAAAAAAACAGCAGGACCATACTTGAGGAAATCTCATCTCACCCGGGTTCCCAACACGAGATTTCTGACGCCCCCTCATATTATCACAACCCACATTATATCATAAGGATCTAACCGGTAATCCAGACCTAAATTACAACACATCAGTACCGAAAAGCGCATCAGAAGTCTGCACTCCGCAAAGCCCAGCACGGCCGCAGACTGGCCGTCCAGTGGCGTGGCTACACCAGCTCGGCGCCGCCTGCGCCCCGTCGGTCCGACCGAGCGGCGGCCGTCGGTCCCCAGCGCACCGTCGCCGCGGCCCGGCACTGACCGTGCGCGAAAACAGCCGGGCGCACTCGATCAGGAAGGGCGGATTGTGCGGCTCGTGACGGTCTACGTTGCGCATGAACTCCTCGAGCCGCTTGGCCGCCTCGGTGTAGTCGCCGTCGCGCGTGAGCAGGCCGATCAGGCGGAAACGCAGCGCTTCGATCGAGTGTGGAGCGATGGCCAGGATCCTGTCGGCGGACGGACGGCGAGACGGTCAGCCGCCTGCGCCACTACCTGCAGGTCACGGCAGGTCGGCCGCCAGCACCTCTACACTGGGCAGCTCGCGGCAGGTCAGCCGCCAGCACCTCTACACTGCACACTGGGCAGGTCACGGTGGGTCAGCCGCCAGCACCTCTACACTGTACACTGGGCAGGTCACTGGAGGTCAGCTGCCAGCACCTCTACACTGGGCAGCTCACGGCAGGTCAGCCAACGGCACTTCTACACTGTGCACTGGTCAGGTCACTGTAGGTCAGCCGCCAGCACCTCTACACTGGGCAGGTCACGGCAGGTCAGCCACCAGCGCCTCTACACTGTGCACTGGGCAGGTCACTGTAGGTCAGCCACCAGCACCTCTACACTGTGCACTGGGCGAGTCACTGTAGGTCAGCCACCAGCACCTCTACACTGGGCAGGTCACGGCAGGTCAGCCACCAGCGCCTCTACACTGTGCACTGGGCGAGTCACTGTAGGCCAGCCACCAGCGCCTCTACACTGTGCACTGGGCGAGTCACTGTAGGTCAGCCACCAGCACCTCCACACTGTGCACTGGGCAGGTCACGGTAGGTCAGCCACCAGCGCCTGTGCGCTGTACAACGGGCAGGTCACAGCAGGTCAGCCGCCAGTGCCTGTACACTGTACTCTCACCTGCCGATCATCTCGACGCTCTGGTCCCAGTCGAGCATGGCCATGCTGACCTTCATCTTCTCTACCAGCGGGGGCACGAAGCCCGGCCGCATGGCCACCACCTGGTTAAGCTCCGCTTGAGCGTTGGTGAAGTCGTTGTGCAGCTCGTAGTAACGCGCCCGGCAGAACAGCAGCGAAATGTCGCGCGAGTCCCTGCGCGCAGCATGGACAGCGCGTCAGGAGACGGCTACCCTGACATGACGCAGGGGCCTCCGCACAGTCGGGGCAGGTCAGCTAGTCAGAAGGGCCTCCTCACAGTCGGGGCAAGTCAGAGTGTCAGAGGGGCATCCGCACAGTCGGGGCAGGTCAGCTAGTCAGAAGGGCCTCCTCACAGTCGGGGCAGGTCAACGTGTCAGAGGGGCCTCCGCACAGTTGGGGCGGGTCAGAGTGTCAGAGGGAACTCCGCACAGTCGGGGCAGGTCAGCTAGTCAGAAGGGCCTCCTCACAGTTGAAGCGGGTCAGAGTGTCAGAGGGGCTTCCGCACAGTTTGGGGAGGGAGGGTCAGAGTGTCAGAGGGAACTCCGCACAGTAGTGGCGGCCATACGCGAGGGAACGGCCAACCGGAACACTAGAGATTGCGCGTCGGCGACATTGTCCGCTTATATGGACCAACTTCACAGCCGCCAGAGCAGTCAAAGTGCTTTCCTACCCCTCGTCCGGGCCACCTGCTTCAACCAGCGCCACCGCCTCGCGCTGGCACCGATCGGTGCCACTGTGTGTCGCTGTCGCACCAGCGGCCTCACCGTTTGGCCGCCTGGTCCAGGTAGTCGATGGCCTTGGTGGGGTTCTCGCCGGCGTACATCTCCACCCAGCCACGCATCACCCAGCCGTCCACCGATTCGGCGTTCATCTTGAGCATGCGGTCCAGGTACTCGCGCGCCTTCTCTGGATGGCCGGTGAGCACCAGGAACAGGCCGGCGTAGTACAGCGCCTGGCCGCAGGGCGGCGCTGTTAGCAGTCAAGATCGACGGCACGACTGCGGGGGCTGCGACAGCCGCGGGCGCCGGTGCAGGGTTCACCAGGGCATCGGTCCTACCCGGCAGCAGCGGTGACTACCCACTGAACTCGCCGTCAGTGGCTGGCAGACACCACCGGCGGTCAGTGGCTGGCAGGCACCACCAGCAGCCAGTAGCTGACAGACACCGCCAGCGGCCAGTGGCTGAGAGACACCGCCGGCGGTCAGTGGCTGGCAGCCACCGTCTGGGAGGTCCCCGGCTCCCAGCTGGCGGGAGCCGGGGGCCTCCCAGATGGGATGGAATGACGTCACTGACCCGATCTGTGATCAGGGGTGAAGGTGAGGTAACTGACCCGGTCGCCGGCCTTCTTGCGCATATCGCGCCGCTTGTTGTCGAGCGCCTGGACGGCGTCGCGGTCGATGGTCTGGCACAGCTGGTGACAGTACATCATGGCCAGCACGGTGGCCAGCTGCAGGTCTGAGTCGTTCTACCGGCACAGACCGCCAGGGCGTCACCAGCCGCCGGCAGACAGCGGCGGAACAAAGCGGGACGACTCAGCCCCGCCGTTAGAGGACCTGCCGCCGCCCGCCTGAACCGCACCAACTGAACTTGATCAACAGTGAGTCATGATAACAAACATATAGCAGCCATGCTCGCTGCATTGCGTGCACAAACAAACAGCAGCTATTCTATCTCCCTTGGTTATCGAGACCTCTTGGCAAGATCGCTCCTGGTTGTTAGTTTCCCGTTGCTGCGACGTCGGGTCGTCGAAATTTTGTCCCCATTTGTACCCCAACTGTGTAGGTTTTCGAAACCAGCAAATCTTACATTGGGCTGTTTAACGAATGCAGTGGCACGCCTTTTGACCTCATCGCAATACTGAACAAGAATCGAAAGGCGTTTTGGATTATTTCATTTTCATCTGCCCACATGCTGCTACCATCACACTCATTCCAAAAGTTTAGCCCATCCTTCAGATTTATGCGCGTGCAGGGAATTCTCGCACACTGAACATATTACAGAAAACGAAAAAAAACTGCAACGACAGAGTACTCATTGACAGGCAATAATGACGCCACCGAAGCCAAAGAAAATGGTCCATCTCAAATACAGCACAGCAATAGCAGCTCCAGGAACGAGCGGGCGACATTACCAGCGTGTTCTCGAACTCGCGTATGGCCTCCTGCAGACTACCCTCCATGGCCAGCGACAGGCTGAACCAGAAGCGGAACGCCGGCCCCTGGCCGAACTTCTTCATCGCCTCGGATGCCGTCTGCTGCATGGCGCGGTAGAACCGCTCCCGGCAGTAGTACTGACATTGGGCCTGCCCCCAGGGCATGTCAAATGAGCAACATCACCTCTATCCCAACCCCCGGCCCAGCACGCATGCAGAGGTGTCCAAACACCCTGCCCCATTCACGTTTTTGCCTATTTTTAGCTCTTGCCTCTCAAATTGCAGGTACCTTTTTAATGTCCAACATTGTCACATGGAACACAATATGACTGGCACTGTTCAAGGATGACATGGTACTTTCAAAAGTACAGCATTTATTTCACCTATTTTCCTTTCTAGCCCTCTCTCTCCACCTCTTCCTTCCCTGACCCATCCTTCCTTCTTTCCATCTCCCTCTCTCTCTCCTTCTCCAAATCTACCTCACTTCTTTTGTTGTCTGTGATAAGGCATTAAAGCACCTTAAACAAAAATAACTACTTACATGATAGAAGGCTTCATCTGCCATACTGACTGTTGAATTTGAATATTATGCTCTTTCTGTGAACAAAAAATGATGATGATGCAACACACACAGGGGACACCTGCTCCCATCCAATTATCTTGTGTCATTGTTATCATGTATGCAGTGTCTGCAGTGCTTTGAAAAAATTCAGACTTGTATAAATATTGAGGCACAACACAGTACATTGGGAACAGTGATGTCTGTGCATGCATGATTGTGATCATGATGATACTAGGCTTCTGACTTCAGAGCAGTGAAACCCAAGGCAATGGCACAATGCTGAAGTCAAAGGTGACATGGGCTGTGGTTCTTGTACTTTGTACTTTGTCACTCTGTCATGGCCAAACCAGGCCAAAGCCCCTAGCTTTGTATTTAAATATGGCTTTAAACTTCAAACAGCTGAAGTCAACAGCTTCAAACTTACAAAACATGAAACCAAAGTTGAAACACAAAACCCCATGGTCAAAGCTCACACAAGTCTACCCTAACAAATTCATTTGCAAAACTAAAACTGTTTCCATGTTAGCTAGAGCATAAAGGGATCAAAAATTATTAATGGGGTATAGTGGAATGATTGAGATTGAGACTGAGAGTTGAAAAAGTTCTGTTAACAAGTTGTAGCTTATGAGCATGTTTTAGCTCAGACTTTCATGGACACTGCCAGTTGATTTCTGATCTCCACATGATTTGGTTGCCAAAATCTGACATCAGTCCTTCCTTTTTCTCAAAGGCAAAGCTAAGACTTGCAATTTACCGACACCTCTATGCACATGTCATACAGCAGCACTTCCAAATGTTAAGTGTGGTTTGATTGTAATTCAAACCACATATGCCCTACATGAATTTTACTGCTTAGAAAAAACATCAATATTGCATGGTGAATGCATTGTTTAATGTCGCACGTTCAGTTTCATCAGTCAGCTTCACGCATTGCGAGGCCGACGCCGGAAACACAGAGCCATCAACATCCAAACGGACCAAGAGCCAAATACAAACAAATCTATATCACGTATTCGCACAAGTGCCTGAGCCACTGAAATACCATAAATACACCTCACAAACTTGGAAAAGCGTGTGGGTAGCAGACAACTACCCCGTATCCCAAACGATTTCCAACAAGCGTCAACACAAGCAAGGCAGCGTAAGAGAGGAATAATTTGTTTCTGCCTACTTCTGCGAATATTTGCCGCAAATCGAAGTTATTTGTACTATTTAAACCCTTGCACTATTTTGTCGCGAATTTCAGGTATTTTCACCAAACTTAATACTATTTGTGTCGCCAGAAGTACTTTCAGGTAAGGGATAACGCACGGGCCCCTTTCTTTGATTTTTTGGCTTACATCAGGGTCGTAGTTTCCTTTTCAGTTGAGGGCATCAACCCCCCGCCCCCTCCCCCAAATTGAGCTTCAGCTTTCCAACTGTGGAAAGAAAACGGGCAAAATTCGGGGAGAAATCTGTTAATTGACATATTTAGGTGACAGGTTGGGTCACTTTCACTGTTAACTACCACTCATTTTGCGAAGCTACGACTCTGGCTCATATCGCACTTTTTCACTCATTGCGTGAAGCAGGGGTGAGTCCAGTCCAGTCCAGTCCATCCAGCTTGAAGGAGGAAATTCATCAAGTCATGGCAGAAGTCATTACCGCTATTCATATCCTTGTATTGAACTCATAGCCCAGAAGGTTAGTTAATATCGGTTAAAAGTTTCCATTGGAACCCGCTTAGTGCAGCTCTCTATCCAAATTATACCTGGCCTCGGCACGGAGCCAAATGGCCGGCTCCATGACCGTCCGGGCCATTGTGGGCCCATTTCCCAAGCGTGAACGAGGCCACGACCCACGATTTGCAATGCTCGGGTCTTTGACATAATGAGGAGCTGCTGTGTCGGTTAGGGGCCAAAGCGCCCTTCGGGGGTCCTGTAGCGGCAAGTGGCCTCGATTGAGCGAGGAGTGGTCTTTGACGGGGCCCAAAAAGGGGCCGAAGGATCTCTCGGGATCAGAGACCAGCGGTCCGATTGGAAGGCTGAAGGGTCCGAAGGGCCTTGCTGTGGGTCACATCAAGGAAACCCGTCCACAGGGCCGTGATATCAAACGTTATAGGGTTTTTTGTACAGATTGGGGACACCTGAGACAGAGCGCTCCTCTTTTTCGGCCAGAGATTGCCAACACCCAACTGTGAGTCTGTTATGCTGAGGGTTATGTTTGTAGTAAACCATGACACACGTCCACCCATCCACCCGGCAGGACACTGTTCTGCCGGGTGGATGCCGGGTGGATAGGTGTCTGAGACACCTAGGCCTCCCAAGGCAGAGAACCGAGGTCGGTAGGGGACGATTTGGATGCCTCTCGCCAGCATTGTAGCACGTTAGTCAATTCAGCACGTTGGTCAATTAATACAATTAACATTGTAGCGTTTCGTGCGCGTTGTGAGAGAGCACCTGTCGGAGAGCTATGCTTTTAGGCAGCCGGTGGATGGGTGTTTGTGTGTTACGTGCTTTTGTTTTGCTCTGTTTGCCTGCATCTCCGTATCTCCTTCACTTTTGACACGGGGCTGCCACAGCCACGCTCCATTGTGTGCAGACCGTGGTTCACCTGGCCACTTGTGATACAGTCGCTCTCCTGACCAAAGACAGCTCCTGACCACAACCGACCGTCCCTGCCTCCCGTCTGCAGCCACTCTGGCCCGCACAAGCGACCTCGGCCAGGTCACATGGTCAATGCCCGTAGACATGAACACAGCCGGCCGTGCCGGTTAACCACTGGCCGGGCCGGCTGAAAGCCGGGCCCGGACCCTATTAGCAATATCCTGCTGCATGTGGATGGTCCTATGGACATACACACACACATGAACACACAAACACCGAACAGTCGCGTCCGTGTCGGGCTGAGCTCACTTCCCAAGCAAGGACGAGGTGGAGTCCGCGATTTACATTGGTTGGGGCCCTTAAGACAATGCAGGGCTTCTGTATCGGTCGAGGGCCCAACGTCTAACTGAGTGTTCTGTGCCAACAGGGGGCATCGAGTTGGTCAGGGGAGCATTTGCGCAACACGCACGGGGACGGAACCCCGAATGGCAGAGGACCTCTTGCATTGATCGGGGTCCTTCGGCAATGAAAGAAAACGCGATGGCTTATGACGAACGTTTACACTGAAGAAATGCAGGTGTCCTGTTCCAGTCGGGGCCTTCAGTGCCGAACGGTGGGACCTCCAAGCCAAATGCCAGCATGGACCCCTTAAGCCGGAATGGAGTCCATGTGCCATTAATCGGACCACCCGCGGCGATTATGAATGCTATTGGGACAATGAGGGTTCCCGCGTTCATCTGGGGCCAACTGCACGGGTCAGAAGGCCTCTCGCGTCAGGGAGGGGGAACAATATGTGATGTGATGTATCCCTCTAACGGCTGCCGGATCGTCTAGAGGATCCGCCCGTGTCGCCAGAATGGCAGCCGAAGACAACCCCCGGTGGGACAGAATGGCCCTTCAGCCCCTGACCGGGAACAATAATGTGCTCCCGAGTGTTCTACTCAAGGAAGCCCCTTGCTCGAAAAGAAACAAGAGGTCTCATTAGTGTTGAATGGAGTGGGTTTAAATGAATTTAAAAACGAACAAGGCCCACACATGTTTGTCTGAGATCGTTCCTTCTTTTGCAGAATCGATTGATGATAAAACCAATTACATCGAAATACTTTAGCCTGCGCGCCCGTAATCTTGGGAGCAACGACAACGATGGTCTGGGTTGCAATTCCGTGAAACCGACCGGAGTTGACTGCTACAGGTAACACTAGGTGGCAGGCGTCATGCGCGCGAGAACGACCGTCGTGAAATAATGGTTCCGAATGTTGATTGTACTACCTTTCCTTTGTCAACCCTATACCCTGCCCTCTTCCCAAGGCTTTGGCTAGGCGCCTGGGCGGGATCCCCGTGTCTCAACATCCTTCTTGCAAGAGAAAATATATGCTTCGCGCAGGTTTTCTTTGCGTAGCCCCTGTTTCCAATATATATCAAAGTGAAGTACCTCTCATAGATTAAATTGCGCTGCTACAAAGTGTGGTGGCGGCGTATCCGGGAGGACGAGGCAGCGCGGGCAGCTAGCTGCCCCCTGTCCCGTCACGGGGTGGGGGGGAGGGGGGAAAACCACAACATGACCTGAGCTCCTGCTTAGTCGCCTCATTTCGTAACCTTACGTGTTTGATTCTGTGTAATAGGTTTTCACTCAATGCCCGCAACTGCTGCGATTAGCAAAGTCAAGGCGTTCAATTTAAAACACTGAAAGTCTTACAGCATCGTGTGTATGGACACACGATGTCATTTTGGGAGTTCTGTAGGACAGCAGCGTAAATCACTCGACGGTCGATATCACCACGTCTGTTTAAATCACCGCCGCCACGACGCATTACCAGCTGCGGCTGGCCTGCCAGTACCGTAACGACGTCATTATGCAGCTGCGCGGGAAAAGTGCTTATAATCGAGCACGAAGAGTGCAAATGTGTGAATGCGAAGGCGCTTCTATAGGGTATTGAGCTGCCAGTACAAGACAATTCCCAGATCTAGAACGAATTATTTTCTGTCGATCCCAGCGGCGTTTTAGCCACTGCTGGCTGGCCGGCCTCAGAGGCGATTGCAATGTTACGGCTTTCAATTTAAGATACCTATGGTTATATTCCCCAGAGATGATTTATCGCATAAAAAGCATACTGAAAATCTTATTATCTAACACACGCTTGGTTAAAGGTCAGTTTACCATTGCACCTAGATGTACCTTGCAAGGTCGCTGACCTATGGGAGGTCAAGGTCAGGACACGGCTGTCGGGCATACATTTGGTTAAAACATGCCATCGGTTCGAAACGTTTGGTTACTCTGCTTTTTCTGTCATCTCACGTTCTATTTATACATGAACGTATATGGATTAGTTATGTGCGGTGACGTCTGCAGGTTGAAGGTTTTCAGAGATCGTGAAAAACCGAGAGATGCCCTCGCTTTCTTTGATGTCCCACACTTTTAAGTTTAACTCAGTGGCGCAGGCAAGGGGCACAGGGGGCACGTCCATCAATTTAGGTTCCGAGGAGCTCTTTTGGCCTCTCGTGACCGACAACTGAGGGCCCCATTGGATGGCCCGGAGGGTCCGAAACACTGGACGGGGTCATATTCAGGGGCCCGGCCCGCAGGGCCGGGTGCTCCAATGCCGGACAGGGAGAACTGCGATTTGGCCCTTCCAAGTGCCAATCAGGGGCCCCTGAGTCGATAAGGGCTTATGTGGCGGTCAGACACCATCAGCATCACACAGTTGGCTCGGAACCGGCATGTGTTTCAGGGCCCATTTCCCAAACAGGAACAACGCCAGGGCCAGCGATTTACATTGGCCAGGGCCCCAGCGTCTGTCAGGGACCCTCAGTACCTAACAGGGGGACCATGTGTTGGCAAGGGGCTCCGAGTCGGCCAGAGACATTGTTTGAGGAGGCCCAAAGAGCCTGGAGGGCCCACCGGGATCGACGACCAAGGACTCGATTTGAGGGCTAAGGCACGAAGGGCTGGCCGGGGTCTTCTTCAGGGCCCCCGGCTTGTGAGGTCCGGCCCTCAGATGACTGTTAGAGGGCGTTTACACTGATCGGGGTCTCCCTGAGTCGATTAGGGTCTACATGTCGGTCAGGTACCATCAGTACCGCACAGTCGGCGCCGTATCGGTATGGGCTCACTTGTCCCACTTCCAGGGGCTCACTTCCCAAACAGTGACGAAGCCGGAGCCAGCGATTTACAGGAACCCCGAACCCCCTGGTCGCGGTTCCTGTATCTGTCAGGGACCCACAGCGCCTAACAAGGTGTCCCGCGTTGTCAAAGGTCCCCGAGTCCACCAAAGGCAGTGTTTAATGAGGCCAGAAGAAGGGACGGAGCCGACCGAAACCGACGATCGACTGGAGGGCATGGGGGCCAAAGGGCTGGCTTTAGGTCACGTAAAGAAACCTGGTCCGTGAGGCCGTGGCCTGAAATATCCGTCAGAGAACCTCTTGCACCGATTAAGGACCCTTGAGACAATGCGTTTGAACCCTGTGAACCCATTTCCCAAGCAGGAGCAGAGCCGGGGCCCTCGATTTGCATTGGTCGGGGTCGCTGAGACAGTGACCGGG